AAGTCTGCTCTGCTGGGACCAAACGTGGGTTGGCTCCTCCTCCTCTTAGAACTGTTTCCCTTAATGGCTGTTCCATCTGGTTATTGTAACAATTGCATAACTTGATGTAAGAGTTTGTGGCTGAATCTGCTGTTTTGCTCTTCCCCCTCTTACCTTTTTTGTGTGTTTTGTTTTGTTTCATGTCATGCATATTAACATTGTGAGCTTGTGGAAGGGTACTGTGTGGGCATTAACTTTGTGCAATGTCTAGACCAGCCTGGCACCATCCTGTTGCTTTAGAGTACAACTCCCATCAGCTGTAGCCAGCAGAACCCTGGGATCCAACAGCATCTGGAGGAAACCAGCTTAGAAGAACAATAAACGGGGACATCGAGGCACTTTATAAATAATAGCTAATAATAATGTTAGGCCATTTGGTTGTTAGAAAAGATAAATGGCTCTGTACAGCATAAAATCTAGTGGATAATGTGCTCACCTGTAAGAGGCACTTGAAGCCTTGAAAATACATAGTTGCTTAAATTTCTGAATTGCAGCATGGAAGAGCCAGGATTTTTAAAGCATTCCAGACATTAAAACTGAGAGGAGGTGATTGATGAACTCCTAATCCTCCGTCAATTTACTTCTGCAGGTCATAGTGTACGGTTTGCTGAGATACCTGGAAAATCACGTAAGAAGAAGAAGAACATGAAAGAGCTCACGCCACTTCAGGCCATGATGTTGCGAATGGCTGGTAAGAAAGCCTGGATTTTTCTCAGCTTTATTCTCCCCGCCCCTTCTTTATTTTAGTTGCTAGCTATGGAAGTCTGTTTACCCAGAGAAATTAACTCACAAATAGTTTATTAAGCAAGGATTTGCATTAAAAATCTATCTAGAAAGTGCCTTATGAATAGAAGCTAGGATATGGGACCATTTAGCACATCAGCTGACTGATATAGCAGTGACTTTGAACTCATAAATTTGCATGTGTGGTTGTCTTCCAAATTCCTGAGTCCCCAACCCCTGATTAAATTAATATGAAGACAGAAGGCAGGGACTGGTTTAAAGGATGCTTTCATAGCTTTCTCAGACTGGTCATGGTGAAGCTGGTATGTAGCTGTGATTTTCAGACACTGTGGGATGAAGGAACCCCATAAGCGGCTGCCCACAAAATATTAACGTAGGACTATTGCAGAAGAGTGTTAAATAGACCTTCAAGCCTTGAAGATACACTGAGGAATCCCTAAGCCAATTCTATCTAGCTTTTTGAAACTTAGCGAGAAAATGAATTCCTTGACACCACAGGGCAGTGGGGCACCTTGAATGATGGGTAGGTGTGCCATGGATGGGGGAAGCACTGTGCAACCATCTCCATGCTTCAGAAGAAAGAAAGTGGGTGTAAGAAAAATTCTGAACCCTGCACTCCTACTCTGGATTAGGTCCCATGCCACTTGATGGAATTTATTTCCGATCTATGCAAGGCTGGGGCAGGGCTGCTAATCTTCCAACCCCATTCAACAGGAGGGATGCAAGAACGAGGCAATGGGCTTGGAACATCCTGGAGGAAATTTGGTCCTTGCCATAGCTGCCCTATGGAGATACTTGTAGCATTCAATATCAATTTCTTAATTTCTGATAGAATATTTTTCCTGGGCCTTCAAATCATTCTTTTCTAATGTTGGCCTGTGGTCTTTTAAAGTCCCAGAATCTGTTTTAAAGATCAAGCCTGCATTATTTCTCTTCAGGCCAGGAAATTCCTGAGGGAGGCAAAGAGATAGAGGAGTATTCTGAAGAGGAAGATGATGACGACGATGATGACTCAGAGGCTGAAGATACAGCACAGCAGCAAAGCACGGAAGAGGCCCATGCTGAGACGGCATCGTCGGCAGCCTCTCAAGCATCCCAGCCACAGCAGCAGCCACCACCTCAGCCTGTTCCTCCAGCTCAGATGCAAGCGCCTCCCATGCCTGGCCCACCCCCTCTTGGGCCACCTCCTGCACCGCCCTTGAGGCCTCCAGGGCCACCTACTGGCCTCCCTCCTGGTCCTCCTCCAGGTGAGCACCTGATGAAATTTAAGAAATCCAGGCTTCTCTTTGCTTTGGGCTCCCAGCTTGGAAATCCCCAAAACAGGCAGTTGTCTTACTCAGCTAGCATACTGGTGGAGGCTTCCCACTCCAACGTCACATGAATGTTGCCCTTCAAACACTTGTCTTTCTCATCAGGCAGATACTCAGTTTTTGTTTAAGCAGTCTCTTGCAGCCATGGCAACAAAAGGAGGGGTGGGGGGAGGCAGCTACCCAGTGGGTGGATGACTGTTTTTGTACATCTCTGGCACTTTGTAAATGATTTGACGTGATTCAGAAGGAAAAAGCAATGTATTTTGATAAAAAAGTGGTCACCATTACCATGGGCTGTGTTGGAGTGTTTGTGTAGAAAAGCAAGGTAGTTTTCAAACCTCTTTCTCATCTCTTTGGCACAACAACAGGTAAATGGTAATGAGGAATTGCCATGTTAACCCATAAACTAAACCGTCTTTGTGCAACTGCTTTCACAGGGGCTCCTCCGTTTCTTAGGCCACCTGGGTTGCCTGGAATGCGTGGCCCTTTACCACGACTGTTGCCTCCCGGACCTCCCCCTGGCCGCCCCCCTGGCCCTCCCCCTGGTCCACCGCCAGGTCTGCCTCCTGGCCCTCCTCCAAGAGGACCCCCACCTCGCCTACCACCTCCAGCCCCTCCAGGTAATACTACAGTTTACTCACAAGATCTCTTTTATTCACTAGTGGCGTATGCTTTCATCTTAAGTATTTTTATGTAGTAAGAGTTATGTACTGCTTAATAAAAATCATAATTTATAAGTGGTCAACTACAAGCTGTTGTTGAATCCTAAAATTAGAGGGTGATATTTTCCTGTCCTTTTTGTTCCAGCACAGTGAAACACTCTAGGTTTTATGAATCATTGGTACACCTGTTGGAATTTGATGATTTAAAATGTGTGTCCCATGTAATTTTGCAAATATAATGACCTTAAATTAAGGGGAGGCTAAAGGAACTGGAGCTGATGCTGGTATTGGTTCCTTCTGAGCAAAGAGCAGCAGGCTAACTTTTATCTCTTCCTCCAGGCATCCCCCCTCCTCGTCCAGGCATGTTGCGCCCTCCTTTGGTGCCCCCACCTGGGTTATTTCCCCCCGCTCCCATTCCCAATCCTGGGGTGCTGAGTGCTCCCCCCAGCTTGATCCAGCGTCCCAAGGCGGATGACACCAGTGCAGCCACCATTGAGAAGAAAGCCACAGCAACCATCAGCGCCAAGCCACAGATCACCAACCCCAAGGCTGAGATCACCCGCTTCGTGCCCACGGCCTTGCGAGTTCGCCGAGAGAACAAAGGGACAGCTGCCACCACCCAGAGAAAACCTGATGATGAGCCTTCTGTTCAGATAACCAAAGCAACTCCTAAGGCTGGCTCTTCTGCTCCCATTTCTGTGCAGACAAAAGATGATGTTTATGAAGCTTTCATGAAGGAAATGGAGGGGCTACTGTGACAATCTGTTCCCAGTTAACCTGTATATTCTCTGTGATTATGAGATCAGACTACTGTCTTAGGGGCAGAGGTTCCATGTTATAGTGGCATCCGGTTGAAGAGCTCCTTCATTTGTGACAATAGTCCCCCATCCCTATTAACTTGTGATCACATTTGGGAGAATGACCATTGCAGAGAGTGGAAAAGGGGTGCAATTACTCTACTCACTTTTTTAATGAAAGACTTGGTTGTGTCTGTGTGCTCATGGAAAATCCTGTTGTCTCATTTTTTAATTTTTGTTAAAGGGAGGAATTACTTGAGGAACCAGAACACACTGTTAAAGCATTTCTTCCACATATACCTGATCAAGTTTTTATGTTTTGTTTTGGTGGCTTTCTGTAAATATTTTGTAATGCTGTTTTTAGCTGGGTGAGAAAAAATGGGTTTACACATTGTTGTAAGGTGGGCAGGTTACTGTTTGCATATATGGCATGCAAACATTTTGCACCCTGTGTATCCTGCACTCACTACTGTGGCTTCTTGCTAACAGGAGCGATCATTGTCTTATTGAAAGAGAATAAATATTTGATGTAATACACCACTGTCTGACTAGTTATCTGCACTGCTATTTTGGGTTTAGGAAGGAAAGGAAGTAGCCTGAGGACCTGACAAACAGCACCTGTGGAAGGTAGCTAATGATGCTTTAGACTTAAGAGAACATCCCTAATATCTGAAGAATCCATAGAAGGGAGAATAGCTGTTCATTCCATTTGGGAAACATGATACAGTTATATATCTAAAAAGTATCTCTTGCCCCCATTAAAAATGAATCTGAGAGGAACCCAGGCTCCATTCATAGATCACAGAGATGGCATGTACATACAGACTGACAATTAAAGAACATTAGTGAATGTAATATGAATATCTACTTTAACTGGATAGAAGTGTATGTATAATCATCACCTGATGAAGTGAGTTGTGTGTAAAAGCTGAAGGGGGAATGTAGCATTTGGTGTAACAAACCAGAAATGGATGTTGGGGGGAGTCAACGGGGGGGGGGGGGACGGGACTAGAAAATGAATGTTAAGTAATAATATTGAATATTTGTTATGAGAAAAGAAAATCAATAAAAATTATACAAAAAATAAATAAAAGCTGAAGGGGGTGGAGAGATGGATGCACCAAGCCTCTTCCATAGACAACTGGAGTAAAATGTGAAATCCTGTGTTTTCTCTTCTGTCCAGTATCTGCGAGAATGTTGGAACAGCATCATAATCCAAGGCAAAATCATTGTCATTCACATGTATGCTCACTGCTAGTACTATGCTTGCCCTAGAATTGCCATGGTTCACTTGGTTATGTACCATCTAGAGGTACACATCATAATAATTTGAAATCGAAAATACCTAACAATTACTTGTGTGGAGTTCAGGCATACAGGCCCCATGCCCAGTCTGACATCTCCGGTTATAAAAGGGTTGCAGGCCTGGCAGCCAATGACAGGTAGTGTTCAGCTAACTAGATGGATTTATTATACAGCAGAGAGCAGCTGGGGTGTTTGCTATAAAATGAGGGGAGGGGGAGAGCCATGTCCACCACCTTAAACTCATTGGACGAAAGCGAAGCCTAAAAAGCTTCAAAAGCAGAGCAGGGACTTCTTCAGCGCTCCCCCAAAAAACGTTGCCGGGCAGAGGGAGAACAGGGTGGGTGTGTATACGTAATACAAATACATTCGCTCTGGCATGAGTATTTTGGAAATCGGATGATTCAAACGTTCGCCAGGAGGAAATATTTCTGCAGATGTAAAGAGCTGGAAGATCGTAAGTCCTGGCAGAGGATAGGAGCGTGGTCAATGGTTATGGATGACGGCAGAGTAAAGTCAAAACAGCATCTGGGGGCCCCAGGTTCTCCACCCTCGTTTTAAGCTCCTACCCAATTAAAAACCGCAAGTGAAGCTCGAGGGCACCTTAAGGTAAGCCCTTCGCTCCTCGGCCAGTCAAGAATTGGGTTGTGAAAATTCAAACTAGTTCCTTCCCGTTCCCAAAATGGCGCTTCATGAAGCAGAATCGGGGACACTTATGTATATACAGGAAGCGATCTGAAATCCACCGCTCCCTCTCGCATCGCAGTGCAGAGGCACTTTGTACTAACTCGCAAATTGGGATAGGGGGAAAGGGAAGACAATCTCAAGCCCTTCTCGGGATGCGTTGTAGTGGCTCTGAAAAGAGCCTTTGGGTTGTTGGTGAAGGAGGGCGAGGAGGGCGGCTAAGCCCTCTCTCCGCGGATGCGCCGCGCCAGCTGGATGTCCTTGGGCATGATGGTCACCCTCTTGGCGTGGATGGCGCACAGGTTGGTGTCCTCGAAGAGCCCCACCAGGTACGCCTCGCTCGCCTCCTGCAGCGCCATCACGGCCGAGCTCTGGAAGCGCAGGTCCGTCTTGAAGTCCTGCGCGATCTCGCGCACCAGGCGCTGGAAAGGCAGCTTGCGGATCAGCAGCTCCGTCGACTTCTGGTAGCGGCGGATCTCGCGCAGCGCCACGGTGCCCGGCCGGTAGCGGTGAGGCTTCTTCACGCCGCCCGTGGCCGGCGCGCTCTTGCGAGCCGCTTTGGTGGCCAGCTGCTTGCGAGGCGCCTTGCCGCCCGTAGACTTGCGAGCCGTCTGCTTCGTCCGAGCCATCTTTGGGGCGCGTTTGCACTCACGAAGACACCACGATGAGCCCTCAACCAGTCGCAACTAAAACTCCGAATAGAGGAGCGAAGCGATAGCGACCCTTTATTTATAGTGCGCTCCTGTCTCTGTCCCCATTGGCTGACATCAGTGGGGCAGATTCTCATTGGACAGCTTCTCCATTCGAAAACTCCCGCTTTGGTTTGTGTCACCTAAGGACCGCCTCCTAGCAGCCCTATGGATTTTTTTATTTTGCAATGACGAGTTTCCCCGGAATATTCACCCTCTAAAATCAAGCAGCTCTGCCTTTGTGTTCAATGTTGTTCAATACCAGCCGACAAACTCTTTGCTTGTATAAACTCTCACTGGAAGCTCCTTTGCTAAACTAGCCTAAATCTTTTATATAAGATCTTCTTGTTTGAGAACATTTTGGGCTGTCTCTTCATTTTTGACGTTTTTCAGCTATTAGTGATATTGACAGGAAAAGACAGACATTTGCTGTTTAGGGTTGAACCTCCCCTTCCCGATTTCTCTTAGTTTACAGCGCACTTTTCTTGGGTTTTTTATTATTATCCCAAACTGCGTGAACTTTGGCTCGTGAGGTTGGAGCCTTTAACATCCTTGGGTGTAAATTCCGTTTAACTCAGAGGGAGCTATTTCCTTGTAGACGTGCACGCGACGGAGTTATAAATCCCAGTAATTTCTATGGGAGAGCACTTCAAAGCCCAGGCGAGGGGGGGGGGGGAGAATCCCATTGATTCCAATTCAAATATACTTAGCTGTGGCCGCATCTAGGAAATAAAGCTCACATTAGTTAATGGGACTTGTTCCCAAGTTAGTTTGTTTAGAGATGCAGCCTTAAGAAGGGGAATCATATTTTTCACAAACGGTCACCTGTCTATTTACACTAAATACATCCTTTGAAAACAAGATGGCTTTTATCTCAAGGTGCTGTAAGACTGAGGAGTGAACCTGCCCTTTTCACTTTGAGACTAAGGGCCACCTGGAGTCTAATGGTTGTTTTCCAGGGGTTTGCTCTGAAAAAACATAGATAGATTTTAATTATTTATTCAAATTCCTATAACATTCTTAAGGTATCTAAATCAGTCTGCATAAAATAGAGCTGCAGTGAAGTCCAACAGTCAGTCACATACCTTGTGGATTGTTATTTAAATTCTTCATTAAACTCTTGAATAGTGTTTGTGTGTGTGATCATACACTATCAATATAGTATTGGCTTTGAATGTACCTAAATAATACAATATTTAGTACCTTTTCTATAGCGCAGGCGAGCTGGTAAGGGCTTGGCCGATTAGCAATGGTGAATCTATTTTGTGTAGTCTTGTGTTACCTCCGTTTACTTGAAGTCCACCTGCAACGAGGAGACTAGCTTTAAAAACTCACACCACGTCCTGTGACAGACCTTACTGTCTGAAGATGTGACCCGCACAGTTTTTCGGGTGTTTTGGGGGCTTACATTGCTTTAATTTACAAAGAAAAACAAAAGTTTCGCTCTTGGGAGGTCTCCCCAGCTCCTGCGGCCGAGACTTAAGAGCCCTTTTCCAAACGTTGCCTTTACTTTTGCGCTTTCAAAAAAGCAACGAATGCGAAGCACCCTTCCCTCTTCGCCCCGGTTGATATATTTGATTATTTGGTGGTCGGTATGGTGTAAAAATCGCACTTTATTAACTCGAAAGAAACACAAACTGGGCGCTCGAAAGAGTTCTTGTCTGCCTGGCAGAGGGGCGGGCCCTGCAGCGGACCAATCACGAGGCAGCTCCTCTCTATAAATAAACAGCGGCTGACCTACTTGAGCTCACTTTTCTTCTGTCGGGAATCTTTTTTGTGTGTGTGTGTCGCGCATCTCTCTCTCCTCGCCATCATGTCCGAAACGGCGCCCGCGGTTGCTGTCAGCGCTGCTGCTCCTGTCGTGGCCTCCAAGGCTCCGGCCAAGAAGGCGAAGAAGGCTAGTGGCGGCGCCAAAGCGCGCAAGGCTTCGGGCCCCAGCGTCACCGAGCTGATCACCAAGGCTGTGGCGGCGTCCAAGGAGCGCAAAGGGGTGTCTCTGGCGGCGCTGAAGAAGTCCCTGGCGGCCGGAGGCTACGACGTGGAGAAGAACAACAGCCGCATCAAGCTGGGCCTGAAGAGCCTGGTGAACAAAGGCACCCTGGTGCACACCAAGGGCATCGGCGCCTCGGGATCCTTCAAGATCGGCAAGAAGGCCGGCGAGGGCAAGGAGAAGGCGCCCAAGAAGAAGGCGGCTGCCGTCAAAGCCAAGAAGCCCGCCGCCAAGAAAGCCGCGGCCGGCGGCGTCAAGAAGCCCAAGAAAGCCGCGGCGGCCAAGAAAAGCCCTAAGAAGCCCAAGAAGCCGGCGGCCAAGAAGGCGGCCAAGAGCCCCAAGAAAGCGGCCAAGCCCGTCAAGCCCAAGAGGGTCGCCAAGAGCCCGGCCAAAGCCAAAGCGGTGAAGCCCAAGACGGCCAAGCCGAAGGCAGCCAAGCCCAAAGCGGCCAAGGCTAAGAAGGCGGCGCCCAAGAAGAAGTAGACGTGCCCCGCGCGCTGCTAAAAAACCCCAACGGCTCTTTTAAGAGCCACCCACCTCCTCCTAAAAAGAGCTTGTCACAAATGTACATACACTCTTGCAATATATAGATACATACACATACACACGCCTGCCACAGTATATCTTGCACATGTTTGGTCAGAATTTCAGTCACAGACTTGCTCCTCGCAGAATTATTAGCCTGCATTTCTGGAAATGGGGACATTAGATCGGCCTCTTTAGCGGGATACTAACTTGCCCCGGGTTGGTTGGTGCGTGCTTCTTGAGAAGAGTGGATCTAGTTAGGCGGGCACGGAAGTGAAAGAAGAGGAGGGAGATGCTTTCATCCCAGAAAAGTTATTAATTTCTAAAAAGTTATTTTTAAAAACTTGAACTTTGAGCCCTTGAATAAAATCAGCTAGAAAGTATTGTTGCGGAAAGATGGGGGAGAAGCCGCGCTACTTGATTATCCAACTTAGAGGTGGTGGGGGTTTTTTTTTGGGGGGGGTGTATTTGTGTGAATGAATCCCTCTTCGGTGAGAATTTTTACAAATTTTATGCATTGTTAGGAGCACACGGTGTCGCTAGTAGGATTTATTTCTGCGCCAAAATACATAGAACTGGGTTTCGGTTTTCATGAAAGTAAGTCCCATTTAAACATAAAGCAGTTTAATTCTGAGTCAATATGTTTAGGACTCGGATTTACAAAGTATTAAAACAGCCCGAAGCTTGTGGGAAACCGCTGTCAAACACTAAGATACATTGTACCACGTGTCCAGGGTTAGATTGTCTCGGTTGTCAAAATTTGCTGGCTAGTTCTTAAAGGGTCCTACGGTTCACGGCAATTAAATACTAGATGGAGCACCTTCACACTGTCAAACAATGCCAGCTTCTGCTCAGCCCCATTGAATTCGGTGTATTTACTTTAAAGAATTTAAGACAATTTAGAAGGGGGCGATTTTCAAACTTTTAAAATAGTTTTTTGTGAATGAACGATCGCTTATGCCAGGTCGAACGGCAGGTCTTTCATTTTCCCGTCAAAGTCGGTGTGAGTTGTGATTGGCTCAAACCGAGATATTGCTTCAAAACCAGCCAATGAACACTTGGCATCTGGCTGACCAATCATGAACGAAACGCGAACGCTTGTAACTCTTTGCGAGTTCTCAGCCAATAGGAAATGAAGAATACAATTCTCTTATTTGCATATCGCCAATATAAAAAACAGCAGCGCTCGTGAGCCCGCGGTGACTGGAGAGCGCATGAAAAGGCAGAGATGCCGGAGCCAGCGAAGTCAGTGCCGGCTTCCAAAAAGGGATCCAAGAAAGCTGTGACGAAGACTCATAAGAAAGGCGACAAGAAGCGGAAGAAAGTTAGGAAAGAGAGTTATTCTATCTATGTCTACAAAGTTCTGAAGCAAGTTCACCCGGACACTGGCATTTCATCCAAAGCCATGAGCATCATGAACTCCTTCGTGAATGATGTTTTTGAGCGCATCGCTGGGGAAGCCACCCGCTTAGCGCACTATAACAAGCGCTCCACTGTCACCTCGAGAGAGATTCAAACGGCTGTCCGGCTCTTGCTGCCCGGGGAGCTGGCTAAACACGCTGTCTCCGAGGGCACGAAGGCTGTCACCAAGTATACCAGCTCCAAGTAAATTACCGCCACTCACTGCAACCTAACGGCTCTTTTAAGAGCCACCTATTTTTTCATTAAGAGAGCTCTACGACACTTCTACCCCCTACTAAAAGTTTAATGCAGTTTAGTAACCTGCAGTTTTATAAGAGTATATATTTAAAGTAGATTAATAGATGAGCAAATTAAGTTAATTTGGATATGCAGAAGATATTACAGTTGAGTTTAAGGAGCCGCAGAAAGGGGAAGGAAGTTTTGAAATGTTTAAAAAATTGTGAAGTTGGTGAAATGTATAAATCTGAAAAGCATATATATATATATATATATATATATATATATATATATAGTTTAATGCAGTTTAAATATAAGCCATCTCGCCCACTATATGCAGCAGTTAAAAGCTAAATGACCAATAAACAAATGATCGAACAAAGCACAGATACCCTAGCCTAGAGCAGTGTTCCCCAACCTTGGGCCTCCAGCTGTTTTTGGACTACAACTCCCATCATCCCTCGCTAGCAAGACCAGTGGTCAAGGATGATGGGAATTGTAGTCCAAAAACAGCTGGAGGCCCAAGGTTGGGGAACACTGCCCTAGAGCTCCTTTCATATATGAGTCTCCTGCGGTGAATAAATTTTACTTCGTTTGTGTCCCAGATGAAATCGTAGTTTTATATGCACAGAAAGAATGACTGATGGTTGCAGAAAACCGAATTGGGAAGCAATTTTCTAGTAATAACAGTTGGGTAATTTGAATTACCCGCGCTTTGCAGTTATTGGTGAGCTGTAGCCAGCTCCACTATATACGGTTTGTAGACGTGCGGTTGCACAACAAAAGTGGCCAACGCTTCGAAGTTCCTAATGATTAGTATCCATGCAGTCTCCAAGTTATTGTTTTAGAATTCACTTATTACATGTTCATGAAATGGGTAGGAATTAAAGAACACCTTCGGAAAATTCGGTCCCGAATGAGGATATCTTATTACATAAACAGGGTTACATATAGGCGATGTGGGTTTTGTGAGGCAGCTCGATAAACATGGACGCGTATTTTCTATTTTTAAGAAAATTAAAAGGGTGATTTCTGTGAACGAGACACTACACGACCCTTAGGTTTACACGTAGTTGGCATTCCTCCGCCCCTGGCGCCTACGCAATGCAAAAACGGAGGGGAAAATTTAAAAAGCGAGAGGCTGCTGACGATTTTTAAACATCAATGCGCGCCTTTTCAAACTGTCGAATGAGCTTGAGGTTTTGTAATTCCAACCAATCAACAAGTCGAATGTATCCAATGGCGAGAGTTGTTCATCTAGCAATAGCCAATCAGAGGGCAGAACTAGTGTATAAATTTTGCCTTCTGCGCTCAGCTTTTAGTTCTCTTCTGAATCTGCGAAGATGGCTCGGACGAAGCAGACGGCTCGCAAGTCTACGGGCGGCAAGGCGCCTCGCAAGCAGCTGGCCACCAAAGCGGCTCGCAAGAGCGCGCCGGCCACGGGCGGCGTGAAGAAGCCTCACCGCTACCGGCCGGGCACCGTGGCGCTGCGCGAGATCCGCCGCTACCAGAAGTCGACGGAGCTGCTGATCCGCAAGCTGCCTTTCCAGCGCCTGGTGCGCGAGATCGCGCAGGACTTCAAGACGGACCTGCGCTTCCAGAGCTCGGCCGTGATGGCGCTGCAGGAGGCGAGCGAGGCGTACCTGGTGGGGCTCTTCGAGGACACCAACCTGTGCGCCATCCACGCCAAGAGGGTGACCATCATGCCCAAGGACATCCAGCTGGCGCGGCGCATCCGCGGAGAGAGGGCTTAGCCGCCCCTCGCCCTCGCCCTCCTTCACCAACAACCCAAAGGCTCTTTTCAGAGCCACTACACCGCATCCCGAGAAGAGCTTGATATTGTCTTCCCTTTCCCCCTATCCCAATTTGCGAGTTAGTACAAAGTGCTTTGCACTGCGATGCGAGAGGGAGCGTGGGATTTCAGATCACTTCCTGTATATACATAAGTGTCCCCGTTTCTGCTTCATGAAGCGCCATTTTGGGAACGGGAAGGAACTAGTTTGAATTTTCACAGCCCAATTCTTGACTGGCCGAGGAGCGAAGGGCTTACCTTAAGGTGCCCTCGAGCTTCACTTGCGGCTTTTAATTGGGTAGGTGCTTAAAACGGGGGTGGAGAACCTGGGGCCCCCAGATGCTGTTTGCCTCTACACTGCGATGCGAGAGGGGAGCACATTTAAGTCGAAGGAGCTGCGGAGCCTTCGCTGTTTAATTTGGTACCTTTAGACATGCGTGGAAATAGTAAATTTACTCCGTATAGTTCATATCATATAGACAAACATCACAGTTCATTTCTATATTGAAAAGTTTCCTTTAAATCTGGTATTGCACTATGTCTTCGCACAAGGAACTGATCTCTGTTTTTCTTATCTCCGCCTCTACAACTCGTTGTATGGGTCGTTTTTAAGTGTTTAGTTTCGTCCTAAGCCTTCCATAGGTCTGGGAAAGTCTTGGTGGTTTCTTCCTGTCTGATTGGCGGGAAGCTTGAGACGTTAAGGTTCAAACTAGAAAAGCCCGCGCTCTGCTCCAACCATCTTTTAGGAGGCGTGTAAGGCGGGAAGTTTGAGCGAGGCCCTTTCCGCTCCCGACTGTTTTCCTACCCCGTCCGAATCCGAGAGAATTTCTGCTTGATTTTTCATTTTACTGCTGCAGCTTCCTCTACTTCTTCGAAATAAAAACAAAAACCACATTCGTACGCTGCTTCCTGTATGCTTAGTAATGCCTCACACAAAACTAAGTACTATTTCTTTCTGAATAAATAACGCTCTCTTACAGCTGATGCGGAAAGAACATGACACAGTCATGTTGGCACGGGGGAGAAGATGTGAAGGCTGTGCTGAGTCGGAGCTGCAGCGAAAAGAAAGCCTCCTGCTCCAAGTTGGCTTCCCTGCTGGCCATCTGCCCTTGGCAGTAGCCACTGTGCCCACTGAGCTTTTCTAGTTCTTATAAAATTTTGTACTTCTACAAGTGTTCAGGTTTACCTGGTGCTTTGTGTGTGCGCACGTGTGCACTGTTGTTTTAGCTACATGAAGTCTTGCACTTGAATAGTGTAATGAATTTGGTATTTATAAGCATGTATATGACACTGCATATTTCTGGAATTGCTCTTGGCGGCTTGATTAGCTCAAAGCTAGCTGTTGTCCTTCTGAGTATGAATGAGTGTGTGGTTTCTTGTGGTTCTCACAGCAAAAAATAAAATAAAAAATCCACTCAGTTCTCTTACGTGGCACTTTTCCCTCTTTTGGGTTTTGTTCAGATCTCTGTTCAGATCCAGAAGTACTCGTATGGCGTCGTTATAAATGAAAATACACTTTTCACCTTTGCAACTATGTTCTTATTTATTTAAAAAGCACAGTATGCTTTGTTTTCTATAAAGATACCAAAGTGCTAGTTGTTTTAGGAATAGCTAGATGGATCCCAGGGTAGTGTGCAATAATAACAGCAAAAGACAATAAAAACAGCTGCGAGGACCCACTATTTCATTCCCCTGCAATGCTTCTGAAGTAGCGTTACTCCTAGGCATTCTGGGAAATTAAAATGGTCACGCCTGCTGTGGCTCTCTGTTGCCAGGGGATAACCACTGAGGGTCTCACCAGAGGGCATCTTGCCAGGGAGGGGCCCTCAATTCTGAAGCGGGTCCTGATAAGTAAAGGGTGCATTCTACAACTGGGCTGGCCAACGTGGTGCCCTCCAGATGTTGCTGAATTACAACTTCCACCATCCCTGGCCATTGGTCATGCTGGCCAGGGTGGGTGGAAGTAATAGTCCAACAACATCAAGAGGGCACCATGTTGCCTACAGTTGACACCTTGGAGGCATTTAGTAGCTTCAAGTTCCAGGCCTCTGCATGACATTGAAACTGCGACCCATAGCTGAAATTAAGGTCTGTTTCAATGTCTTTTCATTTTTGTACCTTGTAACTCCAGTCTGTGTGCGTGCATGTGTGAATAGTGTTAACCAGGCCAGAAGTTTGATATCAATTCCCTGCATTATCACACCCGTTTAAGTAAATTTATAAGCTGGGTGAGTGGCCAAGGGTATCATTTGGTGGGATGTGTCAGAAAACATCAAAGCAGCCTTGCAAAAATCATGATGTAATCTGCTTCTCTCCTCACCCCACAGTCACCAAGCTGTTAGTGCATCCTTGCTAGTATCAAGCTGTCAGGAGTACAGTGGTACCTCGGGTTAAGTACTTAATTCGTTCCAGTAATGAGGCTGAAGGTACCTTTTACCATCTTTGGTGGACCTGCCCGAAGATTAAAGCCTTTTGGGAAATGATCTATAATGAAATTAAGAAAGTCCTTAAAAGGACTTTTCCTAAGAAACCAGAGGCTTTTCTCTTGGGCATGGTCGGCCAATCGGTGTTAAGGAAGGATAGGACGTTTTTTATGTATGCTACCACAGCAGCAAGGATCCTTTTAGCAAAGTATTGGAAGACACAAGAACTACCCACGCTGGAAGAATGGCAGACGAAGGTGATTGACTATATGGGACTGGCGGAGATGACTGGCAGAATCCGTGACCAGGGGAAAGAGATAGTGGAAGAAGACTGGAAGAAATTTAAAACATATCTTAAAAACTGTTGTAAAATTGAGGAGTGTTAAGATGTCAAGGAATTTGGAAATAGAGAATTGCAGCTGTAATCAATAAGTTTAAAAAAAAAAGAACTTAAATGAAATTGAATTTGAATAATTAGTTAATTGGAGGAGTTGCTGAAGAAATGTAAAACAAGGATGCAGAAAAGGGGAGGTATGGGGAAGTCCGGGAAGTAAGGTATATGAAAATAAGATTATGAAATTATACATGTTTGTATGTTTGTGTATTGTGTATTGTTTGTTTTTATTATGTGTTTGGAAAACTAATAAAAATTTATTAAAAAAAAAAGTACTTAATTCGTTCCGGAGGTCCGTTCTTAACCTGAAACTGTTCTTAACCTGAAGCACCACTTTAGCTAATGGGGCCTCCTGCTGCTGATGCGCCGCCGGAGCACGATTTCTGTTCTCATCCTGAAGCAAAGTTCTTAACCTGAGGTACTATTTCTGGATTAGCAGAGTCTGTAACCTGAAGCGTATGTAACCCGAAGCGTATGTAACCTGAGGTACCACTGTAATCTTAAATGCACTCTAGACCCTAGGTGGGTAGTCTGTGTCACAGGTCAAATGATGGATGGCTTGCGTTTTGCTGGATACTTTGGAGAAGCACATACATTTTGTTATCGAAACTAACAATTTGCAAACATTTAAAACACTCAGAGCGTCCCAATATCTTCAGCATTAAAAGGGAACTGATGAACAATTTAAGATTATGAGACATTTAGGAAGTGCCACCTGTATATTATACTTCACTCAGGAATCACCTGCTGCATCAGGCAAGTGTTTGGATGTTGGCACTTTATGCTTAGGAACATTGTGTGGAGTCAGAACAGTGATAACAGCCACCTGGGATTAGAAACGGAGGGCTGAGGAAAACTGCCAGTTGCTTGCAAGCTGAAAAAAATTCTATTCATGCTTCCTGATCAGTTAACCTTTCCTAATGATCCATAAAAATAAAGAATTTTGTGATTAACATCTAGTGCTCATATGATGTAGCTCAACTCTCCTTAGACAGTTAGTGCCCAATAAATTAAATAAATGTGGTGTTGCCTCCTTTGATCACAGAGCAAAGGGAACATCTTTCTTTTTTTGCAAAGCGAACATCTGAGCCCCGCATTGGTACTTCAGAATGCAATGGGGCAGCAATCTGAAATAAAGGAGCTGAAGTGGGGTGGGGAGGGGAGCTCTCCTCTCAATATTTATGGAGACCAACCAAGTTGAAAGCCCATCTGCCATCTCTTCCCTTACCTCACTAATGAAACATTCTTTGTTAAGCCATGCCTACACGATACGATTTGCTGCTGATCTTGATAACCACATGCCACAAGCAGAGTGCAGGAATGACCAAGATGTCCCTATACAACAGGTGCCTGCACCTGATTCTGTTTCAAAGGCTGTCCTTTGCCAATGAGCTAAGCCACACACCTGTCTCTTCCTTGTCTCATTAGTGGAGCTGGCTGGAGGCTTCTGTCAGCTTTTAGGCAAGAGTATCTAGGGAGACGGAGATATTATGGGAGGGAGAATTTTGCACACCCAAATTCCTTCTTTTTTTTGCAGTGCTGTGGGGTGAGCCCATAAAGCCAGACCAGGCATCAGCTAGTGTTTGACCTGGACAAGCCCATAGAAGCAGCCATAATCACCAGCCTTTTGAAAAAAATTAGCACAAATTGGCTGAATTTTTCCATCCCGTAGTCATGCTTTTGAAAATATGTCCCATGTTTGAAAATGTAGTCCAATGTAGTTTGTTTCTGCCCTTGATCTCCTTTCTCTGGTGCAATGATTTCTGAGAGTTCTAGTTACCCCAGACATTATAAAATAATGAATTAGGAACTTTCAGTAGGAGAAATTGCAAGCTTCCAGAGCTGAAGGGTTGCGGTTTCTACAGCTTTTTGCTGTAGGGTCTCCTTCTGCACCTCCATCTTCTGCCCCTCCAGGCTATGCATAAAGCCTTCATAGATAATTCAAATTTTCCCAGTGCAGACTACATCGATAGACTGGGCTACAAACTGGAAAGCCATTTTGCCACTTTAGGCAGAATGGGACAATGGCTTACCCATGCAAATTGGAAATGACCTCTAAAAAGCCCAGCAGTATCATGGAGCACTCTGAGGTGCCCAGAGACAGTTGGCATGGCGGATGTCCATTTAGCTGCGCTGTCCTAGGCAACTGCCTAGTCTACCTGTACGTTAGGTCTTGAATCTTAAGTACGCACTATACCTTTAAAGAACATTCAAATCACATTCTTTCCCTCAGAGAATTCTGGGCACTGTAGTTTAACCTTCACAGAGTTACAATTCCCAGCAGCCCTTAACAAACTACAGAGTCCAGAATTCTTGAAAAGGGGGAAATGTGCTTTAAAGTTATTGTATGTACACAGCCTGAAACATTTAAGTGGAACAAACTAACAGGCAGAATTACCCAGGTCCTAGATAACCTTTTCATGATTTCTGTATGGGAGTAAAAATTGCAGCTATTTTGAAATCTTTTGGTATAAACAGTATTAAAGATAAAGGTACCCCTGCCCGTACGGGCCAGTCTTGACAGACTCTAGGGTTGTGCGCCCATCTCACTCTATAGGCCGGGGGCCAGCACTGTCCGGAGACACTTCCGGGTCACGTGGCCAGCGTGACGAAGCTGCTCTGGCGAGCCAGAGCCGCACACGGAAACGCCGTTTACCTTCCCGCTAGTAAGCGGTCCCTATTTATCTATTTGCACTCGAAGGTGCTTTCGAACTGCTAGGTTGGCAGGCACTGGGACCGAGCAGCGGGAGCGCACCCCGCCGCGGGGATTCGAACCGCCGACCTTTCGATCGGCAAGCCCTAGGCGCTGAGGCTTTTACCGACAGCGCCACCCGTGTCCCATAAACAGTATTAGGTTAAGTAAATTGTCAACTTATATTTTATGATATTGTCTGGTAGAATGCTATTTTATCCTGACAATAAATGTAATTGAATTCAGTAGGTCTAATAATAATAATAATAATAATAATAATAATAATAATAATAATTTATTTATATGCTGCCTACCTGACTGGGTTGCCCCAGCCACTCTAGGTGGCTCCCAACAAAAATGAGTAAAAACACAATACAACACCACACACTAAAAACTTCCCTGAACTACTTCTGAGTAGACATGGTTAGTTATCTAGTTTTCAGTTTTATGTGAACACCACAACTTCCTCCTGCCCCACTCCCCATCATATTCCGACAGCATAAGATGGATACCTGTTGTGTATGAAAGGTATGAATGTTTCCTCTTTTGGAATTTGACTGCTATTTCTATGTTCTGGCTGGTCCTGTTAAGTCAGTCACACCACGGACCCATTATATCTTTATCTTGCCAGATAAAAAGCAGTGCCCAAGAACTGCCCTACTGCTCAAAGCTTTCCCGGCTATAAGACAGCCTGGCTTGTGTGGGTACATTGGATTTTGAAGTTTTGAGGAACAGCCTGAGCACAAGGAGCAAAGTGGTTTATCTGAAAGGAATGGAGAAGGTCTCGGATGCTGCTGCAAAGATGCTGAGAAGTCTGTAGAGTCTTCCCAAAAGCGGATAAAATAACAAACATGTTACACAACTCTGCATTTCTGGTTATTGCTGCTTTGCATTGGCTCATAACACACAAACGTAAGTACAGTTTTGATTAAGTACTTTGCTAGACAGATTGACCCTAAACTGTTTGGGACATGTGGACTTTACTGGATCCAGCAAAGTTACTTGTGTTTGTATAGTTGGGGCTAAAAAAACAGAGAAGGAAGGACTGCCAGGACCCAAAGAATACAAATTGTGTTCCATATGTACACAATATCCCTAATTATATCATAAATTGGTACAGATTTTAATTGTAAGCCACTTTGAGAGCCCACTGTGGTTGGAAAGCAGGATAGACATATGATCAGTAATAAAATAAATTGTTCAGCCTCACTCATCATGAGGATCCTGTTGACTGTAATCCTTGAAATATAAAGTGATCAAATATATGTGATCAAAGACAAAAACACAGCCAGGGCCCAAGTGGCAATGTAATGATATAAAAATGATGATTATTTAAACATGAACAGCTATACATGGAAACATATGTGAGTATGCTTCATGTCTTGGTAATTGCTAAAAAAAAATAAACTAATTGTCCAGTAGCACCTTAGAGACCAAGTTTGTTCTGGGTATATGCTTCTTTAGTATCTGAAGTATCTGAAGAAGTGTGCATGCACACGAAAGCTTATACCCAGAACAAACCTAGTTGGTCTCTAAGGTGCCACTGGCCAATTAGTTATTTTTATTTATTTATTTCAACTGTGTCAGACCAACACAGCTACCTACCTGAATTGGTAATTGCTGTTCTTTTTTCCAGGCAGTGCTGGCAATGTTGCCATTGCAGATGCTTCAATAATCCCAGTTGGAGGTAAATCCTGAGTGTGGTTTATTTCAACCTAAATCCTTCCTTATCCCACTTGCCTGAGATGGCATATGTAATAATAATAATAATAATAATAATAATAATAATAATAATAATAATAATAATTTTGCTGTTGCTTGTTGGAATTTGTTGTCTGCCCTTCACCCCAAGGTCCTGATGTGGGATATATATTCATTCTACAAAATGGCATTAAAGCATTGCTTAAAACCACAAAAGGCGCAAAGATTACTACAGGGCAAGAGGGTGGGGGACAGAACTATCTGATCTTGTCTGCTCCCCAGAGGCTGAATTAAGAGGTGTCTTTTGCTGGCTGCAAAATATAAGAGAAGTAATAGAGGGAAATGATTCACTCTCAAATTATAAAACCAGGAGTCTTGCATGACTATTTGCATGGGTGGCAGCTGCAGACAAGTGCAGATACCAGAATTAGGGAAATGCTAGGAAAACAGTGCTTCCTGATGTCTGCTGAAAGCAAACTGATGTGTGTGGTTGTGCATGCAATAAGCCTCCTTTGGACTGCAGGCTACTACTGTGTAAACTCGACAATTCTGTGATTCTATGTCTGATGTACAGGCTCCTCCTGAGTCCACTGTGCACCCAGATGGTTGCGTGAATAGACCTTCAGAGTCATTCATCAAAACCAAAATCAGATTCAAGTGTGTGAGAGAGGCAGCAAAATATCTCTTCACACAGTTGTATATGGTTAACATGTGAAACGCCACTAGCACACTAGTATAAACTGATAGATTAGACAACTTGCATCAAAGATAAGTAAGTGGCTATGAGCATTGACAGCTAGATTTGTATCTTCTATATTGAGAGAGAATATATTCAGAGATAATAAATCCTTTAAGTTGGAATTGCGTAAGACTCATGATCTCATGGGTTCGAGCCCCATGTTGGGTGAAAGAATCCTGCATTGCAGCGGGTTGGACTAGATGACTCCAGGGTCCATACCAGCTCTACAATTCTATGCTTCTAAGTACCACATTCTGGGGACAAGAGAGAGTGTGGATATTGCCATCTCACCCTTTTTTTCCTGAACTGCCACAGAGCATCCAGTTAGCCACTGTCAAAGACTGAATGGTATTTTAAGTGGACCGTTATCTGATCTAACTTCAGTTCGATATCCATGTGCTATCTGTGCATCTGCTTTTGTTTTGGCAGTAAATAGATGTGTTTTTTCTCCATATCCCCTCCAGATCCTAACATTGCAGTGGGAAAAATGTCGTCCCAGTCGAGCACGTATGAAGAAAAGGGGAAGTCAAAGAAGGCCATAGATGGTTCACTGGCCAATAGTTATGCTAATGGAGACTGCACCCTGACGAAGAAGGATTTTGAGCCCTGGTGGATGGTAGATTTGAATTCAGCATTTCAGGTATCTGCTGTGGTGATCACAAACAGAGGAGACTGTTGTGAGTCAAGGATAAAAGGAGCTGAGATTCTCATTGGAGATTCACCACAGAAGGGAGGCACAATGAATCCCAGGTATTTCTCTGCTGTTAACAAATGAATGGTGATGGAAAACCAATAAAGATGGCATGCAATATGATCTTACTTGGAAGTAAGTCCTGTAGGGTTCAGTGCAACCTATTTCCAATAAACTTTTCTTAAGATTAGAACCTTAGACCCAATCCTAAAAACATTTTTGTTGTGAGTAAGTCCCATAGATTTCACTGGAGCTTACTATTTATTGTTTGTTTTTACGCATTTAACACAATTTATATACCACCTGATGTGCAATCACTTTATCAAAAAAACAAGACTTCCAAGCTGTTTGCAATGTTCTGAGAATGAATCTGCTGTAGTTTTCGCTAGCAGGTTTGTTAATTATACATAACTGAAAAAATATACAGATCTGGAAGTCAGTTAGTTGTGTTGGTTTCCAGAGGAATTGGGGGATTTGGAATCTGCAGTATAAGACCATTGATTCCTCACTGGTGATATTGGCAGGACTCAATCTGAAAAAAATGTACTACTAAAACATGAACATCCTAACCCTCTCAGTTAAATAAACGGAGAGGCTGCTTCTGAGTTTTAACATCTATTGCATCAGCCACTCTTGTAGTCCATCTGTATCTCCTGTCCTCTCCCTTTGGAGGGACGAGCCTGGAAGCTTGGACTATGTTGCCAACTGCCAGGACCCAAAGAAGACAAATTGTGTCCCATACATACACAATATCCTTAATTATATTATACCTTAGTACAGATTTTAATTGTAAGCCACTTTGAGAGCCGACTGCGGCTGGAAAGCAGGATAGACATATGATCAGTAATAAAATAAATTGTTCAGCCTCACTCATTGTGAGGACTGATCCTGTTGACTGTAATCCATGAAATTGGTAGTTTCCAAAAGATATTCTGGAGGATGCTGTCATTGCATGGAAGCTTCCTAGGGGGGTTTCGGTGAGAGGTCTAGTAATGGTGAACACATCATCTAGATGTTGAACAAACCAAGAGGTTGTGGACTCTCCTTCCTCGGAGGTTTTTAAGCAAAGTTGGATGGCCATCTGTCAGGGATGCTTTAGTTGATATTCCTGCATTGCAGGGGGTTGACTTGAGGTCCCTTCCAGCTATGATTCTAGGAATCCAAACATCCCCAAGCATCAGCTTCCTCATCACTGCTAGTCTCTCCCTGCATAATGCGGCTATAGGCAAGGGTTGAATATGGTTCCCTGGTGTGTATGAATAATATGTGTATGAATGACATACAGAGTAAGATAGACCTGTTGTATTAACAGAGTAAGTATTCTAGAGCAAGGGCATCCAGCATGGTCCCCTCAGATACTATGGACTCCAACTCCCATCAGCCCTGGCAAGCATCATCAGCAATCAAGACTATAGAAGTTACAGTCCAACGACAGCTGGGAGGTACCACATTGCTGCAGAACGTGCTGTAGAATTGTCTACACTTCTGCATAGTTGAGCTATGGCATCTCGATCACAATATGTACTGATGACCACTGTCGCAGATGACTTTGAAGGGGGATTCAATCAATTCATGGAGGATAAGGCCATCAATTGCTACTAGCAATGAAGGCTGTATATTGCAAGCGGCATCAGAGACAGTATGTTGGGGAGTATGGCCAGTGGAGTGCTGCTACACTCATGTTCTGCTTGTGTTGTGGCTTTCCATAGGCAACTGCTTGGCCATTGTGAGAACAGGATGCTGGAGTAGATAGCCCTTTGATCTGGTCCAGCAAGGCTCCTCTTAGGAAGTTTAACGGCAAAGAAATGATTGAGCAAAATGTTCTGTGTCTCTTGCTGATATCATTGATCCTTTTGGCCTAAATATTGGTGGGCTTCCCATATTTCCATGTGCCATATCTCCACTGTGCTCTGAGGTCATGCCGCTGAGTAATGCTCTAGTTGCTTTGCAGGTGCGCTACAATCAACAGCATGGGGCGTGGGGAAACCATGTCCTTCACCTGTGCAGGGATGCAGGGCCAGTATGTGACCATTACAATCCCGGGGAGATACGAGTTCCTCTCACTCTGTGAAGTGCAAGTTCTCGCACACCCATGGCTCCATGTGGGTGAGTAGATGGCCTCTGTTGTGGATTTGATGTGCACAGCAAAGGAACATGTTGCTCATGCGATGTGGGCGAACTAAATCACTGATAGTTAGAAAACCCCTATTATCACAACTCAGGTGAGAGAGGGCCTTCCTGCCTTTCCCAGAGCTGACCCATGAATAGATAATGTCAGTAGCTGCACAGGTGGGGCTGCGTTGCTCTCCCGTCTTCCCAACATTGTGCGTCACTACAACTTCTGGGGGGTGGGCAAGGCAGTGGGAGTTTGGCATGGTGTGAGAGGAGCAGTGGAACCAATCCAATACTCTAGCTGCTGCATGTATTTTGTACCCGCAGCACATGACGTTCCTGCTGCCTTGCCTCCCCTCTTGGTAACAGGCAGGGGAAAGACAGCCGGGTAATATTCTAGTCTATGTTAGTCCTATTCACCATTGAAGTCAATAGGCAGGACTAACTTAGGTTTCTTAATTTCAAAGGGTCTACTCTGACTAGGACTTTGTTGGACACAACCCCAGGAGAGCAACACAGCCCCACTGGCTGCTACTGGAGAACGTATGCCTGTCGATGGGGAGTAGAAGTTTCTCCTGCCTCCACATCTACTCTTCTGCTGGAACTTCACCTCTCTCTTTCCGTTCTTGATGTCTGACAACCCACAGTTTCGTCACATACATTTGGGTTGTTTTGTTTTTTGGAAAAAGCAAATAATTTATTAAGTTCATACAACCCATACAAAATTTAAACATCAAGAATATTATAGAAGTTTACTATCATAGACAGACAGACAGATAGTTAATAAAAAGCATATATACTATCAGCTCCTGTCAGACATAATCTTCATTTTGCTGAAACCTGCTCTTATATTTTCCCTGACGTAATATGTTTCAGAACTTCATAGAGCTATGTAATCAATTCCCTGCCTTAAAATTTGCAACTCGCCTCTTATGTATTGTGTTGCCAGGTTCTGTCCACTAATGACACTAATAACTTCTCTGAACCTCTCTCTATCAGCTGTTAATTTTACAGCATTTAGCTGTTCTGATATCTTTCTTACTAAGCCTCTGTTATTATGTTTCTGATTAATTATCCAGGCTTTTGCATATAGTATTCTATCTAGAGTTATAATATATATAACACTTGGTTTTGATCACATGCTCTTATATGGTCTTTTACATAATATTTTACATGAGGAGGTCCAATGAAACCTAGCAGCCCAATATTTCATGAAGGACTGTAATAACCATTTGTGTTATTTCATTTCCACCAAAGGTGAAAGTTTGGTTACATAACACTTGTGAGTAACGTGAATATTTTTCTCACCAGTGCCAGAAGCTCAGACGTGTCATTTCTTTTGCAGTTCATGATGGTGGACGGAGCCCTGTGAGAGACAGCGAAACTGATTTAGGTAAGTGCTCAGTTGTGTGTTGGACTATGACTCCCATCGGCTCCAGCCAGCCTGACCAATGACCAAGGATGATGGGAGTTGTAGTTCAGAAGCATATGGAGCGCCACAAGTTCCCCACTGCTTTGCTGAACAGTGATTTCCTGTAGAAGTGCTAATGATGTTTTCCCTTCTAGGTCTGCAGGGCAGAGTTCTGAGTTTCCTTAATGAATCAAAGGAGAGTTTTGTTGTCATATCTCCACTGCAGCCTCTGAATGTCATGGAATTCACACTCTGCATGAGGGTCTCAGTAGAAGATTTGAGCGATCGTAAAATCATTCTCTTCTCCTACCGCTCTCAAAAGGATGAACTGAGAATCTTGCGTGAGGCAAAGGGCTGCTTTGGCTTACACATGGGGGGTCAGAGTGTGATGTTTGCCCTCCCCGATCTCAGCACTTTGGGAAGTCATATGTGTGTCACCTGGGAAGCTGAGTTTGGCCTCACCGCCTTTTGGATGAATGGGAAAAGGAGCGTCCGAAAAGTGCACAACGTAGGGCATATTGTTCAGTCGGGGGGCACTGCAATGCTTGGATGGGATCAGAGTGCACAAAATACATCCGAACAGCAGGAACGGCGTTTTGTGGGGGAAATAACGGATCTCTACATGTGGGATTATGTACTGAAATCTCAAGACATTCAAGATGTGTTCCAGGTCCACCAGTTTCCTAGAGGAAACATCTTTGACTGGAAAATGATATCGTACAAGATTACGGGGAATGTGCTGGTATTACCTAAGGACTAACACCCAAGGAGGATATGGGCATTATTAAGATATGCAGGTTCTTCCTCCTTTGCAAAAGAATAAATGAAAAGGGAAGGAGGGAAAGCACCACCTGAGATGTGGAAGCGCAGCTGGTGTCATTATTCACATTGCCTGTAATTATTCACATTGTAGGATTGTTGACTCTGCCGTATGAAAATTCTTTCGTACTGAAAATTCTTGAAGTAAATCATAAATTTTAAATAAAACAGCCCTATGAATAATCAAATTTGAAAACAAGATTTATTTACTCATGGCAAGCTGTTGTGTATATAAGAAAGACATATCTATAACTGTACTAGGGGCTAGAAACTTATTGTGTGTTTGCGAAAGAAGCTGTGGATTCTTAAAACATCTATAAAGACCTTGTGGCTTTAATAAGGGTGCTCCAGGAGATATTTGAGATGCAGCGAGCTTTGCTATTTTCATTTTTGTGACCATTATTAAAGTATGTGCACTGTTGCTGGCCTCAGTGTACTGGATAGTCTGAGTCACAAAAAACCAGAAACATACAAATGAGAAGCAAAGCTAGGATCAGACAATCTAAACTTGAAGTACTTAGGGATGCAACAAAGGGAGATAAAAGAGTGACAAAGAGCATTGCTGCTGTACAGGCTACAGTCTCTAAGCCCACTGCAGGCTAAAGCTAAATAAAATTCCAAAAAATAAGCTATGTGGAATAATTATATGAGCAAACATCATGTCATTCAGGATAAAATTGTGAAGAATGCTGATGAAATTAGAAATAGGATGAATAGTATCTTTGCACTCCAATAAATTCCATCTGGGAACCCACGGGAGATGGGTTATTGTTTATCCAGTTCAGTTGAAAATGTTTTGAGTGGGAATTCAGGAATCTGACCATATCAAAGGGAAGGTTTTCAAATGTGTATCAAGTAAGCACACACCCACTTTGTCTGATTAACTTATATACACAGTCACCTATATAGAAAAACAACCTTTATATAGAAGACTGTCCCCTAACTGCTTTTTAGAAATATGGGGCTGGATAGCTCAGTTACTACAGTGGTACCTCAGGTTAAGTACTTAATTCATTCCGGAGGTCTGCTCTTAACCTGAAACTGTTCTTAACCTGAAGCACCACTTTAGCTAATAGGGCCTCCTGCTGCTGCTGCGCCGCCGGAGCGCAATTTCTGTTCTCATCCTGAAGCAAAGTTCTTAACCTGAGGTAATATTTCTGGGTTAGTGGAGTCTGTAACCTGAAGCATATGTAACCCGGGGTACCACTATACTTGCAAAGTGCTAAAACAGGCCGTACAATTTGCAGCAGAGAAATGGCAGGAGAAAGGGAATACTTAGCCTTTCCTGCCCCCATAACTTTCCTCTTCTAGTTCCTTCCCTGTTTGTTTTTACAGTCTGTGTATATTTGCCATAATAAGTAGATAAAACCAGCTTGGAAGGGAGGAAAGTACAGCATTTCCATCCTATACACTGTTCTATAAACAGTCCTGGCCCCCAGCCCTACTGCTTTGTGGATGAGAAGCAGCTTCCTAGCCCCTTAATGGCTGCCATTAATGTAGTTCCAAGATGGCGGCTTTTGATTTATTAAGATCTCCACCATTGTTTTCCTACCATGAGGTCTTCCAAGTTTTTTTTGCAGAAAGCTTTGTTCATTCCTTTATTTGTAAACTACAGCTTCTTCTTCACTGTTACAAGTTGTGCTCAAGGAAACATACAAAAGCCACATCCTTGGCACATGGCTACACAAAGAACCCCTCAGGCCTTTCCTGTTTTCAGGTGGGTTTCAATCACATACAGGTGAATTCAGGTTTTGTAATTAACACTGACTTGGAACCCTTGAACAAAAAAAGCCCCTTGCTCCTCCGCCCTGGCACATCAGAATTTTTGCAATAAGGAAAATAAGGGGAAATGCACTGGGAATTGTAGTCCAAAACATCTAGGACAGTGGTTCCCAATTAGGGGGTCTGTGGCCCCATCCCTTGCCTCCCCCCCCAACTAATCTTTTGTCATTTTTGCATGGTAATATAACAAATTTTATGGTCTGTTTTAGCGCTGTGCAATTTTTCAATATACTGCCATCATGGAGGGGGGTGACAAATTATCAAGGAACAATTACTGCCCTACTAGGGAGGTTCATTAAAAAAAAAACTTTTTTAAAAAAATGCCTGCTCCAAAGGTCTTATCTTACTACACTAGGGATGATATAGCTACATGAGAAATTTCATGCATATCAGTTAATATCTTGACCCTCCTCCATGAAAATAGCTGTTTATTTGGCCGTTTTCCTATGTCGTGAAGGCTGAAATTTCAACAAAGCACACACCTTTGCTAGACTCTTTTCAGGCACCTGCTAAAAGCATTCTTCTTTAGGCAAGCATACCTAGATGCTTAGGAAGTTGAAGTAATTTTAATCTTAATATTTTAGCTTTTGTATGTTTTAAAGTAGGATTGTTAATTTTTCTTGATTTTACTGCTGTGGTGTTTTTTTGTTTTTTGTTTTGGTAAACCACTTTACAGGTTTTTTAAAATAAATTTTATTAAATAAATAGGCAATAAACATAAATAAAATAACACAAGCCAAAAGACAATCCACAGTATCCACAGTATCTGCCCACAGTCGTCTACTTGTTATCAGAGGCTCAGAATCCACATTCCTTTGTAAGAAAATATGAAATAACGTAAAACCATTTTTGCAGGCAAAAATAAAAAAAATTAAAAAATCAATGTGTGTGTGGGTGACAAGAAATTTTCTGCACTGGGTACCACCTGACCTTCCTTATGTCTCTGACCACGATAACAATTTTGAGCCAGCAAGACGCAGAAATACAGTGGTACCTCTGGATGCAAGCACAAATTCCCCCAGTGCTGCTGCGTGCGGGAAACTATCTAGGGAGTGTTTCCTGCCGGCAGCTGCATGGGGGGAGAGGCTCAACAACTTTGGGCCATCTCCCTTCATTTTCCTAAAACTGAGTCCCTAAAAAAGGGGGGCATCTTATAGACAGAAAAGTACGGTAGTTACCATGTGCGGTGTGATGAGATAAAATCAAATGTGGGTCAGTAGTAGTAGTAGTAGTAGTAGTAGTAGTAATAATAATAATAATAATAATAATAATAATAATAATAATAATAATAATTGTATAGCCCGTCTATCTGGCTGGGTTTCCCCAGCCACTCTTCCAACAAAATATTAAAATACAATAGTCTGTTAAACATTAAAAGCTTCCCTAAACAGGGCTGCGTTCAGATGTCTTCTAAAAGTCTGGTAGTTGTTTTTCTCTTTGACATCTGGTGGGAGGGCATTCCACAGGGTGGGTGCCACTACCGAGAAGGCCCTCTGCCTGGTTCCCTGTAACCTGGCTTCTTGCAGCGAGGGAACCGCCAGAAGGCCCTTGGCGCTGGACCTCAGTTTCCGGGCAGAACGATTGGGGTGGAGATGCTCCTTCAGATATATTGGACTGAGGCCATTTAGGGCTTTAAAGGTCAGCACCAACACTTTGAACTTTGCTCGGAAATGTACTGGGAGCCAATGTAGGTCTTTCAAGATGGTGTTAGCGGCCGCTCCCAGTCACCAGTCTAGCTGCCGCATTCTGGATTAGTTTTAGTTTCCGGGTCACCTTCAAAGGTAGCCCCACATAGAGTGCATTGCAGTAGTCCAAGCGAGAGATAACTAGAGCATGCACCACTCTGGCGAGATAGTGTGTACCTTTTTGAGGGGGAAAGATTGTGTCTTTAGAATATTGTTTATAATAATGTCCCTTATTACTTCAGTTTAATCTGGTGAATTTAATGCATACCTTTCCAGATATGATTGCACTTGGGAAATGCATGATAGAAAAGCAGAATATAAGTCACTTATGGGAAACAAACAAACAAACAAACAAACAAACAAACAACAACTGAACAACATCGGTGTAAAGATGATGACTAATTCCAAATGTATGACGACCAATGTCTGAGCTAAATGGGTGCTTTGTGCAAAGTTAATTGCTGGTTCTTTGGAAGGAGGCTTAGGTAAATATGATATTAAAAGCAGGAAAAAGGCCAATGATAAATAATCATACCATTGGTTGAAAATTCTGGCATCAAGAACAGTATATCTCTGTGGATATAACATGGCTGATGCAACTCCGTATTTACAGGCTTATGGCACAGGGAGAACAATGTAGTGGAAAAGTTTCAGACAGATTCCTAGCTATTTGAGTTCCCAAATATTTGGTGACTTGAAATTTTCACGTGATTTTACCTTGCTGATCAATGTGGTGTGATGCAATATCTGTATTTATATGACTGGGAGAGTCAGAGAACTGTTTCCAATTTACCTGTTTGTTTTTAAATTTAAGCACATAGTCCATGCATGTTTGCTGAACTTCTCCTTCATTTCAGTTTCCTTCCTCCATTCATCATTTTGTTACTGACAAGGAGAAATATTTGTTCTCTGAGAAAATCAAATCAGTATCTCGTGTCCTTAGTTTGGAAGAATCCTAATTGGAGGATATCAGTATTCAGAAAGGTATATTAACCTCTTCGAAATTCTCCAGATGCATTGAAGAGGAGAGTGTTTTCCCAACGATTTCTCTTCTGAATTTTCTTTACAAGCCATTGAGGAGGACACCATGCTTTTAAGAAGAACCTCCATATCTGTGGCATTTTATCTCTGCCTGCTGCTTATGACTCCTCTGCCAACGCTAACTTTCCAAGAAGGTATGTTTCTGAGCTTGGGCATCAATTTCCCCCTTTTCTTCTCTCCTTTTCAGTGATTCCACCAACAGCAAGATTCCATTTATTTATTTATTGCATTTACACCCACCTGTTTCTCCAAGGAGCTCAACATGGTTCTCCTCATTTAATCCTGTGAGGTAGGTAAGGCTGAGACCCAGTGTCTGGCCCAAGGTCACCCAGTCAGCTTCATGCTGAGTGGGGTTTTGAACTCTGGTCTGCCAGGTCCTACTCTGATACTCTAACCACTGTACCAAATTGGCTCTCTTTCAGAGGCTTATCAGCCCACAGGTACGTACCAATTCACAGCACTCTCGGCATCTCTCCAAATCTGAACTACCGCAGAGTCTTTCTCTGCTCTCCCCTGACTAGCTGAAGTGTCTTTTACTTCCAAAAGCAGTTGGGGGTGGAGGGAAGGAAGGGAGCCTTCCAGGGCATCACAGGAAACCTCAGCCATGAGCTCTTGATGGGGGCAAAGGACCAACCAGCCATTCCTGCCTAAATGTCCACTGGGAAGGTGTCCCAAGGGGAAAGGATAGATGGGATCTTCCCTTCTGAAATGTGAAACAGAGCTCTAACATCAGAGTGGTAGATCTGATGCCAAAACCTCCCTTACTCTCTCTGCCACTGGCTCTTTCAAAGTGCTGGCTTTACTGGCACTGGCTCTACGGCTTCAGAAGGGCTGGGAAGGGGGCATTCTGGTAAGCAATGTGGATCCGAAACATCCTAAGCCATCCTGGTCCCCTAACACACCATTAAAATGGGAAAATAGTGAGTCATGTTCCTGAGTGTGACTAAATCTCCCCCTCTCCTTTGGAAAACATTTTTTTTTTATGGTAATGCGATAAAAGGAGAGAGGAGTGCATGTGTGTTCAAGCCTATTCCCACAGTAAGAGAATAATAACCTGCGCTACAGCTCTAGGAGTTTCTCTTAGCCAGTCAATCCGATTTTTATTGTTTGTGGTCAATGGACACTGCAATATTATCCAATAACTCTGCTGCTCCTTGTAGGATTCACTTGCCCAGAGAACTGGTTGAAGCGTGAAGGAAACTGTTATGGCTACTTCGAGGAACCTGTGACCTTTGCCCAGGCTAGGGTAAGAGATGGTTTATCATTGTATTAGCTGTGCATATGAGGAGTCAACATCCCTTTCCTCTCTGTGAAAATAGAGACTGGACAGGAAGGTGCTGGAAGGATGGAGTTGGGCCTGGCTATACTGAGGCCGATGGCCATTGATGGAGCTCATGGTTTGGCGCACTCCCTGTGTGACAGGAATCACTTTGTGGCACAGTGTGGCTGGCTCCACACAATGCGGGAAGGCTGGTGTTGGCCCCCAAATCCCACAAGACATCACTTGCTCGCATTGCATGGTCTTGCGTGAGTTCTGGGGGTGGGTGGAAAGGAGACTTCCTTAAAGAAGGTTGCTGTGCCTCAGGTCAGTCCTTTCCTCAACGAGTTTCAGATAAGAAGGCACAACAATCTGTGGGGAGAGTGCAGAACTTCAGAGGTTGGTATCAGGGTTGTGGGGCGTCAGGAGTGAACCTACTCTACACTGGATTATCGGTTTATTTACTCAAAGCAAAAGGGTAGTATTGCCAAAGAGTAGATCCCTAATGCACAATATTAATCCAGTAATTTTAAGGCAGAAGAAATAGTAATGAATATAATAAAGAACAATTATCATTATTATTTATTACATTTGTTAGTTGCTTTATCTTGCCCAGGGCAACCCAAAGTGACTTACAACCAACCAACAAACCAGCCAGATCAAAAAACACCACATAGATACATTAGAGCCAAGAGGAAAAAGAAATACATGAAAAATATCCCGCCCACTTCTAAAAGGCTACAGAGAGTTGAAGGCCAAAGGACTGGTTATAGAGGAAAGCTTTTGCCAGGCACAAAATCATGACTTTTCAGCCTTCATAGCATTTATCTGTTTGTCTTTCATTCTTCTGCATTATTGTTTTAATGTAAAAAAAGATGAAAAATGGAACAAGGGCAAAACTGGTATTAAATTATGAGTACTTGGCACTAGTGTTTGCATAGGGCTGGAAGGCTTATCGTGCAAAGGCTAAACTGCAACCGGGGGCAACTTAATTGATAAAAAGAAAGAAAGAAAAAAGAAGCTAAACCTGACTCTGTTGATAGCTGAGCTCTAGCTGTTGCAGCAAGCAAACCTTTGTTCAGTTTTGGTAGAGGATGATTTGATTAAAAAAGAAAGTCAAAGCTAGCAGCTGGGGACTGTGTCTAGAAGCTGGTGCAACCCATAGAGTGAATGGCATTCTTTGTGTCCTTGTGTAGGAGAAATGCCAAAAGGAACATCGTGCCGACCTAGTCTCCTTCCATAGCAGGGAAGAAGTCTGTGCAATTGCGGAATTTGTTTCCGGCTTCGAGGACGACAAAGATGTTTGGATAGGTCTCCATGATCCTGAAAAGGTGAGTGCAGCAAGCTCCCTGGTGCTTAACGTCTCGGGATGTTTCCAACACTCTTCTCTTCTGAATTTCTCTCTGGATTTTGGAAATCAAAAACAAAATCAAGTAATTCAAAAGTGGAACTGATGCATTGGTGATCTCCATGATGGCAAATATCAACACAATCTGTCAGGAAATGCCACTCTCTGACCTAGAAAGCCTTCTCCAATAATTGCTTATCTGTAAGAACTTTCTCTCTGTTACCCTGTTACCTCTTCAGCTTCTGACACCTCCTCCTCCTCCTCCTCCCTCTGACCACTCACCATTGTCCCACCACCAGTCCCCTGTCTCTGAGCCTTCTTCCCTTGGAGGTTCCCCTTCAGCTGGTTCCCCTTATTCTTCCTCTGCATCCAACCAGTCCATGGCACCCATTAACCCCAGCCAGCATGTCCAGTGCTCAGGATGATGAGTGTTGGAGTCCAACAATACAGTGGTACCTCGGGTTAAATACTTAATTCGTTCCGGAGGTCCATTCTTAACCTGAAGCACCACTTTAGCTAATGGGCCCTCCCACTACTGCCGCGCTGCCGGAGCACGATTATTGTTCTCATCCTGAAGCAAAGTTATTAACCCGAGGTAATATTTCTGGGTTAGCGGAGTCTGTAACCTGAAGCGCATGTAACCTGAGGTACCATTGTATATGCCATAAATTTCTTATCACTGAATGAACTTCATAGGTCAGCAGGGAGGAGAATTTGGTTTGATCTACATTTTTAAGTGAACTGATCAAATTCACACCTCTTGGGCCAATATATAAATTATCCTTTGGCTCTCACACTTCTGGTGGAAACACTGGTGCCTGCTGGTATTGTGTTGGCAACCCCTATGGAAAATGAAGAGCACAGGCCTCCAAAACATACCTGCCCTTTACAACAGAGTGGGGCGGGGCAGGGGGAACGTTTCTGGCTGGAGGGGGTCAGATCTTTATCTTCCCCACTCCTCTCAGGACAAAAGATGGCAGGTGGGCAACCTGCCAATCACCTCACCTCATAGTGATGTCAGGTGATGCTTCCCCTGGGAACCCCAGTGAGCAGGACTTCAAAGCAAACTGTGGGGCTTTCAAAGAGCCCTTTGTAAACATCCCTGTGTGCTGTGTTTGATTCCCTTACTAACTGCATTTCTTGCCTTCCACCTGCAGGATAACGTGTGGGATTGGACTGATTCCACCAGTTTTAACTTATATGCTTGGCTGGATGACACAGAGAGAAATAATGAATACTGTGGGGTATTGCTCCACAGCACAAGTAAGTGTTCAGGTGCTTTGGCAGATGGGGACACAGGGGTTCAGGAAGGAGAAGAGCAAAATACGGTTGCTTTTGTGTACCTTCCAGCTCTAACACTTTGAGAGCTGAGATTTATGGGTGTTTCCTTTAAACAGCTGCAAAGCACTGCTTGGGTCAGAGGTGGGAAGGATGCAGTTTGTAGCACAAAAAGTGTCTGGCACACCTAGACACTCCTCTTCCCTCTGCCACATTCACCCAGCCAGAGTTCCAGGCATGTGCTTGCTAGGTTATTAAAGGAAGAGCAAAGGGGGAAGAGGATTCCAGAGAAAATGCTTTCAGCAAGTGAGGTAGCTGTTCACCACCTGCTGTTCTGTACAGCAATTGTACTGTGAAATTGCTTGGAGATGCTTCCTAGGATTCATAAACGACATAAAGGACGCCACCACCACTCCACTTAGCAACTGTTCAGTAGAGGCCTGACTTCCCAAATCTGCCAGTTTTGTAGCTCAAACCAGTGGTAATCCTGATGGGCTTAAAGACTTTTGCCTGGCAGGAAAGGTGGCATATACATCAACCAGGTGGCTAGCACAGGTAGTCATAATCACATTTTTAATATGCTGCCACTGTGTCACCTTAAATATCCCGTGCTGCCACTTGTGTATGTCTGTGCATTCACCTCCAGCCAAGGAGGCTAGAAATTTGGCAATTCTCAATATGCAAAAGTTTAAATCAAAACCCAAAAGTCTCAGTTGCACAGAGGATTGCATTTTGCATATCACATCTACAGCTTTGCTTTTAGCTTTTCTCCTAAGGATGTAATCATGTGCTTGCAAAACTGTAAACAGTTAATAACTCTTCTCAAAACTTAGAAGTAGTGCTGAAGAGCGGACATTGGGCTTCTCTGTACTTACCTCTCCTCTGCGCTTCCCAGACACAGGGCTGCATTTTAAGCTCTGTGTCTGAACTGCTGAATTGGAGCAAACAGCACTCTGCAGAAAATCCAATTGCCATTTGTTGCGCTTCAGCTTTAAAGAGCGCGTTTTTGTGGGGTGTTAAGTTGTGGGTGAACATATCAGACGACACAGCGATTCTTCAAACAGCTCTTCTTTATTCTGAGGCCAGAACTGAACTGGGCTGAAGGGCTCAGTCAGCCTGCTTATCTAGAGCTCCAGTACCTTGTTACTGTAACAACATTCTAAAACTATCCAATCACTGAATGTCACTTTCGATCCTTCATTTGCATACAAACTATCCAATCACTGAACGTAACTTTCGATCTTTCATTTGCATAACTATCTACAGTATCCCCCTGATGGCCCAGGGTGAGAACTTCAGTACATAACATGGGGAATGCTCCAGGGCAGGGAAAAGAGTGCTTGGACACAGAGTTGTGCCTGGAAAGCACAGCTCAAAAGATAAGTGCACATAAGCCCATTGTCTGTGGTTTCTTATTCTTGCTGCAGCCTGCAGTTTAGCCAGTTTTGCAGGTTTCTGTGGTGCTTCAGGCAATACTTACGACTTTTCCAGACAGCCTTTCTAGACAGTACATTCATGGTTATTTCTGCTCGTGATGGCACAGGGCAGCCCGACGAAAACTTGCTTTCAGTACTCTTTGTGCCTGAAATGTTTTGGGGCAGATATCCTGCTTGGTTTCCAATCAGTGCATGTCCTGCAGCTTCCTGCTGACATCCTGTAGCTTTGTATACTTCCAACGTCCCGGGTTATTGCTGTCTTGCCTTTGTTGCCCTGTGGTGCAAGAGTGGCCCCTCCAAATGGCAATGATGCAACAACACCAGGGGAGCATTGCAGAACAACTAATAAAGCAAAATGACGCATGGATGGTCCACTATAAATGCACTGCTCATGCATCAGTGATATGTTGCAGAACACACCCATGCAAAACCCCCATTCTGGAGGAGCCCTCAGTGAAGATGAAAAAAAGGGGCTGAGTGAGCCACTCATGCTTAGCATTTGAAATCTCAGGAGCCGAATTGGTGAACTTACTCCAGGTCAAACATTGTGTTTATGTTGATGGATACAGAAATTCTGACCATGGTTTTGATCTGTGACAGCTGTTTCATACATATGCATTTTCCATATAGGAAAAAAGTCCTGCATAGTAATGTTCTATTGCTTCAGATGGGCACTGAAGACAGTTTCCCCCTTGGCAGGCTTTGAGGAGAATTGCTCCCAAGTGAATTTCATACCGTTACCTCTCTTGACTTATTTTATTAGACAGAAAACCCCTATATGTTTTTGTTCATTGTGTGTGTTGTTTCTTGTGCATTGTAGGTGAACCTGGATAATTCATACAGAGGTGGAATATACAGTATATATTTTTTCAAAAGAAAATAAATATTTAAGGCTGTGGTCATCCCACATGAATGTGTGAACGAGCCTTAAAAGGCCGTGGAGTGAACAACACTTTTCTAATAAGACAGAAGACAGTTAATATTTTAATTATTAGTTTTAATAACCTATATTGCATGTTTAATATTTTGCAGTATGTTGTCCAAGGAATGTTTGTGGATGGGTAGCTATAAACATAAAATAAACAACCCTGGGAGGTTGCATCCCAAGGAGAGCACAGATCCTGCAACCCACAAATCACCCTGGTATCTCAGCTGCCTTATTTTTCTTTCTGCATAGATTACATTGTATGGGACAGCAGAAATTGTGAAACCAAGAGCCCCTACCTTTGTAGTTCGACACCACAAATTATCGTTCGTGAGTGCTAACAAGGAGGAACCCTGGCTGGCTGTCTAGAAGAACCTGCACCCAGAGGGATGTCAACTCCTTCCATGACTGCTAAACTCACCTGCTACTCCTCTATAGGCTGAAATCCCAAATAAACAGTAGAACTTGCAACTCTATGTGGCTGGGTGTGTCATCTGTTACAAGATGGGGAAATGGATTCCTTGATTTTTCTTACCTATTTTATTTATTTAAACAGTCATAACCCTTACTTTTACAAAGTGCTGGTGTACCCAGCAGAAATAATTTAGACAGCAAACAATCTTGGGGGTTGAACCCAAGACCTTCTGTGTGCTGTGGCCCTTCCTGTTGAAGATACTCACCTGTCCCACCTGTCGCCTGTCATGGAACCTTGTGATTCTCAGGTAGTCACATGTCCAGGCAGTTACCAAACCTAGACTTGCTTAGCAACTTCAAAGTGATTGTCTCCTGTGCCTTCACACCATAATAAAAGGCTAATAATAGCACAGCGCACATTGATGCATTTATTAATTTAGGTAAAGGGACCCCTGACCATTAGGTCCAGTCATGACTGACTCTGGGGTTGCGGCGCTCATCTTGCTTTACTGGCCGAGGGAGCCGGCGTACAGCTTCCGGGTCATGCGGCCAGCATGACTAAGCTGCTTCTGGCGAACCAGAGCAGCAAGTCCTAGGCTCTGTGGTTTAACCCACAGTGCCACCCAAGTCCCTTCATTTATTAATTTACTGCATTTATACTTCACCTTTTTCTTCAAGGGGCTCAAGGTGGCATACATGGTTATCCCTGCTCATTTATGCTCCACAACAACCCTGTGAGGTGGGTCAGACTCAGAAGCAGTGCCTGGCCAAAGGTCACCTAGTAAACCTCATGCCAGAGCTCCAGTCTCTCAGGTCTTAGCCTGACACAAACCACTCCACCATGTGGTACTGTGTTCTCTCAGTACCTTTGGGGGCAAAGAGCAGCAGGTGGAAGGAAATAAAACCTGCCAAGAAAATGGCATGTTTCCATGGGGCCCTTATCTTTGTCCCACAGAGAGCGAGAAAAACCTGTCTTTATTATTGGAAAGAGTTTGAGTGGTGCTAGCAGATGAGTTGGAAGAAACCCACAAGGCATATGAGAAAGATTTAGAAATATGGTCAAGGTTGAGACTTTCCTTGTTAGGCCGAATTGTTGTCATCAAGATGAATGTATTGCCTAGAATGTTGTTTTTGTTTCAGTCATTGCAGATTGTGGACAAGATGGACTGCTTCAAGAAGTGGCAGAAAGATATATCTAAATTTGTCTGGCAGGGCAAAAAGCCCAGAATAAAATTTAAGATACTAACTGATGCAAAAGACAGAGGGGGGTTTGCCCTGCCGGACTTAAGACTGTATTACGAATCGGCAGCTTTCTGCTGGTTGAAAGATTGGCTACTTCTTGAGAATACGGACATTTTGGATTTGGAAGGGTTTGACAACAGATTTGGTTGGCATGCATATATATGGTATGACAAGGTAAAAATTCATAAAGGTTTTAAAAACCATATTGTCAGGAAAGCATTATATAACGTTTGGATGCGATATAAAGATTTAGTGGAAAGCAAAACTCCCAGGTGGTTATCACCAATGGAAGCCAAGGAAGTGAAAAAACTTAATATGGAGTCTAAATGGCCAAAATATTGGGAAATTCTAGAGCAAGATGAGGGAAAAGTCAAACTACAGAGCTATGAAAAATTGAAGTTTAAGGTACGAGACTGGCTTCATTATTATCAAATAATGGAGGTGTTTAAACAGAACAGGAAAATTGGCTTCCAGACGGAGAGGTCAAAATTAGAAACAGAACTGTTAGAACCCAATACTAAGAATTTGTCAAGAATGTATAATCTGCTGTTGAAATGGAATACACAGGATGAAATGGTGAAATCAGCCATGATTAAATGGGCACAAGACATAGGTCATGACATTATGTTTGCTGACTGGGAACAGTTATGGACCACCGGGGTTAAGTTTACGGCATGTAATGCCTTAAGAGAAAATATTATGAAAATGATTTATAGGTGGTACATGACCCCAGTCAAGCTTGCAAAAATTTATCATTTGCCCAATAATAAATGCTGGAAATGTAATGAGGCTGAAGGTACCTTTTACCACCTTTGGTGGACCTGCCCGAAGATTAAAGCCTTTTGGGAAATGATCTATAATGAAATTAAGAAAGTCCTTAAAAGGACCTTTCCTAAGAAACCTGAGGCTTTTCTCCTGGGCATGGTTGGCCAATTGGTGTTAAGGAAGGATAGGACGTTTTTTATGTATGCTACTACAGCAGCAAGGATTCTTTTAGCAAAGTATTGGAAGACACAAGAACTACCCACGCTGGAAGAATGGCAGACGAAGGTGATTGACTATATGGGACTGGCGGAGATGACTGGCAGAATCCGTGACCAGGGGAAAGAGACAGTGGAAGAAGACTGGAAGAAATTCAAAATATATCTTAAAAACTGTTGTAAAATTGAGGAGTGTTAAAATGTCAAGGAATTGGGAAATAGAGAATTGCAGCTGTAACTAATAAGTTAGAGAAGAACTTAAAAGAAAATGAATTGAATAATTAGTTAATTGGAGGAGTTGCTGAGGAAATGTAAAACAAGGATGCAGAAAAGGGGAGGTATGGGGAAGTCTGGGAAGTAAGGTGTATGAAAATAAGGTTATGAAATTATACATGTTTATATGTTTATGTATGTTTGTGTATTGTGTATTGTTTGTGTTTATTTTGTGTTTGGAAAACCAATAAAAATTTATTAAAAAAAAAAAAAGAAACCCACAAGGCATATGGTACCAACATTGTACAGTAAACAGAAAAGTCCATGAAGAGAAAAACAGCACATTGTGCTTGCCTATCAGGTAGAGAGGGACACATATGTCAATTTCAGTTTCTCTCATTTTCTCATTTATTCCAGTCTATTTTCCCAGTCCAGTTTAGTCCCTCAAGTCAGTTTCTGTGGTTTTTTAACAAGTACTCAAGACAATTGATCAACATTTTCCTTCAAATTTAACCTACTGCGCATATTTTTGTGTGCAATTTGCTCATACACAATGCCTGGTTGCTTCAATAAAACCTTCCCAGGTGGAGGGAATTTGGAAGAACCCCTCTGGATTTCTGTATAAATATACCGTAACAGAGATATAATGCATGAAACCACAGCGTGGCCCATGGGATTTGTTTCTGGGTAGAATATATATGAGAGAAAACCAGCCGTGTTATTCTGTGGTGGCAAAAACACATTTAGAATGAGCAAAATGGTGATTCTACCCAACAGGTGAGGCAAGGGTTGGTTCTACAACTGAGCTTGGCTGTGGACCAGATTCTCCTTATTGGGTATCATCCAGATGTTGAACTACAACCCCAGGAGCCCCAGTCAGCTTGGTTGAAGGAGGTTACTGTAGGCAATGGGTTTTTGAGATTGTATTGCTTGTCTCCTACTGCCATTCAACTGCCATTCCTCCCCTTTTATGGCCATGTTAAACAAAGCTGCCAACTAAGAATCTCACTTCGTACATCTGATAAAGTGAACACACTCTCTCTTTTGCACAGCTGGAGTTTGTTCATAACTTGTAAACAGGTCCATCAGGCTGTTCCCAAGGCTGCCAGATTAGATTAAATCTTTAGGCCTTGAATCAATATTGCTGCAGTTGAATAATGTTGATTTTCAGGAGCTGAAGCTGCTATCCTTGAACTCTGTTGCAGAAGAAGTTGAATGGATATTGACAGTTTTCCAGAAACCACCGGGCAGCAGAGTCCCAGCTGTCTGTAGCTAGGCAAGATAAAACTACCTTGCATGCCTCCCGCCCTGCTTCTACTCTTGGGTTGGAAAACAGGGAACATGGTCTTAAAACTGTATAGGAATGGGTGCATATGTCCATTTTAGTTTCTCTCAAATTTCCCTTCTTCCATTCTGAAGTTCCAGTGATGCCAAAACTGGATTGGGGCCCCTGCAATGATTTTAGGGCTGCATTTGCTGATTTGTTTTATATTTTACACTTTTGTTTTATGGTTGTTGCATATGAATCAATAGCAGCCCAGTGATGACATGCAGGCCAGTAGTGGCTGTGTGGCTGACATGAAAAACTGCATTGGGGTGGGGTGGACACTGCACTATCAAGGAATCATACCAGTATCAAGTAAGTCATACTCAAGCCAGCCAGTTTTGTTTTCCACTGTAAAGGCAGTACGCTTGGGCAGTGGATGAAATACTGTGGATATGGAGGACTGCACTTAAACATACATATAGCTAACTTCCTCCTCCGTCCAGCGTCAGACTAGCAGCAATAACAAGATATTTCTTTTTTCTGTGGTGCTCTGGGAGGGTGTCTGGGAGACCCAGGCAGTGTCATGGGCTGGCTGGATGCAGAGGAGTGGTGAGAGGCAGCAGCTGGGGAACCCCCAAGGGATCCCCCAGACTGAGAGCCCAGGGGGTTGGGGGTGGGACAATGATGAGTGGTCAGAGGGAGAAGAGAGAGCAGACTGGGAGGAGGAGTTGATGGAAACTGAAGAGGTATCAGGGTTTAGTGAGCAGGAAGAGGCTGAGAAGACGCTGGAGAGGATCGGGCCAAGCGGCAGAGATGAGGCTGGCTGCTGAAGAATCCAGGGAGTCTCTCACTCCTGCTCCGACCAGCTCCCCTTCCCCCTGGTCTCACAAAAGACCAAGAGGAAAGAAGAGGGTGGAGCAATGAGAGGCTAAAGGAGCCTGAGATTGCTTGTGAAGGACCCCGGAAGAAGTGCAAATTTGAAGGATGGCTGTGTTTCAGTTAGCACATTGGTATGGAAAGTGTAAATCAGGCAGATTCCTCCTGCAAATGTGAACTGAATTCTATTTCTCTCCCAACCTTAGAAGTGTTCTTGCTTCTTTTGCTTCTGCTTTGATGTTATGCTAATATCATGAGAGGGATTTTCCCTGCTATCCCACCCCTTGTCTTTGGAAGCCTTGTAAGAAGCTGCTGCAGAAGAGGGACACTGAGAAACATCATGGGAGGGGGGTTTCTAGGACCAAGGTGAAACCGTGAAGCTCCTTTGTTATTTTTGCTATTGGAGGCTGCATGTAGTTTCCGTAATCTTGTTATGCAGGTGGGACCATTTTGTGCAGGGGTTCCATTCCTGACCCCTGCGCACATAAGCCTGTCCTGCCCTGACCCCATTCCTCCCCATTTTCGGGCCACCTCCAGGTCAGCAGTGATGAACGTGTGCATGACCGCACATCAAGCGGATTGCGAGTAAAATGGTTGCTGTAACTTTGTTCTGAAAGAAAGAACAGGCCTCCTATTTATTTTCATTTCAGACCATATTTCATGTACTGTTTCTGATCTTTTGCCTCATTTACCTCAGATTCTGGCCTTTGTCAGCCCTATTTTGTTGTAACTGGCAACAGGTCAAATATTTCTTCAAGCCACAAAATGAACCTTTGAAATGTACCTTTGAATGGTCTTGATTTTGAACAGTTCTCTGACTGGAGGAGAGCAGCATCCACCAGAGTTCAGTAACCTCGTTCCAGTTCTGTTTGGGGCACTCAAATCAAGAGCGCTTCTCTTGGGAAGTGTTCTCTCCTGAGCCTGGCCAGCCTCTTTTTACAGATCCTGCAACAAAGAGGACACAATGGTTCCAAGAAGGACCGTGAAATACTGCCTTTCGCTGCTGCTTTTGACCATCCTGCCTTCCCGACCTGCGTTGGAGGGTGTGTTACCAAGAACTGGGCGTCTTTCCTTCCCCCTATTTTTCTTCACTGGTCTTTCTTTGTATTGCCCCTTGCTTTCCTTTTTCTGTTTCTCTTCTTTGTTTATCTTCTTTTTGTTCTTTCTTTTGAGTGCGATGACTGGGGCCTTTATTAATGTCCAGTGATTGTAGTCTCACGGGGGTGGTAAATGGTAGACGCCTGGGGGAGAGACAGGAAATGTCGGTCTCCCAGGTGAGAGGCTGGGAGGAGAAGTGAAGGATTCCTGGAGAGAGCTGCGAGGAACTACCGTCCTCTGTGGGCGGTTAGGGCTAAGAATTACTTCTAAGAGCGGGCTCCGTATTCTGCTTACTTGATTTGTATTCTCGGTAGTTCTCATTTTACTGTTTTATTGAATAATTTAAAATAAAATCTTAAAAAACAACCAACCCACCCAGAGAAGGCTGCCTTACTTCCTGCTGGAAATGAAAAGGACAAGTCCATTGCTATCCTGTTCATTTCAATAGGGCTTCCTATGTGCCGGCCTGCCTTTAGATCAGGGTCCCTGTTTATGTTAAGAAATATTTCTTAACAGTAGTTAATCCGAGTCAAGATAAATTCCTGAAGTACTCAAGGTGCCCTCTTCATTGGAAACTACCGTTGCCCACCAGCTTCTGCCCCCTGGGGCTCTTTTGAGTATGGACCACAGCTAACTTTTCAGTGACAATTCATAATTATAGGCACTAATGGAAGCACTCCTAACTTATTTACCTCAGAGTAAACTGCATTGAATTTGATAGGACTCCAGGGGCAATTCTAACTATGTTTGCTCAGGGGTTAGTTTAACTGAAAATGGAACTTGAATTAGTCGTAACTAATTTGTTCCTTTGTCTTCGATGGGGATTTTAGTACCACTAACGTAAACCTCATTGTTTTAGTGAGATTTACTCCAGGTAAGTTAGTACAAAAATGCTGTGTTAGCCACAACTAACCTTTTAATTTGGTTGGAGTATGCAGCTTTTGTGCTGTGTGTTTCAGTAACCTCAAGTTTAATATGACATCTGTTTAGCAGCATCATTACGCTTCTGGTTTTATTTTGCACTGGAAGGTTTCATACTAAGGAACGAGAGCTAATCCAAACCTCTGGCAATAAAATGGAAACTTTCCCCCTCTCTCTTTCAGTCTCCAATGTGGCCCTCACAGGAGAAGCTTTACAATCCAGCACCTACAACCCGCTAGGAGGAGCTATGAATGCCATTGATGGGTCTTTAGTAGGTGTATTTACAGAGGGATCCTGCACCCACACAGATTATGAAAGTAATCCATGGTGGACGGTAGACTTGCAGGCACAGTACCAAGTAGCCCATGTAAGCATCACCAATCGGGAAGACTGCTGTGCTCACCGTATTAATGGGGCTGAAATCCGAGTTGGGGACTCCACAGAGAGAGGAGGCACCACAAATCCTAGGTACTGTATATGGATCGGATGCTTTGTAGCCAGGGAAGAAGAAGCCGTGGCCCTCCAGGTGTTACTGGAGTACCACTCCCATCATCCTTAGCCATTGTCCATGTTGGTTAGGGTTGTTACGAGTAGGGAATTCAACAATAATTTGGTTGGCCACGGATTCCTTATCTCTGTCTTACACATTGAGATGTCATGAGGTACAATTTTCTGTTCTTCCCTGTTTTCGTCACATCCAGGACTGTTTCCGTTCCACTGCAGTTCACTGTCTGCCAAAAGCTACATTATTTTGTTTTGCTGTCCACTGTGGCAAAATTACATAATTTATGTAATTCCGTACATAAATTATATAAGTTACATTGTCCTATGATGCCACTCCACTCATTTAAATGTAAAGAAAATGCAGTGCAAATTGGGGATGTAATGTAATCAATTGTATATTGTCTGTGGACTGAAAGAAGCCAAAACAGCAAACGCTGATCGTATTCACTGAATCGATTTCTGTTCCACACATGGAGTGAATTTGTGAACATTGGCCATTTCCACTTCTGTTTTTGCAACATCCTGTGTCATCCCTGCTTTACAGGATTATGGCACAGGGAGAACAATATAGTGGAAAAGTTTCAGACAGATCCCTAGCTATTTGAGTTCCCCAAACATAGCAAATATTTGCTCTCTTTCCTAAATTTTTCATGTGATTTTACCTTGCTGATAAAGTTCTTCAATTATTGTTTAACACTGTTTCTTGATGCTTTCTTTTCTTTTCTAGATGTGCTACAATAAGTTCTTTGGATCCTGGGGAAACACGCAGTTTTTACTGTGAAGCGTCAAAAGGGCAGTTTGTTACAATTACCCTACCAAGGGGTGGATACCTCACACTTTGTGAAGTCCAGGTGTTTGGTCAGAAGATAGATTCCAGTGGTAAGTAGGAAAGATATTGGTATCTGTTTATGTGCAAAGAGACTGAGGCTGCATACATCCCATGTACTTAAAGCACATTTAACTTCATGCTCCCCCCCCCCAAATTCCTGGGATCTGTACTTTATAAAAGGGTGTTGGGAACTGTAGCTCTGTGAGAGGTAAATTACAGTTCCCAAGATTCTTTACAGGAAGGTATGTCCTTTAAATGGATGGTGTGTACCCAGCCTAATATACAGGAGAAACACAATGTCTATAATGCTGACTTATTCATTAATGGTCATTCAGAATGCTGTAGTAGCAGATTTTCTTCATTGAGAAGGTGTTGAAGCAGATTACCTTTGAGGTTCCTCCCAATGCTATGATTCTGCCATGCCAGAGATCCCTGGGAACTGTAGCGTTATATGAGGGAATCTTTCATTAAAGTAATTTCCCCCACAATTCTATGGAGGAAGCCATGACAGTTACATCATTATAATCCATTCCAACCCAGCACAATGTTTTCTAAAACTTTCCCCCCTCTCCTCCCCTGTGACCCACACCTTCAAATCTGCTCTGCAGGGTTGGGAAAACACCCACGTGGTAAGAATTTACTTCTACACCGTTTGTTCATTTCCCAGGTGAGGGAACACCCTTTTAAATAAAAACATGGAGCCAAGAAAATAACAGCAACAGATTCAGCAGAAACTGGGTTTATTAACGCTATTGCAATAGGACAACCTTGCTAACCAGTTGTTCAGCAGAACTGCTAGTTAGAAAAGACTGACATGAGGCACATCAGAACAATATATAGCAGTTTCAAACACAGCCACAAAAGTCATCAAACTTCAAAACATCCTTCTACATGTATCAAGAAAGGTTGCAAGTCATGGGATGTAAAGATATGTACATGACTCCACATTGGAATCAACTTCCTTGGGGTGCCCCAAAACATTAGGTCTCAACTATCTCATTTTAACTCCAGTTATCTTGGCAACCAAGCTTTCAGTAGGTTCTGTGGGCATTCCAATCCCACAGTTTACTCCCCTGTTCCCAAAACATGTCAAAGAGCTTCAAGAAGAGATGCTGGATTAACACCCGGGCGCTAACTCAAAACAGACATAGCAAAATGTTTTGGCTGTCATTTTCCAGGTCAGATAGAAGAGATGGAATGCAGCGTAGAAGGGGCAGCAGTGTGGAAAGCAACCCTTTCAGAGCATTGGAAGTGAATCCCTGTTATCTCTGTTTCCCCAGAGATAATTAATAACCAAGATTTATAGTTTGGCTATCATTAATCACCACATCATAATCTCTGCTAAGCTAGAAGGTCGACCAGAGATATCTAGTCCACCATGTTTTCCTCCTGGAAGTCCACTTTCCTGGACTCTTGATTATGACTTTCATACTCTCTGCTAAATTTTTAGGATTTTATCTTTGCATGGTTTTAATTGTTGTGATTGACATATCATTCTTTTTCTATGCATGCTGCTCTGATAATTTTATCAAGGGGAACCCAAGAATAAATAAATAAATAAATAAATAAATAAATAAATAAATAAAACTCTCTAGACTGTGCTGAATGAATTACATCAGCAGATAAAGCTCAGCTAAGCCTTTTATTTCTTTTTATTATAAATTTCTTTGGCAGCCGGCCATGAGCCAGAGAACAAGCCACTCACACCAGGAGAACAAGTTAACACTTCTGGTAAGTAGACCATTGCATACTGCTAGTTGGGAAGGAATGTTGCTGGTGGTGTAGTCTTGTAAATGTGGATGCCAGTTTGGGCATGATTCAGCCACTTTTAAGCAATTTCTGCAATGTGAGTTCTTTAAAGTAACTCAGCGCTACTTCTTGATATCCTTTAACTCAAGGGAAGCTGCTGAGCTCATCCATCCTTGACCATTGGACAGTGGTTTGTGTTGATGGGAGTTGGAGTCCAACCAATCTTGAGGGCCATGGATGCCCCATCCCCGCTTCAACTAGAGATTCTGGTGAATGAATTTAGGACGTGAGAATTCAAGGCATTTGCTCGCCCACTGATTGATGGACCCTCAACTTTAACAATAAGACTAGCACTTATAATTCATTCATATATTTATTGCAGATCCATTTTGTATATTCTCATCACCAGTGCTCAGTGATTTAAGTGCAGACAGCTTACATAAAAAAGAAATGAAATAAGCATTATTTTTTAAAAAAATCACAATTGCCAATAAAGAAATACAGGATGCAGCTGTGTGATTTACTAAGTCAATAATAAAACATAAGCAGAAGAAAACAATGAATGGCCTGGTCTAAATCAAATCAAAACAATTACACTCCCCCCCCCAAAAAGAAGATAAAAAGTAACCTTAAACTGTACTAAATCCAGACATTCACATAGACCTGCTGGACTTGACGCTCCTGAGCTGCTGTGTTTGTATATGAAATGAAATTAAACCAAATGGGGAATAAGCGATCTTGGGCTCATTGAACACTTTCAAGATTATTTCAAGATTTTCTGCTCTTTCTTATAGTTCCCAATGTGGCTCTTGAAGGGAAAGCTGAAAACTTTCAAGATTATTTCAAGATTTTCTGCTCTTTCTTATAGTTCCCAATGTGGCTCTTGAAGGGAAAGCATTTCAGTCCAGTATCTACAATGCACTTGGAAACCCTGAGAATGCCATTGATGGGTATAAAATTAGTGACTATATGCGTGGCCACTGCACACACACACAACTTGAATTTAATCCATGGTGGACAGTGGATTTGGGAGCAGAGTTTCGTGTGTCCAGGGTTAGCATCACCAATCGAGGAGACTGCTGTGTGAGGCGGATAAATGGGGCAGAAATCCGAATTGGAAGCTCACCAGTAAAAGGAGGAATCACAAATCCATGGTAAGGTAACAGAGTGATGTTATGGAAGGGGTCATACTTGACTTTTCTTCCTTAAGATCCTAAGAAGAGGCCTGCTAGATCAGATGAAGGCCAAGATTGAATAGTCTAGCACCTTGTGTTCTGTAGCAGCCCACCGCATGCCTGCTGGGACCCCATATATAGAACATGAGGACAACAGCCCTCTTCAGCCATTGACCCTAGTAACTGATATTCAGAGACATGTTGCCTCTCACCTATCCTGCAGTATGACTTCTGGTTAATACTAACACACGAACTGGTTTCCATTCAAGGTGTGCAACAATCAGGTCATTGGCCCCAGGGGCAACAGCCATTTTTGACTGTGGAGAATTGCAAGGACGTTATGTGACTATCACCATCCCAGGCATTCGTATCCTCTCACTGTGTGAAGTTGAAGTGTTTGGTGAAAAGCTACCTTCCTCGGGTAAGTACAGAGGTTTCCTTGTCATGTTGTGGTTTGGTGGGCTGCTGACCGATGTTGTCCTTGGAAAGAAGTGGATGGGAGATGTCTAGGCTAGGAAGTCTTTAATGGCAGGGGAAGCTCTGGAGAAGGCAGACATCTCTTCTACGGGATGCTTCATGTCAAATGTGCTTCTTTGTCTTTTAATAGCTGCAGTATCAAGTGATGATGTACACCAGAGGCAGGAATTTTTAGCCCATAGGCCTATATAGGCTTGCTAGGCCTCCCTGTTTTGGCCAGGGGGCTATATCAGGAAAGCCATGCGCACTTGCCCTACAACAGACGACATATAGATGACTTTAACATCTTCATGAAGAAGATGCTGATGTCCTGAGGGTAAAGCTGTGTTTGTAAACCTCTACCATGCTCCCTTAAAGGCATGGGAGCTTTACCAGTAGAAAGCTGGCAACTTTAGTTAGGACAAGGCTGAGAGTTCAATTGTTGACTCAGTCTAGAATGTTTACACCTGTTCTTCCCTTTTCCCTTACCCATTATATTCATTGATATTCCTGTGGGACACTGACAAAATTCTTCTCAAGTTCTGTGCTATTTGGGGGTTTGTGAAACTAGTGATCCCCATCAACCAAGTATACTTGGGGTTGTTGTTTTCTAAGTAAGGTTTGGCATGGCTCAGATATATTTCATCACCTAGCAAGTGTTGCTTTGATACTCAATATATGTTTTGTCTAGGAGATGAAAAAGAGATCTCATCTGGAACTACGCAAGAAGCAGAAGGTCAGTAAATGATCCTCACATTCATGCCTTCCAAAAGCCTAAAACGTTATATACAAGACATGAACAACCAGTATTTATTTAGCTGGTTAGTTTGGATCAATATGGTAAATTTGGTCTTCTTCACCTCACCAAACACTTCCAGCAACTCTACACTTGTCCCTCTTGTTCCTAAGCCTCTATAAGGCGGCTCATTTCACCTTTCAGGACACAGCCCTCCTTCCTACCCAGCAATCCTTAAGGCAGTGACCTGGGACCCTTCAGATCTTATTGGACTCCAACTCCCATCAGCCCCCACCTGCATGGCCAATGGCCATGCATGATGGGAGTTGAAGTTCATTTTTTTCTTGGAACTAAATTTACTCCATGGAGCTGGATTCACACTGAACTCATTCAGATTTGCTTCCTGGTATGTTTGCTTAGAAATACAACAAAGCACCCAGATTGAAATCATGGTCATATATTGCTAATCTTTTACTTACATTGATTTCTTCCACTAGTTTCTTCACCAATTGAACAATGGGAAAAGCCAAGAGAACCCAAACAGCCATGGGAAGAAGCAAAAGAGAAGTGGCAACCCTATACAACGGGTAAGCTGACCCTTCAGTACAAGATGAATGTGAAAGATCAGACCTGGTGGTATATGTATTTTTCTAACGGATTGCATAGGAAACTTACCCAGGAGTTCCTGTATGCTCACACAGAGGACACTTGATTTATAAGTGCCAATGTTAAAATATTACTGTTGATATCATAAACCACTCTTCCCTAAGTACATGCTATCAAGCAATTCCTGCAACTGTGGATGGGAACATGAGATTTCGGAGGCATAAGGTAAAAGCCCTCTTGTGGATGGAGGTGCTCAAATACACATACAGAAACAAGGACTCATGTATGCATGAATGCAATGCCCTGGTGTGCGCAGAACCCCCAAATGTTAATTATTCATTCCACTAATATTTGAGAGCCTACTTTACAAGTTCCTTTTCCTTCTGGATAGTTTTGCTAAGGTGTTTATTAGTGGAAACACCTCTCTTCCATTGGTTTTTTTTTTCATGTAGTCTACAATGCAGCTCTTGAAGGAAAGGCATTCCAGTCCAGCATCTTCAATGATCTGGGATCTGCTGAGCATGCCAATGATGGCTCTACGTCTGCTGACTATTTGCGTGGACACTGCACTCACACCCAAGAAGAAGCTAATCCATGGTGGACAGTGGACCTTAGGGAAAGCTTTGATGTGTCCAGTGTAGTGATCACCAATCGAGGGGACTGTTGTGCGGAAAGGATAAATGGCGCTGAAATTCGAGTTGGGGACTCGGATGAAGAAGGAGGCATCAGAAATCCCAGGTATTGCCAATGTCAGCTACCCAAGGATGCCAGGCCTAGGACTGGGCATGTGACTCGTCAGATTTAGTCAACTGGCCAATCAAAAATGGTAAAGCAATGATAAAGTATTTCTTAAAGCATTAACTTTATTAGAAGAATAAGCAAGACTCTTTCACAATTAACAGTAGACTAGCTTTTTTAACAACAAGAATACAAAGCTGAAAATGAATGAACTGCAGCTAAAATCTTATGTTCATTTTTCACATGGTCTAGCCCTCATCTGAAGACTGCAAAAAACAAAGCCAAATAATACATGGTACCTCGGGTTACATACACTTCAGGTTACATAAGCTTCATGTTAGGAGACTCCGCTAACCCAGAAATAGTACCTCAGGTTAAGAACTTTGCTTCAGGATGGGAACAGAAATCGTGCTCCGGAGGCGCCACAGCAGCAGGAGGCCCCATTAGCTAAAGTGGTGCTTCAGGTTAAGAACAGTTTCGGGTTAAGAACGGACCTCCGGAACAAATTAAGTACTTAACCCGAGGTACCAATGTCAAACCTGGTCAGTTTGACTAGTGAATTGACTGGTATCCTTGCCCTATATTGGATAAAGCATTCATTAGCATAAGACCTTGTTCATGCTTGCCCCTCACTCCCCGCCAGGTATTGAACTTGTTGCTGATTGTATTCTTTAAATCTCTCATTAAGGCTAACATACTGGTTTCCTTTCAAGGTGTGCCACCATCACTTCACTGAGTTTGGGAGAAACAAAAAAATATCACTGTGAAGGAATGCTGGGACGGTATGTGACTATTACCATTCCAGGCGAAGCCAAATATCTCACCCTCTGTGAAGTTCAAGTTTTTGGTCACAGGAGAGCTCCCCCAGGTATGTATAAAAATTTCCCAACAAAGACCTGAGTTGGTATTTGTTGGCAGAATTACTTTTTGCTGGAGAAACAGTTGTGGTTCGAGGACCCGTACCCCGTGCAGTGGAATGAAACACAAGGACACGTGATATAAGGTTAATGGGCAAGAAAAGGCCACAACTTTATTGATTACAGCAAGTGAAAAGGTATTGGCTTAGGCATTGGATTACGTCAGCTGACTCCACCCCCTCAGAGAGGGGTGAGTCTGAAACAAGGGGGGTTTATTCACCAGTAGGTGGAGCCTGTTGATGCTAATCCAACTATAGGCTCTCCCCTGATGTCACCGAGGGTCGTGCCATGGCCTCCCGCCAAGCAGGCATCGGACAGAATACACGACCGCCAGATTCCTTTAACAGAATACCCAAAAATTGAAGGCATAGGCGATGGCCACACCTAGCCATACGACACCACAACACATTATTCCAATGCCTAACCTACCCACCAATACCACGAAAGTTGTGACGATTGCTACGAGGTAGGCGAAAAAAACCAAAAAGCCTAATGCCAAATGGAAAAATTCCTACCAGGCCCCCCAAACAACCAGGGTGACCAACCTAAGGTCCATAGCAAGGCCAAAAGAGCTGGGAACGGGCACTTTCAGGTGTTTGAAATAAGAGCTGGGAACGGGCACTTTCAGGTGTTTGAAATAAGAAGTTCTCAGTACTCTAGGCTGGAATATATTATTATGGCTTTGAGGGGTCAGTCTGGTTGATGATTCCCTTCAAAATCTGTGATCCTGCGTATATGAGGTTAGACTCTATACAAGGAAACCAGTCAAACCAGTTACTTTGTTCAGGTAATGGCCTTAGCAGGCCAGGTAAGTCCTGCCATTCATATTAGAAAGACATATGTCTCACAACATATGTAACTGATCTGTAGAAAACACAACCTGAAAAAGAGACAATGCATGTACTTTTCTAAACTCAGAAAACCTTTAATAAAAATTACTTTTAAAAAGAAAAGAAAGAGTTTGCCCTGTTGCCACAGAGACAAATTGGGGTAAACATCTTCACCTAGTTGGAAGTGACATAACTTTGTAAGGTAGAAGAACAATAACCAGGGTTTGGGGTGTGAGTTTTGGCTGCTGCTGGAAGATGAACACACAGAGGCATGTCTGCTTTGTGCTGGACCCAAAACGGAGTTAGGGCTTCCCTGGAAACCTAATGGAAGTAAACATCTATTGAAGTGTTAATGCTGCGAAGCCCTCTGTCTTGTGCTCAGGTTGTATGTACCGTATTTATAAATGAAACCATATATCCTAAAGACATCACAGTCTCCAAAGATCTTCATTCCAAGGAAACTGAACCCTGGGTAAGTGGCAGCACACCTGGAGTCTCTTGATGCTTGGAGATTGGGGTGCACACAACAATATCCATTAGCCTTCTGACATCTATCTATCCACCTCTCTCTCTCTCATCTATCTATCATCTATCATCTATCATCTATCTATCTATATCATCTATCTATCATCTATCTATCTATCTATCTATCTATCATCTATCTATCTATCTATCTATCTATCTATCTATCTATCTATCATCTATCTATCTATCTATCATCTATCTATCTATCTATCTATCTATCTATCATCTATCTATCTATATCTATCTATCTATCTATCATCTATCATCTATCATCTATCATCTATCATCTATCATCTATCATCTATCATCTATCATCTATCATCTATCATCTATCATCTATCATCTATCTATCTATCTATCTATCTATCTATCATCTATCTATCATCTATCTATCTATATCTATCTATCTATCATCTATCTATCTATCTATCTATCTATCATCTATCTATCTATCATCTATCTATCTATGTATCATCTATCTATCAATCATCTATCATCTATCTATCATCTATCATCTATCTATCATCATCTATCTATCATCTATCTATCTATCTATCTATCTATCTATCTATCTATCATCTATCTATCTATCTATCTATCTATCTATCTATCTATCATCTATCTATCATCATCTATCCATCTATCTATCATCTATCATCATCTATCCATCTATCTATCATCTATCATCTATCTATCCTATTTATTTCTCCCTAACAGGGACTTAAGGTGGCTATCACGTAAAATAGGAACAGCTAAAAACATTGGGGAAAATATCATTAAAAACAATTAAGCTTTAATATCTCTATCTCTTTCTCTATCTCTGTCTCATCTACAAACACACACAAATACACTATTAACCAAGAAAACGGGCCAGTCAGCAAATGACCATACCATGGGCACGTCCAGATTGGTGACTCATGTTGCTATCCAATCATTTGTTTCTCTACTGAGAGCTACAAGTTGAAGTGTGTGTGTGTGTGTGTGTATACTCTTTTGTATACTCTTTTGATGTATACAATCTGCTATGTTGCATCCACACTAGTGGGTGTGACAAAGCCGAGATAAGGGCACTGCATTGTTCAAGCAATATCTGGAAACCCAGAACTAGTTTTCTTGTTTAGTTGTGTGAGCATTACTTTCCCTTTCCTGCAGTTCTCAATGTGGCCCTCGAAGGTGAGGCATCCCAGTCCAGTACCTACAACCAACTAGGAGTTGCAAAGAATGCCATTGATGGGTCCACCTCCACTAACTATATGCGTAGATCATGCACTCACACGGATATAGAGCTGAATCCATGGTGGGCGGTGGACTTGAAGGGAGAATTTGATGTGTCTAGCATAAGCATCACCAATCGAGAAGACTGTTGTGCAGACCGGCTGGATGGGGCTGAAATCCGCATTGGCAACTCCTTTGAGAATGGCGGTTCTGCAAATCCCAGGTACCTGCTGGTTGAATGTTCTCAAGGGGATCACAAAGATAAGGCACAGAGAAGAATGACCGCTCCCCGCTTAAAATGGGGGGGGGCACCCTTTGCGTGGACGCGCACAGCCCCTGGATCTGGTGGCTCCATCAGCATAGGCTTGGCTTTGCCTTCCCTCAGGTGGGATACCTGGAGGTCTCTGCCTACCTCAGTCAGTTGTCCAATCCCACCTGGGGGAAGCGTTGCCAAGGAGACCAGGCCAGGTAGGGGAGGGATTACCTGCCCACACGATAGAGGGAGGATCTTACCTGGGAATCCTCACCTGCAGCGGCAGCGTAACGGGGGCGGCTATCTCTGCTTGAACATATGTTCTCCAGAGCCGGCCCATCCCCCCCCCACACTGGATAACCCTGATGCTCCCTAGGTCCCCGGCTGGGGACTGGGGAGGGAGAACGCCCAATGCCTGAGCCAAGGTCTACCCACATTTGAAATTTAATAAAGTTGTGGCCAATTTAATCCCATAGCATGTTGTCTTGAGTTGTTATTCCACATGATGGGGGGGACTGCTTGGGATCTGGGGACTCCGCCTGTCCACGCAAAATACAATGGGAAAGATGAGACAATGCAGAAACCACAGATAAAAAATATATCTGTGTAATGCAGTGATCTTCCATTATTCATCTGTATCTTTTATTCTTTTCAGTATGGATCAGGTTGACCAGTGGCCACCCAGATGTGGCTGGACTACAACACCCATCACCCCTGACCTTTGGCCTGGGGCTGATGGGAGTTGGGTTCCTGCAACATCTCGAGGTCCACTGGTTAGCCATTCCTGGCATAAATCATGTTGCAGTTGATGGTGTCCTTCAGTCACCTAATATTAACATGAATGGATTTCTTTTTCAAGGTGTGCCACTATCACCTCACTAGGTGCTGGAGAAACCCGCAATTACAATTGTGGAGGATTCAAAGGGCAGTATGTAACATTGACCATTCCAGGCACTCAGTATCTCACCCTGTGTGAAGTCCAAGTGTTTGGTGTGAAGGTGGATTCATCTGGTGAGTAAAAAGTTTTCTCGGGTGGATAAGAAATGTGGATAAGCCCTTAGTGGCGCAATTGAGGCCTATCCCCATTTGCTGGTAACTGAGCACCAGGCTCAGCCTTACTGGCATTAGGCATGTAACATGAGTTCAGCACTAAACTGTTCTAAAACAATTGTGCTTCTAGTCAAGACCTACGCATTTGAAACGCAGAAAGTATAGAAGCGAATGGGGACTTTTATCTCAACAGCCAGAAAGGAGCAGCCCTAAGGAGACAGGTGTCGATTGGGCAGATGGGGACCCTTTCCCCTCATCATCTGAGGAAGCTTGATGTTGTCAGAATTGGACACTTCTTCTTGTTTTGGATGTAAACACATATAATCATCTTCCATCTTGAATTCTGCAGGACATCCAGACATCCCATCTGAAAAGGAAGAAGCATAATTGAGAGTAAGTTCATTTCTCTTCAAATTCACAGATCTCAAAGATCTGCCCCCACAATTTTTGAAGAGGTCTACAAGGACTGGTTCTGAACTCTGCCTTGGACTGAATTTTGGATGAAGTTTTGGGCTTCCACTCAGACAGATTCCCCAAATTTGGCAGAGAGGCTTGCTTCAAATTGGCACCATTTTTTCACATGCTTAAGAGCTACATGAATGTGTGAACTAGCCTTAAAAGGCCGTGGAGTGAACAACACTTTTCTAATAAGACAGAAGACCGTTAATATTTTAATTATTATTTTTAATAACCTATATTACATGTTTAATATTGTTTTGCAGTATGTTGTCCAGGGAATGTTTGTGGATGCGTGGCTATAAACATGTAATGCATAAAATAAACAACCCTGGGAGGTTGCATCCCAAGGGGAGCACAGATCCTGCAACCCACAAATCACCCTGGTATCTCAGCTGCCTTATTTTTCTTTCCGCATAGATTACATTTCATGGGACAGCAGAAATTGTGAAACCAAGAGCCCCTACATTTGTAGAAAGACACCACAAATTATCGTTAGTAAGTGCTAACAGGAAGGAACCCTGGTTGGCTGTCTAGAAGAACCTGCACCCAGAGGGATGTCAACTCCTTCCATGACTGCTAAACTCACCTGCTACTCATCTATAGGCTGAAATCCCAAATAAACAGTAGAACTTGCAACTCTATGTGGCTGGGTGTGTCATCTGTTACAAGATGGGGAAATGTTTTCCTTGATTTTTCTTACATACTTTATTCATTTAAATAGTCATAATTCTCACTTTTTCAAAGTGGTGGTATACCCAGCAGAAACAATTTAAAAATGGCAAACATATTAGTAAAAGCTGTTGGGAAGCAATCTCAGATTTGAAAGGCCTTCGTGACTGAGTCAGACCAATGGGTCCATTTGGATCAATATATGAATGTACTGTAAGAGAGATGGAACACATGAAACCACAGCATGGCCCATGGGCTTTGTTTCCATGTAGAATATATATGGGAGAAAACCAGCCATGTTATTCTGTTGTGGCAAAAACACATTTGTTATGAACAAAATGGTGATTCTGCCCAACAGGTGAGGCAAGGGTGTAGTTCTAACACTGAGCTTGGCTGTGGACCAGACTCTCCTTATTGGGTGTCATCCAGATGTTGAACCCCAGGAGCCCCAGGAGTCAGCTTGGTTGGAGGAGGTTACTGTAGGCGATGGGTTTTTGAGATCACAGATTGTACTCCTTGCTTCCTACTGCTATTCAACTGCCATTCCTCCTCCTTTATGGCCATGTTGCATAAAGCTGCCAACTGATCTGATAAAGGAGACACTCCTCTCTCTCTCTCTCTCTCTCTCTCTCTCTCTCTCTCTCTCTCTCTCTCTCTCTCGTAAGCTGATTGAGTTTGTTCATAACTTGCAAACAGGTCTGTCAGGTTGTTCCCAAGGCTGTCCTATTTTCCAGATTAGATTACATCTTTCGGCATTGAATAAATATTGCTACAGTCGAATAATGTTGATTTTCAGGAACTGAAGCTGCTAGCCTTGAACTCTGTTGCAGAAAAAGTTGAATGGATATTGACAGCCTTCCAAAAACCACCAGGCAGCAGAGTTCCAGCTGTCTTTAGCTAGGCAGGATAAAATAAATATCTTGCATGCCTCCCACCCTACTTTTACTCTTGGCTTGGAAAACAGGGAACATGGTCTTAAAACTGTTTAGGAATGGGTGCATCTGTCAAATTTGGTTTCTCTCAGATTTCCCTTCTAAAGTTCCAGTGATGCCAGCACTGGATTTCCCGGGCCAGTTGACTGCATGTTGACTAGGGGCCAGACGTCTACCCACTCAGTCAATAGGCAAGAACTGATGCTTATGTACATATATAAAATTATCCTAGTCTGTCTCACAGGGCGATTGCAAAGATAAAAAGAGGGGAGAACAAGGTACACAGCCTTGAGCTCCTGAGCTGAAAAACAAAATACAAATAAACAACAAGAAGCAGCAAATGTGTGCAGTTTTAGAACTCTCAGCAAAATAAACACATTCAGAAAGAAATTTTGTCAACCTTGTTGATTTTTTAAATAAGAATTTTAACTTTCTGTAACTTTAAGGTGTGCGATGATTTTTCGAAACTAGAGATGGAATTGTTAGAACCAAAAAGTAAGACACTTTCGAGAATGTACAACTTGCTGCTTAAATGGAACACACAGGATGAGACAGTTAAATCAGCCATGATAAAATGGGCACAGGACATTGGGCATAACATCATGTTTGAGGACTGGGAAAGGTTATGGAACACCGGAATGAAGTTCACGGCATGTAATGCCTTGAAGGAAAACATTGTGAAAATGATATACCGGTGGTACATGACCCCAGTCAAGCTTGCTAAGATATATCACCTGTCTGACAACAAATGTTGGAAATGTAAGGAGGTTGAAGGGACATTCTTTCACCTCTGGTGGACCTGCCCAAAAGTGAAGGCCTTCTGGGAAGTGATTTATAATGAGTTAAAAAAGGTATTTAGGTATACCTTTCCCAAGAAACCAGAGGCCTTCCTCCTGGGCATGGTAGACCAGAAAGTGTTAAAGAAGGATAGAACTTTGTTTATGTATGCTATTACAGCAGCAAGAATTCTTATTGCAAAGTACTGGAAGACACAAGATTTACCCACGCTGGAGGAATGGCAGACGCAGTTGATCGACTACATGGAATTGGCTGAAATGACTGGCAGAATCCGAGATTTGGGAGAGGAAACAATGGAAGAGGACTGGAAAAAATTCAAGGACTATTTGCAAAAACATTATAAGTTGTATGAATCTTAAGAATGTGCACGATTAGGAAACTTTTGCTTCAGCAACTCGATTAGGTGAATTGAAAACTAGGTTATAAGAAAGAAGAGGTGAAAACATGAAATAACTTTATTATGTTTATTTTAAATGTACAAGCATTGGGATACAACACTGTGAAATTAGAAACATGATAACTGAAAGATACAGTAAGTTATGAAACAAGGTAACAAATTGCTGACGTTTCTATTACAAAGAACGCAGGGTTTGGAGGATGTGGGGAAGTCCAGTTGGGTTTTTGGAAACACTATGGAAAGTTGGATTATTATGTATTTCTTTTTCTTCTTGTTTTCTTTTTTCTTTTTTCTTTATTCTGTATATTCTTGAGCGTAAGAAAAGAAACTCAATAAAAATATTTTTTTTAAAAAATAAGGTGTGCGATGATTTTATGGCTGCATTTGCTGATTCGTTTTATATTTTACATTAATGTTTTGTGGTTACTGCATATGAATCAATGGTAGCCCAGTGATGACGAGGAGACCAGTAGTGGTCGTGTGGCTGACTTGGAAAATTGCATTTGGGTGGGCTGCACACTGCAATATCACCACTTTTACTAGGTAGCAGAGAAGCCTCATTTATTCATTTACCTGCAAGTAAAAAGAAAGGTAAAGAGACCCCTGACCATTAGGTCCAGTCATAGCCGACTCTGGGGTTGCGGCGCTCATCTCACTTTATTGGCCAAGGGAACCGACGTACAGCTTCCAAGTCATGTGGCCAGCATAACTAAGCCACTTCTGGTGAACCAGAGCAGCACACGGAAACACCATTTACCTTCCTGCCGGAGTGGTACCTATTTATCTATTTGCATTTTGATATGCTTTCGCACTGCTAGGTTGGCAGAAGCAGGGACTGAGCAATGGGAGCTCACCCCGTCGCGGGGATTCGAACCACCAACCTTCTGATCTGCAAGTCTTAGGCTCTGTGGTTTAACCCACAGCGCCACCCACGTCCCTTTATGTATTGTATTGTATTATATTATATTATATTATATTATATTATATTATATTATATTATATTATATTATATTATATTATAATATTATATTTAAATTATATGATTTACCTGCAAGTAAATCATACCAAAAACAGCCAGTTGTGTTTTCCACTGTAAAGGCAGGATACTTGGTGAGTGAATGAAATAATGTGGACATGCAGGACAGCACTTAAACATGCATACAGCATTCATCCAGTGCTAGACTAGCAGCAATAACAAGATATTCCTCTTTTTTTCCTGCCACCCTGGGAGGCCTGTCTGGGAGCCCCAGGTAGGGGCGGTCAGCATTCCTTCCTCTGATTGCTTAACAACAGAGTTTATGTTATTGAGCATTCTTGGCAATAGCAGCTTCTCTGTATCTCCCTAACTGTTGCCTCCACATTTTGCTTTCTAGATTTTTTATAGATGTTTGATTGGCTTGCCCTCTTTTTAAAAAGAATATTAAGAATCCAGGGCCCTTGTTGTGTTGGGGGCCTGGTACATGTGTACCCTCTATATTGCCAGTTGACAGTCCTGTTAATTTAAGATCTTCACATCACTGTGATAATTAAAAAAACCCAAAGTCCTCAGAAGAATTCATCAACATTTTTGCATGAATTTCTCCTAATATGCACATCTTGGTATGTCATTTTGCCCAATATACTGTTGCACACCACCCCAATCTATGAGTAGTGCAACATTCCAGTAGTTCTAAGTCCTTACCCAGGGTCTGATTTCCCCAGAATGAGGGATAGCAAAGATACTGGTGTCTTTAGGATATATGGTTTATTTACATATATATACAACCTGAGACTATGATGGAGGATCTGACAGCATTAACACCCCAGAAAGTCTTGCTTCTCCCATAAACGTAGCCAGGGCTTTTTTCAGCTAGAATTCACCAGAACTCAGTTCTGGCACCTCTCAGGTGGGCACCATTACCATTATAAGAGAACAAGTAAGGCATTCCTTGTGGGTAAAAGCCTCAGCGCCTAGGACTTGCCGATCGAAAGGTCGGCGGTTCGAATCCCCGCGGTGGGGTGCGCTCCCGTTGCTCAGTCCCAGCGCCTGCCAACCTAGCAGTTCGAAAGCACCCCCGGGTGCAAGTAAATAAATAGGGACCGCTTACCAGCGGGAAGGTAAACAGCGTTCCGTGTGCTGCGCTGGCTCGCCAGATGCAGCTTGTCACGCTGGCCACGTGACCCGGAAGTGTCTGCAGACAGCGCTGGCCCCCGGCCTATAGAGTGAGATGGGCGCACAACCCTAGAGTCTGGCAAGACTGGCCCGTACGGGCAGGGGTACCTTTACCTTTACCTTTACCTAAGGCATTCCTGCTGAGTTCCTGCACCTCTTTTTCTAGAAAAATAGTACTGGCTACAGCTTTGGATTCAGGCATGTCTCTCCACTGCCTACAGGAGTTGCCAGAAGCAGGAATACAAGGTGCCATGCAACCATCTTAGAGACTCCACTCCAGATTTGTGTAGGGATCAAACCAAATTTTATTGGTCAACCAAATACAGGTTAAAGCCTGAAATCAAACGTAAACAAACAGGTCACAAAAAACATTATAGCACATAAGGTTAAATCATTATGCACACCACAGGTATAGACAAATGGCCAAAAAAAACTCCTCAGGGCACGAGACTGGACTCTTGGGCTTTCCTGAGTTGGGAGCCTTTTATTACTGTGTTAACATAACTGATTTGTTCAAGCTAGACAGCAGGTAAGGCTGTGGAGAATTAGCCATGGGGAATCAGGGACAGTTCCATGACAAAAGATCCTGAACAGCTTCCTGTGTGCTGGCATCTTCACACAAGAGAGGGAGAAGAGGGAAAGCACTCATTCTCTTTTCTAAGCTCTACACAATTTCACAGTGCATGGAGATTCCTTGCACCAGAGGAGTAGTACTTTCCTGCTTTGAGGGAGTCCTATCAATAGGAGAGAAATATTTTGATAGCTTCCTTTGTTGGTTTGGCTTTGTTTGGCTTGCTTAACTTGTTCCAATCTTTTTCTTTTTGCATTCTTGTAAGCACCATATCAGATGGATCTACTTTACTTAATATTTTGAACTGAACTTTAGGGCAGATTCTTTTGCCTTTAATTCCTTTAATTCCTTTCAGCAACTCCCGACCTAGTTGCTAAACTCCAGGCAGGACAGGTTTTTCTCTTGAGCAAAGCAAATTTGTGGAAGATGTTACAACACTCAACGGTTTCTTACTTGAAGGAAATGGTAAATTATAGCAATAATAGGTAGAGAGTGACACGTGACACCACCCAGTCTCTGTACTCCACAGACAAATGCCGTTCTTATGGGTTTAAAATTAATTAAAAACAGACCTCCAGGGCAAATGTCCTCTGGTCTCCACTCCATAAAATATTGGTAAGACAAGTTGAAACTCCTTAACACCAAGTTAAAACAAAGTTAAGACTAATTTAGAAACTCGAGAGCTGTGGAGCAACCTGAGCTGTCAGCTTTCTCGCTTTCACTGTCAGTATGTGTACGGTTTGCTCCTTAACCTTTTCTTCTCCTGAATATATTCCACATGGCAGTGCATGTTTAGGTCCAGAATTTTCCTTTTCTTAGATGGGCTACCTTCCCAGATTGATGAGCCCCATCTGCCCCTTCATTTCCCTCTACAGCATGTGCAGAAACCACCTTCTTGTCTGTTGGACCCACTATTAGGCCCACCCGCTCAATCCCCAGGACCCTGTCTTCAAATGCAAGAGAGTTCTTTAATTCACCAATGGTTTGAAACCCATCGGCTGGCCTCACCTGGTTTAGCTGGCCAGTGAAAGCCATTCCTGGGGTGTGGCTGCTGTCGCATGCTGACAGTTTCTAGGAGCCACAGGTGACAGCTGGGGCAAGATGTGGACCAAAGTTGGGCAAAGTACCCCAGGAAGAGTATGACATGTCCCCCACCAGAGGTACCACCCCTCCCCTAACACCCCTGATGACATACTACTAAGTAACTAAAGGGGAGAGAATCAGAAATAGCAAAAGATGCAATAATGTAGCACAGCACAAATGCTGAAGAGGTTGAAAAAGTTCTTAAAACACTTGGGGAAAACAAAAAGATATCATCACCTGGTGTTGAAAAGACCAAAACAATTGGAGTGCCACTGCCAAAAAGACCCTTAATCTGGTAGACACCCTTTCTTCTTTTGGAATGGACAATGAAGAGTGTCCAAAGAAGATCTATGGGTCCAAGGAGGCATCTTCACCATCTTTTTATTTGGGTACCACATTTCCAGACTCTGGACTTACATCCCTGGAGAAGGTAGAATGGCGCCCTCCTTGTTGTCCTTCTGCTGACAGGTGAAGAGTTTCTCTTTCCAACAGGCTCTTGGAAACTGGCTGCTTTTAATGAAAGGGGTGGAGCATTGGTATGTTTATATAGGTATATAGTTTTAATTCTTTTAATGTCTTTTTAATGATTTCTCCCCCTATGTTTTTAACAATTCTTGTTTTTATCTGTAAGCTGCCTTGAGTACTGTCAGGGGGGAAAGGTGATGTAGAAATAAATTAATAATAATAATAATAATAATAATAATAATAATAATAATAATATAGTTAAAACCCTGCTCATGGTGATGTACAGCATGAATTTACATAATTACAAGTGTTACAAAAGTAGCCATAACAATGCACAACCAAAGTGGAAAAAATTCACATAAATCAGGCCAGGTGGGAAAAGGATTAGCATTCAATACGGTCTCTTGGTTGGGCAAGGAGGAAATCTATTTTAGGTAATCTGACCCAAAGGCTGCTAATGGCTTTAAAGGTTAAAACCAGCACTCTGAATTGGGCCTAGGAACAGACCCACAGCTGACGGTAAAGAGCTAGTGTGATATGATTGGAATAGCTAATCCCAGAACAAGTGTTAGATGCTTCACATGACACAGCTCTATATAGGTTTGGAGCTGGAGGAGTCTTTTTGTGGTTTGTGATACAGTGTTTGTGTAACTTTGTTCTGAAAGAAAGAAGTGAACTATTTATTTACATTTAAGACCATTGTTCATGCACTGTTTCTGATATTTTGTCTCATTTACCTCAGCCTGCCATTTATCAACCTAATCTCCTCATGTTTTAATAACTGGCAAGAGGTCAAATATTTGCTTTGACCACAAAATTGAAAGGAAACTTTGAGTGGTCTTTGTTAGGAACAGTTTTCTGATTGGAGGAGAGCAGCATCCCGGGCAGTTTAATAACCCCCTTCCCACTCTGTTGGGGGCACTCAAGTCAAGAGCGCTTCTCTCTCTCTGTAAGTCTGTCTCCTGAGCCTTGCCCAAAAAGGACACAATGCTTCGAGGAAGGACTGTGAGATGCTGCCTTTTGCTGATGCTCTTGACCATCCTGCCAACACGGCCTGCATTGGAAGGTGCGTTACCAAGAATTGGGTGTCATTCCTCCCCCTTATTTTTTCTTCCCCCGTAATATTCACTGGTGCAAAGCCATAGAAGGCTGGCTTAATTCCCACTGGAGAAGAATATGACAAGTTAATGGTGACTTACAGATATCCTGTCAGTAGGGCTTCCTATATGAGTGCCTGCCTTTAGATCTGGGCCTCTGTTTTGGTTAAGAAATATTTCTTAACAGTAGTTAATCAGAGTCAAGATAAATTCCTGAAGTGCTCAATCTGCTCTCATTGGAAACTACTGTTTGGGGTTTTTATAATAATTTTTAATTTTAATTACAATCGAATAATAGTCTCATTATAGCAATACCAATTTACAATACAATTATTAATACCAATAGTTCAAATACCAAATTGCATAATTTAGATAAGGTGCCCCCCCCACATGCTAGAATTAATGGCTTGGTTATTTGCTTTATTTCTGCGTTCCAAAATCTTATTAATTTCCATTACATTCCGGTCATAATAATAATCCCTTATATACAACAACTGCAATATTAATAACTTCTATTCATGTTGACACATTAAATGATTTATAAAACTACAAGTGAGGAACTCAAAGTATATCCGTGTTCTTCCTGTGTGTGGCAATTATTCTGTCCATAGTTTTTTCTTCCTGTCCTTGTAAGATGTCATGTCTTTCTTTCACCCAGTTGTTGCTGTTATCCTTCATGCCTTGAGTGAAGCTGATATCCTATTGTTGTTCCAGAAATTTCTCCATCGCTCTGTCCCATGCTTCGTTGTTTTACAACTTTAACAACAGCTACAAAAATCACTCTGTCTCAATAAATAACCTGTTTTCACAATTTTCCCACTCAGCCTGGGGAGAACTGCAGATGACTCAATAATGAACCTTATAAGTTCATTGGCAAGTTCACAGACTCCTTTCATCCTTCTGTCCAAATGAAGATAAATGAGCAATTATGTTGTTGTTGTTGTTTAGTCATTTAGTCGTGTCCGGCTCTTCGTGACCCCATGGACCAGAGCACGCCAGGCACTCCTGTCTTCCACTGCCTCCCGCAGTTTGGTCAAACTCATGTTTGTAGCTTCGAGAACACTGTCCAACCATCTCGTCCTCTGTCGTCCCCTTCTCCTTGTGCCCTCCATCTTTCCCAACATCTTTTCCAGGGAGTCTTCTCTTCTCATGAGGTGGCCAAAGTATTGGAGTCTCAGCTTCAGGATCTGTCCTTCCAGTGAGCACTCAGGGCTGATTTCCTTCAGAATGGATACGTTTGATCTTCTTGCAGTCCATGGGACTCTCAAGAGTCTCCTCCAGCACCATAATTCAAAAGCATCAATTCTTCGACAATCAGCCTTCTTTATGGTCCAGCTCTCACTTCCATACATCACTACTGGGAGAACCATGAGCAATTATACTTCCAATTAAATTAAATTCAAAGTCCTCTTAGCATTATTCAGTTCCCTCCATAAATAATAAAGGATGGAAAAGTCAGCTTTAAGTTTCCATCATAAACCTTTTGCAAAATAGAGCTTCCCTTCCCTTTTTTTTTTACACACACAGTTCCGTTTAATGTTATATTCCATATCTATAATCCAATGTCTTCCATCCTCGTTGTACAAATATAAATTGAACTAAACATTCAGAGGAGGGTTGCAAAGTCATAATTGTAGAGAAGAAAAAATTAAATAAAGAAATAAAACCGTAGGCTCCCCTCCCCCAATACCGTCTTTGGCACCGAATGAGATTTTAGCTCTAATTCAAACCTTAAAGTTCTTGCAGTTGTTTATGTTCCGCAGTTTGTGACCCCATCTTTTCCAGTACCCACCTGTACATTAGTCCAATTAAGCTCTAATTAGCAGGAGAACGTCTGCTTCTTAATGGTGGCATTGGAGGGTTTTCAGCAGGCAAAGTGCTTTTGCACTCAGCGCCTCCCTGCCTCTGGCAATCCATGCGAGAGCCAGGTACTGAGACAAACTGCGAGTGAAGCCCATTCCCCCTTGTCCCTAGGGGGAATTTGCAAGGATAATTACCCTCAATCACTCTTGTTTTTCCTTCTCCAACAATCTCCTGCTGTTGTGGGAGCTGCCTGCATTAAGGCAGTGTGGAACTGGAAGCCCCTCATGGGGCAATTCTAACCAAATCTGCTATGGGGTTAGTTTAATTGACAACAGAACTTGCATTAGTCACAATTAACTTGTTCCTTTAGTTTCAATGGGCTTTTAGTGTCACTGAAGTAAAGCTCATTGAGTTCAAGGAGATTTACTCCAGGTAAGTGAGTACAAGAATGCAGTCTTAAGCACAACCAACCCATACCCTTCAACATTCCTCAAATTAAAATAGGAAAATTTCACCCTCCCCTAACAATTGACACCATTCCTCCCCCCGAGCATTTCCACCACCACTACACCAACGGGACACAGCACACCCACCCTCCACCATCCTAAGGAAACCCCCTAGTCCCAATTTTATGTTATTTTTTCTTTGGTATCTTTACAAAAAGAAAAACACACTAATAAATAACTTAAAAGGGGACAAGGTTAGACATGGGTGCACAAAGTAGTTTTTTTTAAAAAAAAACCCAAGACTCCTTGCATGCTGCCCTGCTCCCCTTTTTCTGCCCAGGATGGTCCTGCTCCGTCTGCACCTCGAAGCCAGTGGGTGGCAGCAGCAGCCTCTCCTCCTCCTCACTCGCTCTCCTGCAGCTGCTTCAAGCAGTCCATTGCGAGGCCACCTTAGAGGCACCAGGATGCTCCTGCACAGCTGCCACTGCTGGTGCCACCACTGCTGCTCCGAGCAAGTGCCAGCTCATTCTCCTCCCCAAGCTTCGTGGCAGTGGCAATGATGGGGGAATTGGGGACATTCCAGAATCAAATCAGAAGCCAGGGTGGCTTCTGTAATTCCAGAACTATCCCTGGAAAACAGGGACACTTGGAGGGTATGCTAACCTTTCGTGCTGCTTGCTGCAGTAACCTCAAGTAGAATACGACATAGGTTTAGAGGCACCATTATACTTCTGGTTTTACTTTGCACTGGAAGCTTTCATAACAAGGAATGAGGGCCTATCCACACTTCTGTTTGTGCCACAATTTCTAGGGAGAGAACTGTGATTTTTAGGCATGGGTGCAAGTGAGTGGGGGTTTTATTTGGTGCCACCGCAGAAAACCTGTTTGACTTTTGCTTTGATTAAGTGGTAAACAGTGAGTTTTCCCAGGAAAGTGGTGCAACAACAACAAAAGTTGTGCTTGGATCCATGCCTACAAATCACAGACCTGAAAGAAGCATTATTTTTTAAAAAAATTATTACAATTGCCAATAAGGAAATACAGGATACAGTTATGTGATTTACTAAGTCAATAATATAAAACATATGCAGAAGAAAAGAATGAATAGCCCATGATTACAAAGGGCTCCATTGTCTAAATCAAAACAATTACAAATATTTCTTTCAAAAAAGAAGATAAAAAGTAATCTTAAAGGTAAAGGTAAAAGGACCCCTGACCTTTAAGTCCAGTCGTGGACGACTCTGGGGTTGCGGCGCTCATCTCTCTATACTTAATTTTAAACTGTAATAAATCCAGACATTCACATAGACCTGCTGGACCTAACGCTCCAGAGCTGCCGTGGTTGTTTATGAAATGAAATAAAACCAAATGACAAATAAGCGATCTTGGGCTCTTTGGCCCATGGACACTATCAGCATTTGTGATAATTTTTTCAAGATTTTCTGTTCTTTCTTATAGTTCCCAATGTGGCTCTTGATGGTAAGGCGTCGCAGTCCAGTATCTACAATGATCTTGGAAAGCCTGAGAATGCCATTGATGGGTCACCATCTACTAACTATATGGATGGCCACTGCACACACACAAAACTAGAACTGAATCCATGGTGGACAGTGGATTTGGGAGCAGAGTTCCGTGTGTCCAGTGTTAGCATCACCAATCGAGGAGACTGCTGTGCACTGCGAATAATTGGGGCTCAAATCCGAATTGGAAACTCACCAGGAAAAGGTGGAAGTCCAAGGTAGGGTAACAGAGTGATGATATTGAAGGGGTTATATTTGACTTTTCTTTAAGATCCTAAGAAGAGCCCTGCTAGATTAGACAAAGGCCAAGGTTAAATAGCCTCTTGTTTTCTTTAGTAGCCAACCATATGCCTACTGGGACCCCATATATAGACCATGAGGACAATAGCCCTCTTCAGCCATTATCCCTAATAACTGGCATTAAGATGCATGTTACCTCTGATCCATCCTACAATATGACTTCTAGTTAATACAGTACTAATCAATATGAACTGGTTCCTATTCAAGGTGTGCTACAATCATATTACTGGGCCGAGGGAGAACCGCCAATTTTGGCTGTAGAAAAATGCAAGGGCGGTATGTAACTATCACCATCCCAGGCATTCGTATCCTCTCATTGTGTGAAGTTCAAGTGTTTGGTGAAAAGCTACCTTCCTCGGGTAAGTGCGGAGGTTTCCTTCTCATGTTGTGGTTTGGTGGGCTGCTGACCGATGTCCTTGAAAAGAAGTGGATGGCAGATGTCTAGGCTAGGAAGTCTATAATGGCAGGGGAAGCTCTGGAGGAGGAATCTATCTCTTCAGTGGGATGCTTCATGTCACATATGCCTCTTTGTCTTTTAATAACTGCAGTATCACATGATTATACACAAGAGGTGGGGAATCTTTAGCCCATAGGCCTCTATAGGCTTGCTAGGCCTCCCTGTTTTGGCCAGGGGGCTATATCAGGAAAGCCATGCTCACTTGCCCTACAACGGATGATATACAGGCAGTGATGACTTTAACATCTTCATGAATAAGATGCTGATACCCTGAAGGGAAAGCTGTGCCTGTAAACCTCTGCCCTGCTCGCATAGAGGCATGGAAGTTTTACCGGTAGAAAGGTGGCAACTTTAGTTAGGACAAGACTTAAAGTCCGATTGTAGATTCAATCCAGAACAGTGTGTCCCAAAGTGGATGATACTACCCCCTGGAGGGCACTGGAATGATCCTGGGGGTCTCCCCTGGTTCTGGTGGTCATGCTGAAGGTCAAGTGTTTTCCCAGGCATGGGTGAATTCTTTTCAGCTTCACCCAAGCCCGGAAAGTGGACCACAGCTTGCCAATGTATTTGGCCAATGGCAGGAGGGCTGCAGCACTGGCCCCACTCCTGGAATGGATTATACTGAGGCAGCAGGCTTCATTCTGGTCCGCCCCATGGGTATTTAATCCTGGGGCCTAGTCCACCTCCTTATCCAGTTTTGAAAAACCATTCGTACAGATATCATCAGTTGTGTAATGATGCTTACTGATGTAACCAAGAGTTAAAGCCATAGTGATAACTTTATTTTACTTTACAAAGAAACACACTAAGTGCAAGTTATAACCGATCAGTGGTCCAGTCCTCCCACAGGTCTTGACAAGCCAGCGATGGCAGGTGAGCGTGTCGTGCATTGTTAGGAAGTCCGTCAGCAGGAATAAGTGTGCTGTGTATGTTACTGGAGGGGGGGCACTGATTATTATTTTTCCTTAACAGGGGGCAGTAGTCCAATTAGGTTTGGGAACCTCTGGTCTAGAAAGTTCACATCTGTTATATTCATTGATATTCCTGTGGGACACTGACAAAATTCTTCTCAAGTTCTGTGCTATTTGGGGGTTTGTGATTCCAGTGATCTCCATCAACCAAGTATACTTGGGGTTGTTGTTTTTAAGTAAGGTTTGGCATGGCTCAGATATTTTTCAACACATAGGAAGTCTTGCTTTCACATTTAACATATGTTTTGTCTAGGAGATGAAGAGGGGACCGCATCTGGAATGGAAGAAGCATAAGGTTGGTAAATGATCCTCACATTCATGTGTTTCAAAAGCCTAAAACATTATACACTAAACATGAACAGTCAATATTTATTTAGCTGGTTAGTTTGAATCAATATGGTAAATTTGGTCTTCTTCACCTCACCAAACACTTCCAGCAACTTGACGCTTTCCCCTCTTGTTCCTAAGCCTCTATAAGGCGGCTCATTTCATCTTGCAGGGCACAGCCTTCCATCCCACCCACACCCATCAAAATCTTTAAGGCAGTGACCTGGGGCCCTTCAGATCTTATTGGACTCCAACTCCCACCATTACCAGACAATATGGGCAATGGCCAGGGATGACTGGAGCTCCAGATGGGCATTTCCAGACTGGTGATACATACATAGAGTTATGTAATCATTTGTTTTTCTGCTGAGAGCTACAAGTGGAATTATCACATGCACACTAGTGGGTAGGACAAAGCTGAGTGGATGGGGAAGCCTCCCATAAGTACCTTTCTGCTGCTCCCACCAGATGCATGTTGCCATTGGTGCATCTTCCTTGGGATATTGTGTATGCCTAAAGAAGCAGCTGGGCCTTATGCTATCTCTAGAAAGCTGGGTTCAATCGGCACTTGATCTCCGCTTTCTAGGCATGGGTATGAGTGGTTTTTATGCCGGCCAAGAGGCCAAAAGTGCCAAGAAAGGCCAATCATGGCGTCCGGCACACTTCCATTGCACAGCTTGCTAACTATCCGTGCCGCTCCAAAAGTCCTTCTGCCTCTTCAGCCGGTAGCAGAGGAATCGCAGCAGTTAGAAGCAAATTGCAGCGTGTGGGTAATAAACTCAGAACAGACACAAGGCTTCCTTATCTTCTTAGCCTTTAATCATGTAGAATAACAGCATAAATCAGACCTGGCGAAAGCTCGCCCATCCTCCCTCTCGCATAGCGTACCAGAGGCAGACTGAGCAAACCACTCCCGTAAGTGTCTGTGACCACGCCTCATGATGCAAGGCGTCACACAGAACCTCTTAACCCTGTAGGTTCTGCTTCTCCCACACCCCCTCTCGTCTTGCATCCTGAGGGGACCTGTGCACACCTCTTTACAGACCTCTTTGAGTTCAACACCTTCCCCATTGCCTTTTGCCTTTTCCTGGCATCTTTCCCAGGCACCTGTTGAACCCCTTCAACACTCCCAGAATCACACTGTGCGAAACCAACCCACGCACTGGTGACCTGAAACCTCTCAGGTGGAACACCCTTTGTGGCCCGAGATGAACGCCTGGGCACAAACTGGGGTGCTTCATCTGAACTCCCTTTTGACCCATTGGGGCCAGCAGGTGTGTCTTCTCCGTCAGACTCCTCCCCCTCTGACTTGACGACCCGTCTGTGAGCTTTCTCCATTATGCTAACAGGAGATGAAGGCTCGCTCTTGGACACTCCTTTCACAACTCTTGGAGACGCCCAAACCTGCCCTGAACCCTGATCCTGGACCTGGTCCCCATCACCGGGTTCAGCCTCTGGCTCTCCTTCCTCCTCAGAATCAGACAGGCATTCTGAGAGAAAATCAGGACCATCCCTAGGCCGTGACCAACCACCCTGCTCACAGAACTCAGCATGCTTGCTGACCAGCAGCTTGGTCTGATCACCCTCTGGGTATGCAAACTTCCACCCATTTGTTGCAGGATCATACCCACAGAAGATCATGTCCTGGTACCTTGGACCACCCTCCTTCCGTTGTGCTGTTGGTATTGGCACTGAAGCCCTTGAACCAAACGAACGGAAGAAATGCACCTGTGGCTTTTGCTTGTGCAACAGGAAAAACGGTGTGTCACCTACAGCGTGATTGTAGGACCTGTTAAAAACAAAGCTGGCAAATTTCCAAGCTTCACTCCAAAAGCTCTGAGGCAGCCCAGAGTCACACAGCAAAACCTTGACAGCTTCAGCCAGTGTTTCACTCCTGTGCTCTGCCACGCCTCTCTCTTGAGGAGACTTTGCACCCGTCACCTGGTGACGAATTCCCTTTTGCTTGAAAAACTCCTTCAGAGCAGACCCAGTAAACTCTGACCCTCGGTCGCTCTTGAACTCTTGCACCTTGGTGGAGAACCTTAGTTCCACCTCCGCAACCCAATCCTGGATCAGTTGCGCCGCCTCCCCCTGTGATTTGAGAGAGAAACACCATGAATTCTGAGAAAAATCATCTGTCACCGTCAGCAGAAACCTGGCCCCACCCAGACTCTCACACTTCATGGGTCCTGCAAGGTCTGTGTGAACCAGCTCAAAAGGTTTTGTGGTTACCCTCTTTATCCCGGGAAAACTGCACCTTTGAACCTTTCTGCATGCCCTGCACTCTAGGGATCCCTCACATGGTGTGATTTTACAACCTTTGGTGCAGCTGGGCAACCTCTTAACATCCTCCAAACAAGCATGAGACATTCTCTTGTGCCATACATGAACACATGAATCATGGCTGGGAACACTAGCACACTGCGCCTGTGCTTTTTCGGTATTCCCCCCACCCTCCAGAGGTGATTCCAGAACAAAGAGATTGTTCTTGCTTTCCATGTTGACAAGTTGTCTCCCCCCTCTGAAAATGGAACAGGCATCATTTTCAAAGCAAACTTTGTACCCCTGCTTCACAAGAGCAGGTACAGATAACAGGCAACAATGCATTTCCGGCACAACGTAGACCTCTAGCTCCGCCTGTAAAAAGGAAAGATAGATATTAGCAACAGCAGAAACTAGCTTTTGTGTCCCATCAGCGCACGTAACAGTCATTCCAGCTGAAACAGCCCTGCAATTCCGCAGCCCTCCAGCAGGTGGCACTCTAATCAGGTGATGACTGACTCCGGAATCCACCACCCACTGCACAGCTGTGTCCCTGCTGGAGTTGTTTTTCAAAGCCGCCAGAGAAGCCGTGAGATGATAACAGTCTCCCTTCTCTGAGTCACGTCCTTCCTTTGCGTTCCCACGCTGACCTCCTCTCCTGGACTGGTTCCCATGGGAAGCGACCTTGGGACCTTCCTGCCCAGCTGCCTTCGCTCTCTGTGGGCAGCAGCGACGTACGTGGTCAGCTGACTTGCAAATGTAGCAACGACGCGTGGAAATATACTGGGGTGAGCTCTCAGCTAGCATAGCTTCCGGACCAGCTCCGCCCCCTCTCAAATGGCACTCCTCCACGACACACACAGTGGAAACCTTTCCAAAATGGCTTTTGGGCTTCTCTGCCCCCCTGATGCTTCCAACAGCACTTCGTGAGGCTGCAACAACAGGGCCTCCAGCTGTGCACTCGGCTTCTTTCTCCTGCTCCTGGCCCCCTGCTGAGCTATTGCACAAACATTTCAGCACTTGCCAGGCCTCACACGCAGATTCAATGCCTTCCAGGTGATGCTGTAACTTAGCATGTACACTTGCCCTCAACATGCAGATCTCAGCTCTCACAGCTTTCTCTCTCTGCATTTTCTCCTCCAGAGAAACAGATTGCAGCGTCTCTGCATCTCTCTCCACCAGTTCTACATTTCCAGTAGGCACTGGTTCTCTCTGGGATATGTCCCAAATTTCCGTGGCTAAAAACCACGCTCTCACCCTCCTGGCCCACGTATTCCACGACTGGGCGGTGAGCTCTTGAAGCCTTTCAAACGGAGCTTCAAACACCTCCTGGCCATCTGCCATCTTCCCCCGGGGCCCCAGCTACTCACAAACAGCGTCCAGCTCCCGGTACAGCAGACCAGCCTCCGGCAGATTAGATCTCCTTCCAGCGAGCTGCGTTCAGCCTCAAAGAAAGCTCCAGAGCTCCAGCTGGTCCCAGAAACCTTTCAGTCGGCTTGCTGGCTTCCCCCACACGTGGGACGTTGCTGCAAAGGCTTCAAAGCGTTGGCAAACACCCATAACCTATGCCGGCCAAGAGGCCAAAAGTGCCAAGAAAGGCCAATCATGGCGTCCGGCACACTTCCATTGCGCAGCTTGCTAACTATCCGTGCCGCTCCAAAAGTCCTTCTGCCTCTTCAGCTGGTAGCAGAGGAATCGCAGCAGTTAGAAGCAAATTGCAGCGTGTGGGTAATAAACTCAGAACAGACACAAGGCTTCCTTATCTTCTTAGCCTTTAATCATGTAGAATAACAGCATAAATCAGACCTGGCGAAAGCTCGCCCATCCTCCCTCTCGCATAGCGTACCAGAGGCAGACTGAGACACTCAGAGCAAACCACTCCCGTAAGTGTCTGTGACCACGCCTCATGATGCAAGGCGTCACACAGAATCTCTTAACCCTGTAGGTTCTGCTTCTCCCACAGTTTTCCCCTTGTCCCACTCCTTTCCAAGGGAAAACTCACTCTTCAGCAATGTTGTGTTCATGCTGATACAGAAAAATCTGTCCATGGTTCTGATCTGTGACAACTGTCTCATGCATATGCATCCTTCCATATAGGAAAAATGTCCTAGTGAGCAACACTTTTATAATAAGATTATAGTATTACTGTATATTGCATTTTTAGTATTGTTTTGCAGTACAGTCGTACCTTGGAAGTTGAACGGAATCCATTCTGGAAGTCCATTCTACTTCCAAAATCAGCAGCCAATCAGAAGTCGCAGAAGCCCCATTGGACATTTGGGTTTCAAAAGAACGTTGGCAAACCAGAACAATAACTTATGGGTTTGCGGCATTCCGGAGCCAAAATGTACAAGTTCCAGGGTGTTTGACAACCAAGTTACGACTGTATGTTGTCCAGGGAATGTTTGGGATGGGTAGATATAATCATGTAATGAATGGAATAAATAACCCTGGGAGGTTGCATCCCAAGGAGATGCAACCTACAAATTACCCTGGTATCTCAGCTGCCTTATTTTTCTTTCTACATAGATTATGTTTTATGGGACAGCAGAAATTGTGAAACCAAGAGCCCCTAGATTTGTGGAAAGACATCACAAATTATCATTAATCAGTGGTAACAAGGAGGAACCTGGCTGGCTGTCTAGAAGAACCTGCACCCAGAGGGACATCAACACCTTCCATGACTGCTAAAATCCCAAATAAACAGTAGAACTTGCAACTCTTTGTGGCTGGATGTACTGTCTGTTACAAGATTGGGAAACATATTCTTCTTACATATTTTATTTATTTAAATAGTTATAACTCTCACTTTTTCAAAGTGGTGGTATACCTAGCAGAAACAATTTAAAAATGGTAAACATATCAATAAAAGCTGTTGGGAAGCAATCTCAGATTTTGAAAGGCCTTCATGACTGAGTCAGACCATTATGTCCATTTAGATCAATAAAGCTAAACGTAAAGGTACCACTGCCTGTACGGGCCAGTCGTGTCTGACTCTGGGGTTGCGTGCTCATCTCGCTTAAGAGGCCGGGAGCCAGCGCTATCCGAAGACACTTCCGGGTCATGTGGCCAGCGTGACGAAGCTGCTCTGGTGAGCCAGCACCAGTGCAGCGCAGCGCACGGAAACGCCGTTACCTTCCCGCTATAAAGCGGTACCTATTTATCTACTTGCACTTGGGGGTGCTTTCGAACTGCTAGGTGGGCAGGAGTTGGGACCGAACGACAGGAGCTCACCCCACCGCAGGGATTCGAACCGCCGACCATGCGATCGGCAACTCCTAGGCACTGAGGTTTTACCCACAGCGCCACCCATGTCCCTTTTAGATCAATACTGTATATGAATGTACTGTAACAGAGATGTGACACATGAAACTGGAGTGTGGCCCATGGGCTTTGTAGAACATATACAGTGTAGAACATATACAGTGGTACCTTGGGTTAAGAACTTAATTTGTTCTGGAGGTCTATTCTTAACCTGAAACTGTTCTTAACCTGAGGTACCACTTTAGCTAATGGGGCCTCCTGCTGCTGCCACGCCACCATCATGCGATTTCTGTTCTCATCCTGAAGCAAAGTTCTTAACCCGAGGTACTATTTCTGGGTTAGCGGAGTCTGTAACCTGAAGTGTTTGTAACCTGAAGCATCTGTAACCCGAGGTACCACTGTATAGGAAAAAAGCCAGCCATGTTATTGTGTTGTGGAAAAAACACACATTTGGAGTGAGCAAAATGGTGATTCTGCCCAACACGTGAGGCAAGGGTGTAGTTCTAACACTGAGCGTGGCTGTGGACCAGACTCTCCTTATAGGGTGTCATCCAGATGTTGAACTACAACCCCAGGAGCCCCAGGAGTCAGCTTGGTTGGAGGAGGTTACTGTAGGCAATGGATCTTTGAGATCACAGATTGTACTGCTTGCCTCCTGCTTCCATTCCTCCCCCTTTATGGCCACGTTGCACAAAGCTGCCAACCAAGGATTTCACTTTGTGCATCTGATAAAGTGGACACAGTCTCTCTTTTCCACAGCTAGTGTTTGTTCATAACTTGCAAACAGGTCTGTCAGGCTGTTCCCAAGGCTGCCCTATTTTCCATTCCATCTTTCAGCCTTGAATGACTATTGCTGCAGTTGTATAGTGTTTATTTCCAGGAGCTGAAGCTGCTAGCCTTGAACTCTGTTGCAGAAGAAGTTGAACGGATATTGACAGTCTTCCAAAAAACAGCAGGCAGCAAGGTTTCAGCTGTCTTTAGGCAAGATAAAACTATCTTGCATGCCTCCCACCCTGCTTTTACTCTTGGGTTGGAAAACAGGGAACATGGTCTTAAAACTGTATAGGAATAGGCACATCTGTCCATTTTGGGTTCTCTCTGATTTCCCTTCTTCCCTTCTGAAGTTCCAGTGATACCAACAGGATTTCCTAAGGCAGTTCACTGCATGTCGATTGGGGGCCCTGCATCCACCTACACAATCCATTTGGCAAGAACTGCTGCTGATGTATCCTAGTCTTGTATAAGTGACCCTAGTCTGTCTCACAGGGCTGTTGCAAAGATAAAAAGAGGGGAGGACAAGGTTCACAGCCATGAGTTCCCGAGCTGAAAAGCAAAATACAAATATACAACAAGAATCAACAAATACGTGCAGTTTCAGAACTCTCATGGGGGCAAAAAAACCCCACAATTTTGTCAACCTTTATAAACACAAAAAAGCAACCTTATGTGTAGCCTATAGGAATTTTCACCTTCTGTAGCTGTAAGGTGTGCATTGATTATATGGGTGTATTTGCTGATTTTTAAAAATATATTTTACACTTTTGATTTATGGTTAGTGCATATGAATCAGTAACAGCCCAGTGATGACAAGCAAATCAGCAGTGGCTGTGGGGCTGACATGAAAAACCACATTGGGGTGGGGCGGACCGTATTTGCTCAAGTCTAATGCGCCAGCGCCATTTTGTTTCAAAACCTTGAAATAAAAAGCTGTGGAAAGTGATCCCTGAGTTTTAATGGCAGAATGGGTGTCTTGTTGGGGAGTTATTTGTAGCTCAGCTTGTCCTTGAATAACGTAAGGAATGTTTTCAAAGGATTGGACTGTAAATGGATAGACAACGAGGGCAGTTAATCTCTTCACACACCAGGTCTGGGAACAGAGTGCCAGAAGGGCTGCATGTATAAAATGGATTTCTATATGTTTCGGAAACCACAATGGTGCTGACTGAATGGAAATAATCAAGGCCAGCTATGACAATGGATTAAAACTAGCAGAAGGACGAGAAGGCGATGAAAAGAAGAAGGGATGTAGCAACAACAGGAGGAATTGGACATATGTTTGTAACACGTGTGGGAAACTATTGAAAAATTTGTGTAAAATTTAAAAAATATGGAATGATTTGTTAAAATCTGGAAAACTAATAAAAGAAAGAAAAATAAAAAAGAAACAAAAAATGTATTTGCTGGTGAATTTGGCACATCGGCAAAATGTGCATTTTTACAACGAGTTTCAGTCAGCCTGCTGCCCGCACTGCATCCCGCTTTTCCTCCTCCTCCTCCTCCCCTCTCGTAACTTGTGCAAGTGGAGGGAGCCAGGTTTTAAAATACACACACACAAACACATTTCTCTCTGCTCCCCTCTGCTGTATCAACATTCCCAAATGAAACGGTGCCTGGAGCTGGCTTGAGCGCTGATTGGCCAGCCCAGGGCTTCTGATCTGTCACGTCTTCACCACTGCTACCTTTTGTTAGTGAGTTTTTAGGAAAGGATTGGTTAGTTGGTTGTGTCTGTATGTTCATTTTTTTAAAAAAAATCTCTCTGTGTGCAATCTCTCTTAAAAAACAACAACAACAACAACAACAACAACAAACCAACCATGCTGATGGAGCCAGAAGGGGAGGGTCTCGTGGAGGGGAAAGCCGGCTTTCCCTTGCTTGCTCTGTCAAAATTTGTGGGTGCCCAGCAGCTTCATGGATAATTTTCTGGGTGCTCAGGCACTTATGAAAGCAGGAATCTAAGGGAGAGGCTTTTGGGGACCAAGGCCTGATCAATCATGGCCTGCAAAACTACTGTATTTACTCGAATGTAATGCGCCATTGAATCTAATGCACACAGTAATTTTCGCAATGTAATTGGGCAAAAAAGGGTGCGCATTAGTTTTGAGTAAATACGGTAAATCGTGCCACAATCAGCCAGTTGTGTTTTCCACTGTAAAAGCAGGACACTTGGGGATTGAATGAAATACTGTAATGTGGACATGCAGGACAGCACTAAACATGCATACAGCTAATCTCTTCATCCAGTGCCAGACTAGCAGGAATAACAAGATATTCCTCTTTTTATTCTGCCACCCTGGGAGGCCATCTAGGAGTACCAGGTAGGGGTGGTCAGCATTCCTTCCTCTGATTGCTTAACAACAGAGATTAAGTTATTGAGCATTCTTGGCAATGACAGCTTCTCTAATGGTTGCCTCCACATTTTGCTTTCTAGCTTTCTTTATAGAAGTTTGATTGGCTTACCTTTTTTAAAATGGAAGTTAAGAGTTCAGGGCCCTTGCTGGGTTGGGGGCCTAGTACATGTGTACTAGTACATTGCCTCTTGGCAGCCCTGTTAATTTCAGATCTTCACATCACTTTGATAATTTTAGAAAAACAAGTCCCCACAATAATTCATCAACATTTTTGCATAAATTTCTCCTAATAGACATCTCTTTATATGTCATTTTGCCCAATATACTGCTGCACGCCACTCCAATCTCTGAAAGCAAAAGTAAACAAGCGGGTCTCAAAAACATAGCACATATTGTTAAATCATTATACACATCACAGGTATAAACAAATGGCAAAAAACCCCAAGCCCTCAGGGCACGAGACTGGACTCTTGGGCTTTCCTGAGTTGGGAGCCTTTTATCACTGTGTTAACATAACTGATTTGTTCAAGCTAGACAGCAGGTAAGGCTGTGGAGAATTAGCCATGGGGAATCAGGGACAGAGCTGTCAACTTTCAGATTTGAAATTAAGGGATCAGCAGCCTCACCTGTCCCAGGGACAGTCTACGGATATCTAACAATCAGGGATAGCAGGTGGAAGCAGTGGGAAACGGTGCTGGAATAAGGGAATGTTCCGCAAAAAAAGGGGGGAGGTTGACAGCTATGATCAGGGACAGTTCCATGACAAAAGATCCTGAACAGCTTCCTGTGTGCTGGCATCTTCACACAACAGAGGGAGAAGAGGGAAAGCACTCATTCTCTTTTCTAAGCTCTACACAATTTCACAGTGCATGGAGATTCCTTGCACCGGAGGAGTAGTACTTTCCTGCTTTGAGGGAGTCCTATCAATGGGAGAGAAATATTTTGATAGCTTCCTTTGTTGGTTTGGCTTTGTTTGGCTTGCTTAACTTGTTCCAATCGTTTTCTTTTTGCATTCTTGTAACCACCATATCAGATGGATCTACTTTACTTAATATTTTGAACTGAACTTTAGGGCAGATTCTTTTGCCTTTAATTCCTTTAATTCCTTTCAGCAACTCCCGACCTAGTTGCTAAACTCCAGGCAGGACAGGTTTTTCTCTTGAGCAAAGCAAATTTGTGCAAGATGTTACAACACTCAACGGCTTTCTTACTTGAAGGAAATGGTAAATTATAGCAATAATAGGTAGAGAGTGACACGTCACGCCACCCAGTCTCTGTACTCCACAGACAAATGCCGTTCTTATGGGTTTAAAATTCATTAAAACAGACTTCCAGGTGGCAATGATTGACTGGGCTGCAGATTTTGGATATAATATAGACCTGGCAGATTGGGATAAATTATGGAATAATACGGTTAAATTTTCAGCATGCTATACATTTGGAGAAAATATAATAAAGATGGTTTTTAGGTGGTACCTGATGCCCAGAAAATTGGTAAGGATAAATAAAAGAGGATCTAACCAATGCTGGATATGTATGGATGCAGAAGGCATGTTAATCCACTTGTGGTGGCAGTGCAAAAGCGCAAAAGCATTTTGGGGGATGATTCATGAAGAACTTATGAAGATGCTCAAATGTTCATTCTCCCCAAAACCAGAAGCCTTCCTGCTAGCTGTATTAATCCTATCCACTCAATCCACAAGAGCCTATCTTCATATGCCAGGGAGTCCCTAACACACCAAGGGTTTGAAACCCATCATCTACCCTTGACCTGGTTTAGCCGGCCAGTGAACATCATTTCCGGGGTGCGGCATCTGTTGCAGGCTGGCAGTTTCAGTAACAACAACCGAACCCCCTAGACAACGCCCCAGCCCAAGAGTCTGTTCAGCAGCCTCAGCTTCTGCAGCGGGCATTAGTGCAGGTCCTGTTGTCTCAGGCCAGGTGGAAAAAGGACTGCAAGGCAGAGAGCAGGTCTTCCACGACTCACAGCCAAGAAGGTCTCTTGGTTGGGAAAGCATGCGATCCTTCTTAGGTAATCTGCCCCAAAGGCTGCTAATGTATTTAAAGGTTAAAAACAGCACTTTGAATTGGGTACGGAAACAGACTGGCAATCATCATTGACAGTCAATAATTGGTGTGACATGATCGAGATAGCTAAACCCAGAACAGCTGTTAGATGCTTCACATGACACAGCTCTATATAGGTTTGGAGCTGGAGGGATCTTCTTGTGGTGCGATATAGTGTTTGTGTAACTTTGCTTTGTCTTTTGTCTTTGTCCATGGAGTTTTCTTGGCAGGGATACTGGAGTGGCTTGGTCAAAACTCTCCACTATGACCTGTCCATCTTGGGTGGCCCTGCACAGCATAGCTCATAGCTTCTCTGAGTTATTCAAGCCCCTTCACCAGCAAGGCAGTGACCCACGGTTGGACAGTGTTCTCGAAGCTACCCATGGGTTTGACCAAACTGCGGGAGGCAGTGGAAGATAGGAGTGCCTGGAGTGCTCTGGTCCATGGGGTCACGAAGAGTCAGACACGACTAAATGACTAAACAACAACAACAACAACAACAACAACAACTTTGCTTTGAAAGAAATAACCAAACTCCTATTTATTTTCATTTAAGACCATGGTTCATGTATTCTTTCTGCTATTTTGCCTCATTTACCTCAGACCCTGCCCCTTATCAACCAAATCTCCTCATGTTGTAATAACTGGCAAGAGGTCAAATATTTGCTTTGACCACAAAATTGAAAGGAAACTTTGAGTGGTCTTTGTTAGGAACAGTTTTCTGATTGGAGGAGAGCAGCATCCCGGGCAGTTTAATAACCCCCTTCCCACTCTGTTGGGGGCACTCAAGTCAAGAGCGCTTCTCTCTCTCCGTAAGTCTGTCTCCTGAGCCTTGCCCAAAAAGGACACAATGCTTCAAGGAAGGACTGTGAGATGCTGCCTTTTGCTGATGCTCTTGACTATCCTGCCTACACGGCCTGCATTGGAAGGTGCGTTACCAAGAATTGGGTGTCATTCCTCCCCCTAGTTTTCCTTCCCCCCCAATATTCACTGGTGCAAAGCCATAGAAGGCTGGCTTAATTCCCACTGGAAAAGAATATGACAAGTTAATGGTGACTTAGAGATAGCCTGTTAATTTCAATAGGGCTTCCTATATGAGTGCCTGCCTTTAGATCTGGGCCTCTGTTTTGGTTAAGAAATATTTCTTAACAGTAGTTAATCAGGCTCAAGACAAATTCCCAAAGCACTCAATGTGCCCTCTTCTTTGGGAACTACTGTTGCCCGCCAGCTTTTGTCACCCAGGCTCGTTTGAATATGGGTTACAGCTTTTCAGCAACAGTTCATAATTATGGGAACTAATGGGAGCACTCCTAACCTCTTTACCTCAGAGTAAGCTGCACTGAATTTAATAGGACTCAGGGGGAGATTCTAACCATGTTTGCTCAGGGGTTATTTTAATGACAATGGAGGTTGCATTAGTCACAACTAACTTTGGTTTCAATGGGCTTTTAGTGTCACTGAAGTAAAGCTCATTGAGTTCAAGATTTACTCCAGGTAAGTGAGTACAAGAATGCAGTCTTAGGCACAACTAACCCATACCCTTCAACATTCCTCAAATGAAAACAGGAACATTTCTCAGTCCCCCTAACAATTGACCCCATTCCTCCACCCCCTAGGGAAACCCTCTAATTCCAATGTTATCTTATTTCAACCTTTGGAAGATTTACAAAAAGAAAAACACATACCAATTAATAACTTTTAGAAAGGGGCAATGTTAGACGTGGATGCACAAAGCATCTTAAAAATCGAGACTCCTTGCACCCTTCTCCACTCCCCCTTTCATTCCTCCTTGAATGGTCCTGATAGCCAACTCGCTACATGAAGCTGGATTTTAGGGTGGCAGCAGCCTCTCCTCCCCGCTCTCCTGCAACTGCTGCAAACTGCCCAAGAGAAAAGGCCAGCAGCAGCAGCCACAGAGAGTCCCTGGAGAGGCACCAGGATGTTCCTGCAGAGCTGCCACTGCCGCCGCCACTACTGCCACTGCTCTGAACAACCTCCAGCTCGTATTCCTCTCCAAGCTCAGCAGCGGTAGCCCTGATGGGGAATTGGGGACATTCAGGGATCAGATCCCCAGCTAGCATGGCTTTTGTAATTCCAGAACTGTCCCCGAAAAACAGGGACACTTGGAGGTGATGCTAATCTTTTTGTTTGGTTGGAGTATGCGCCTTTTGTGTTGTTTGTTGCTGTAACCGCAAGTAGAATATGACATAGGTTTAGCCAGCTTCATTACACTTCTGGTTTTATTTTGCACTGGAAGGTTTCCTAACAAAGAACGAGGACCCATCCTCACTTCTGTTTGTGCCACGATTTCTAGGCAGAGGTATGTGATTTGTAGGCATGAGTGCAAGTGAGTGGGGTGTGGGTGTGTGGTCCCACCGCAGGAAACCCATTTGACTTTTGTTTTGATTTAGAGGCAAACAGTGAGTTTTCCCACTAAAGCAATGGGGCAAAATAAAGCCCTGCCTGGACCTGTGTCTACTTATGCCAGGCAATTGCGGAAAAAACTGGTGTGGATAGGTTAGAATTTATGTGAATGGGTTACAGTGGCGTAGCGTGGGGGGTGCCAGGGGTGCCGGCCGCACCGGGCGCAACATCTGCGGGGGGCGCGAGTCCAGAGGGAAGGGACAAGTTCCTTCCTCCGCCGGGCTCCCCGCCGCCACCGCCAGCCTTGCGCCCTAGCGCGCGCGCGCCCCCCACCGCCGCTGCAGCTGCGCTCCGCAGACTGGCCGTTTTATTTGGCTTTGAAAGCCCAACAGCTGCAAATCAGGCGCTCTCCCCCGACCCGCGCCCAGCGCCTCTCCCCTTTCTCTCCCGCTTCTCCCTTTCCCAAGGAATCCGAGAAGACCTGCGTTTAATGAAACGTGAAGTGTGAAAACTTCCTGAGCTGCAGAGGCGACTCCTTAATGATGTTCCCAGATGTGGCGGGGCTGGAGAATGGGGTGAAGGCGCGCAGAGGCGCCTGCCGGAGAGGGAGAACCTCACCTTGCCGCGGGCACCGCTAGGGCCCGGGTAATGGGGGGGAAAGAGCTCTCCAAGCCGTGCGTAATTACGCACCGCAGAGATTCTGCCCTTGCGATGGGCAGCTTCCACCTCGCTCTGGAAAACAACCCGTCCTTGTTATCTTCTTTTTTTTTAATTATTATTTCTTTTCGCGCTGGGGACTTGTTTCATGGGGCTGAGGGGAGGGGAAGAGTCCGATCACTTGTTTAGAAAACGAAAAAGCGGGGTGGGGGGGAGGGAAGCGGGCTGCCAGCACCTCCGAGCTATTCTGGTGAAATTCAATTTGCACTGAATTCTAAAGATCCTCTCGCTGATTCTCTTCCAGGCTGTTACGCGCCGCAAAGACAGCTTGGAGGAACAGCCCACAAGGCAAAGCTGAAACTCCTTCCCTACCACAAAAATACTTTGTATTGGACTTTGTGGTTGGAAATAATTTCACTGGGTGCCCACCAGATACCCAAGCGGTTGCAGGGAGAATGGGGCTTTGGTAATCCTGGTCCCTAGTTAATTCTGAGAGGGTGTTTTTCGGTTTCCCATGTGAGGGACAGAAAGGATGAAATTTCCACCCTATCTGACACAGCCTCATAGAATCATAGAGTTGGAATAGACCACAAGGGCCATCGAGTCCAACCCCCTGCCAAGCAGGAAACACCATCAAGCACTCCTGACATATGGTTGTCAAGCCTCTGCTTAAAGACCTCCAAAGAAGGAGACTCCACCACACTCCTTGGCAGCAAATTCCACTGTCAAACAGCTCTTACTGTCAGGAAGTTCTTCCTAATGTTTAGGTGGAATCTTCTTTCTTGTAGTTTGGATCCATTGCTCCGTGTCCGCTTCTCTGGAGCAGCAGAAAACAACCTTTCTCCCTCCTCTATATGACATCCTTTTATATATTTGAACATGGCTATCATATCACCCCTTAACCTCCTCTTCTCCAGGCTAAACATGCCCAGCTCCCTTAGCTGTTCCCAGTGGCGTAGCGTGGGGGGTGCAGGGGGGCCGGCTGCACCAGGCGCGTGATGGGTTAAGAATTGATTCAGCTCTCTTAGTTTTTCCTACCTTGCAGTTCAGTGGTTGAAGCACAACAGCAACAAAATGGAACCTTTCCCCTTTCTTTCTTTCAGACACCAATGTGGCCCTCGCCGGAGAAGCTTCACAATCCAGTACCTACAGCTCGCTAGGAGCAGCTGGAAATGCCATTGACGGGTCCACAGCCAGTGATTTTAACCAGGGATCCTGCACCCACACAGATTCTGAAAGGAATCCATGGTGGATGGTAGACTTGAAGGCACAATATCAAGTACTCCGTGTCACCATCACCAATCGGAAAGACTGCTGTGCTCAGCGTCTCAATGGGGCTGAAATCCGAGTTGGGGACTCCGCAGAGAGAGGAGGCACCACAAATCCTAGGTACTGTATACGGATCGGATGCTTTGTAGCCAGGGAAGGGGAAGCTGAGGCCCCCCAGGTGTTATTGGAGTACCACTCCCATCATCTTGATCCATTGTCTATGTTGGTTCAACAGGTGGCAGTTGGAGTCCAACAATATTTGGAGGGCCATGGGTTTCCTATATCTTCCTTTCATGTAGAGAAGTTGTGAGGTATGATTTTCTGTTCTGCCCTGTTTTCGTCACATGCAGTTCATTGTCTGCTGCAGTTCACTGTCTGCCAAAAGCTATGTTATTATGTTTTGCTTTCCACTGTGGCAAAACTTCTGTCATGAACACACCAGCTCCAAGTGTAATCTTGCAGCTGGCTGCAGAATGCAGTCTGGACAGGGGGCTGGGCTTTCATGCTGCCATAGGAGAGCCTGCAGCTGCCAGCATCAAGTCCCCCTGATCTTGGATGGCTGGCTGATAAGGAAGGAACGGAGAGCAGGCTGGAACACAGCCAAAGCTCCCCGGAAGCCCAAACAGGCGTGGAAAGTCACAGACAGCTTTTCGGAACAGGAAGGGGCTGCAGCACACTAAGTAAGTCTGAGGTGTAGGAATATAGGAAGGCTCCTAGACAAATCAAAGGGTCAATCTCTTCTGTCGACACAGGAAGAACCCCTCAGAAAAGTCAACTGAGTAATGGGGGCTGGAGGTTTGCTAGAGCCGTCCGGAAATAGATTGCTTGGTTTTTTTTTGCAATAAATCCTCCTTTTTAATTACTTGCGCTTACTGTGTTATCAAGCCGGGAACCTGGACTCCTAACAACTACATAACTTATGTAATTTATATAATTCAGTATGTAAATTATGTAGGTTGCATTGTTCTGTTATGCCACACCAGAATAGCTCTGACAGTAGAGCATGAGACTTTAAATCTCCAGGTCATGAGTTCAAGACCCACACTGGACAAAATATTCCTAATTTGCAGATGTTTGGGCTAGGTGACCGTCATAGTCCTCTCCAACTCTACTGTTCTCTGATTCTATGTGGGGTTTTTTGCTGAAAAAAATTCTTCCATTATTGTTTAATGCTATTCATTATTTTTTTTAATGATTTCGTTTCTTTTCTAGATGTGCTACAATAAGTTCTTTGGGTGCTGGGGAAACAGAAACTTTTTACTGTGAATCATCGAAGGGCCAGTTTGTGACAGTTACCCTACCTGGGAAGGAATACCTCACGCTTTGTGAAGTCCAGGTGTTTGGATGTAAGATAGAGTCCCCTGGTACGTAGAAAAGATATTGTCATCTATTTGTGCACAAAGAGACTGAGGCTGTGGACACACCCTGTATTTAAAGCACATTTAAATGCATGACTTCCCCCAAGAATCCGGGGATCTTTAGTTTAGGATTGGCTTCTGTGATTCTGGAATGTCCACCTTAAATGGGGCAGTTGACGGGTATAGTATACAGGCATAAACTCTTACTTTCCATGCTCTGCTGCTACTAAGCCTGCAACTGAAATAACGGTTTCCCCTGATTACACCCAGGCTCCCCTTCCCTCCCCTTCCTCACTTGTAAGGGATTCACCCACTGCTGAGATTTTGTTTCAGCACCAGACAAATACCGTACCCTCCAACATGTTGAGGCTGAAAACTGGGATGCACATTTTTGGGCCCTAGGACCTCGCATACGATTGTGATCTCACATGTTCTTAGGCACCTGCTGAGAGCATGGCGAGAGCATTAATTAAGAATTAATTCAGCTCTCTTAGTTTTTCCTACCTTGCAGTTCAGTGGTTGAAGCACAACAGCAACAAAATGGAAACTTTCCCCTTTCTTTCTTTCAGACACCAATGTGGCCCTCGCCGGAGAAGCTTCACAATCCAGTACCTACAGCTCGCTAGGAGTAGCTGGAAATGCCATTGACGGGTCCACATCCAGTAATTTTAACCAGGGATCCTGCACCCACACAAATTCTGAAAATAATCCATGGTGGATGGTAGACTTGAAGGCACAGTATCAAGTACTCCATGTCACCATCACCAATCGGAAAGACTGCTGTGCTCAGCGTCTTAATGGGGCCGAAATCCGAGTTGGGGACTCTGCAGAGAGAGGAGGAACCACAAATCCTAGGTATTGTATACGGATCGGATGCTTTGCAGCAAGGGAAGGGGAAGCTGTGGCCCCTCAGGTGTTATTGGAGTACCACTCCCCTCATCTTGAGTTCAAGCAGGTGGGAGGTGGAGGCCAACAATATCTGGAGGGCCATGGGTTCCCCATCCTTTCCTTACATATAGAGATGTCATGAGGTACGCTTTTCTGTTCTGCCCTGTTTTCGCCACATGCAGGACTGTTTCCATTCCACAACAGTTCGCTTTCTGCCGAAAGCTAACTTACTTTGTCTGGCTGTCTGCTGTGGCAAAACTACATAAGTTATGAAATTTAGTACAGTGGTACCTCAGGCTACATACGCTTCAGGTTACATACGCTTCAGGTTACAGACTCCGCTAACCCAGAAATAGTACCTCGGGTTAAGAACTTTCCTTCAGGATGAGAACAGAAACCATGCAGCGGCAGCGGGAGGCCCCACTAGCTAAAGTGGTGCTTCAGGTTAAGAACAGTTTCAGGTTAAGAACGGACCTCTGGAATGAATTAAGCACTTAACCCGAGGTACCACTGTATGTATATTAGGCAGGTTACATTGTCCTGTTATGCCATGCCACCATAGCTCCGACAGACTTTTAATCTCAGGGTCATGGGTTCAAGATTCCTAAATTGCAGGGGGTTGGACTAGATGACCCTTGTGGTCCTTTCAAACTCTGCTGTTCTATGATTCTGTGATTTCATTGGAATGGAAATGCAATGCAAATCAGGGAACATGATTTAGTCAATTACATACTGGTTTTGGACTGATCAGCAAATACTGATCATATCCACTGGATCAATTTCTGTTCCTCTCATGGGGTGAATTTGTCAACACTGGCCATTTCCACTTCTATTTTGTCAACATTTTCTGGCATCCCTGCTTTACAGGATTATGGCACAGGGAGGACAATGGAGTGCAAATGTTCCAGACATATCCCTAGCAGTTTGATTTCCCAGAACATAGCAAATATTTGCTTTCTTTTCTGACTTTTTCATGTGAGTTCAGGTTACTGAAAAAAATTCTTCCATTACTGTTTAATGCTATTTTAAAAATAATAATAATAATAATATATGATTTGGTTCTTTTCTAGATGTGCTACAATAGGTTCTTTGGGTGCTGGGAAAACAGACAGCTTTAACTGTGAAGCATCAAAAGGGCGGTATGTCACTGTTACCCTACCTAGGAAAGAATACCTCACGCTTTGTGAAGTCCAGGTGTTTGGACGGAAGATAGAGTCCCCTGGTACGTAGAAAAGATATTGTCATCTATTTGTGTGCAAAGAGACTGAGGCTGTGGACACACCAACAGAATGGTTGGGGCCCATTCCGCGGAGGGGGGGATGAACGGGGACACCCATTCTCAGGGATCAAAGGGAGGAGGAGGAATTGTGCTAAGACCAGACCATGTCATTACCGAGGAGGCAAGTTTAGTCATTGTTTGAAGTCTATCCCTGCCTCCAGGTCTGGTCTAGACCAGAAGGATACTGGAATCAACAAGGGAGACCCACATGCCAGGTGAATGATTCACAAGACGGCTGTCACCCACGACTTGGTCGTGGATGGAGGACTTGACCTGGCATGTGGTTCGATGAAGCAGATGGGCCTGTCCTTGCTGCAGGTTTCTCTTACGCACAGCACCCCAGGACATATGGGCGGGTGGGTGCTGCAGTAATATTTAGAAAGTCATTAGCTTACACCAGGCGTCCTATTGGGAAGACCCAGTTGTCTGAGTACATGTTCTGGAAGGTGGGCGATAGGAGCAGTACAGGATTCCTTTTGGTGTACTGACCTCCCCGCCGCACCAAGGATTCCCTATCCAAGCTGCTTCAGGTCATGGCAGATGTTCTCCTAGGGACACCTAGTTTGGGGATTTTAACATCCATGCTGACACGCTCTTACAAGGGGCCCCTCAGAACTTCATGCATAGTATGACCTCCCTGGAGCTGTCCCTGAATAAGTTTGACCCAACTCATAGTCGTGGACATGCCTTAGACCTAGTGTTCACCTTTATGAATGTGGGTGATCTGACACTAAGGAAAAGCGAAACAAAAGAAGTTCCATGGTCGGATCACTTTCTGGTGCACCTGGACTTCTCCACGAACCTTCCCATTTGCAGGGAGGTGGGGCCAATTTGTATGGTCCATCCCCACCACTTAATGGATCCAAATGGTTTCCAGAGAGTGGCAGGGAATGTTTTATTCCGTATTGATGGTCTTTCAGCTGATTCCCTGGTGGCCTGCTGGAATGTGGACTTAACCAGGGCTATTGACTGTCTGGCTCTGAAGCACCCTCTCCGATTGCATGGAGCCTGGACAGCCCCATGGTTTCCCCAGAGTTGAGGGCAATGAAACAATCGCTGAAATGGCTAGAGTGCCAGTGGTGGAAATCTCATTTTGAATTATACCAGACATGGGTTAGAGCTGAACGTTGAGCCTACCAAGTGGCAATAGTGACACCGTAGAGGACCTTTCATCTGCAGAAGACAGCTGCAGGAGACTCTTTCAGGTGGTTTGCAATCTAACGGAACCACCTTTGCTGTTGGGGCCTGGTAAGGACCCCAAGATCTCCTGCAATGATTTTGCAAAATTTTTTGCAGATAAAGTCTGCAAAGTTTGCAGAGTTGGAAGGAAGTAGACTCCACCTTCCACCCTGGGAGCAGGGCTGGGGCAGAAGAGTGCTAGAGTCTTGTCTAGTCAAGTTGTATAGGATCGATTCCAATCTGTTACCTCCGAGGATGCGGACAGGCTGCTCAAACAAGTGAAACTGACCACCTGTCTCCTTGATCCTTGTCCATCCTGGCTCATAAAAGCAAGCCAGGAAGGGCTGGGCGATGGGCTCTGCAGGGTGGTGACCTAGTGCTGGACCTTGGCACTCTGAGGTCACCATGCTCACAAGCACCAAAGTGAGAGTCTTTTGGTCTGGTGCTGTGGCATGAGGACTCACTCCAGAGCACTGGACCAAAAACGGAGAGATCTGGCAATCAAACAGAAGCCAGGATTGGCTTCTGTGATTCTGGAATGTCCACCTTAAATGGGGCAGTTGACGGGTATAGTATACAGGCATAAACTCTTACTTTCCATGCTCTGCTGCTACTAAGCCTGCAACTGAAATAACGGTTTCCCCTGATTACACCCAGGCTCCTCTTCCCTCCCCTTCCTCACTTGTAAGGGATTCACCCACTGCTGAGATTTTGTTTCAGCACCAGACAAATACCGTACCCTCCAACACGTTGAGGCTGAAAACTGAGATGCACATTTTTGGGCTCTACCACCTTGCATACGATTGTGATCTCACACTTTTTTAGGCATGGCGAGAGCATTAATTAAGAATTGATTCAGCTCTCTTAGTTTTTCCTACCTTGCAGTTCAGTGGTTGAAGCACAACAGCAACAAAATGGAACCTTTCCCCTTTCTTTCTTTCAGACACCAATGTGGCCCTCGCCGGAGAAGCTTCACAATCCAGTACCTACAACTCACTAGGAGCAGCTGGAAATGCCATTGACGGGTCCACATCCAGTAATTTTAACCAGGGATCCTGCACCCACACAAATTCTGAAAATAATCCATGGTGGATGGTAGACTTGAAGGCACAATATCATGTACTCCGTGTCACCATCACCAATCGGAAAGACTGCTGTGCTCAGCGTCTCAATGGGGCTGAAATCCGAATTGGGGACTCCGCAGAGAGAGGAGGGACCACAAATCCTAGGTACTGTATACGGATCAGATGCTTTGTAGGCAGGGAAGGGGAAGCTGAGGCCCCTCAGGTGTTATTGGAGTACCACTCCCATCATCTTGATCCATTGTCTATGTTGGTTCAAGCAGGTGGCAGTTGGCGTCCAACAATATTTGGAGGGCCATGGGTTTCCTATATCTTCTTTTCATGTAGGCAGGGAAGGGGAAGCTGTGGCCCCTCAGGTGTTATTGGAGTACCACTCCCCTCATCTTGAGTTCAAGCAGGTGGGAGGTGGAGGCCAACAATATCTGGAGGGCCATGGGTTCCCCATCCTTTCCTTACATATAGAGATGTCATGAGGTATGCTTTTCTGTTCTGCCCTGTTTTCGCCACATGCAGGACTGTTTCCATTCCACAACAGTTCGCTTTCTGCCGAAAGCTAACTTACTTTGTCTTGCTGTCTGCTGTGGCAAAACCACCTAAGTTATGTAATTTAGTATGTATATTAGGCAGGTTTCATTGTCCTGTTATGCCATGCCACCATAGCTCCGACAGACTTTTAATCTCAGGGTCATGGGTTCAAGATTCCTAAATTGCAGGGGGTAGACTAGATGACCCTCACAGTCCTTTCAAACTCTGCTGTTCTATGATTCTGTGATTTCATTGGAATGGAAATGCAATGCAAATCGGGGAACATGATGTAGTCAATTACATACTGGTTTTGGACTGATCAGCAAATACTGATCATATCCACTGGATCAATTTCTGTTCCTCTCATGGGGTGAATTTGTCAACACTGGCCATTTCCACTTCTAGTTTGTGAACATTTTCTGGCATCCCTGCTTTAGAGGATTATGGTACAGGGAGGACAATGGAGTGCAAATGTTCCAGACAGATCTCTTGCCATTTGATTTATGAAAACATAGCAAATATTTGCTTTCTTTTCTGACTTTTTCATGTGAGTTCAGGTTGCTGAAAAAAATTCTTGCATTACTGTGTAATGCTATTTTTTAAAATAATAATAATATATGATTTAATTCTTTTCTAGATGTGCTACAATAGGTTCTTTGGGTGCTGGGGAAACAGAAACTTTTTACTGTGAATCACCGAAGGGCCAGTTTGTGACAGTTACCCTACCTGGGAAAGAATACCTCACGCTTTGTGAAGTCCAGGTGTTTGGATGTAAGATAGAGTCCCCTGGTACGTAGAAAAGATATTGTCATCTATTTGTGCACAAAGAGACTGAGGCTGTGGACACACCCTGTATTTAAAGCACATTTAAATGCATGACTTTCCCCCAAGAATCCGGGGATATTTAGTTTAGGATTGGCTTCTGTGATTCTGGAATGTCCACCTTAAATGGGGCAGTTGACGGGTATAGTATACAGGCATAAACTCTTACTTTCCATGCTCTGCTGCTACTAAGCCTGCAACTGAAATAACGGTTTCCCCTGATTACACCCAGGCTCCCCTTCCCTCCCCTTCCTCACTTGTAGGGGATTCACCCACTGCTGAGATTCTGTTTCAGCACCAGACAAATACCGTACCCTCCAACACGTTGAGGCTGAAAACTGGGATGCACATTTTTGGGCTCTAGGAACTCACGTTTGATTGTGATCTCACATGTTTTTAGGCATGGCAAGAGCATTAATTAAGAATTGATTCAGCTCTCTTAGTTTTTCCTACCTTGCAGTTCAGTGGTTGAAGCACAACAGCAACAAAATGGACCCTTTCCCCTTTCTTTCTTTCAGACACCAATGTGGCCCTCGCCGGAGAAGCTTCACAATCCAGTACCTACAGCTCGCTAGGAGCAGCTGGAAATGCCATTGACGGGTCCACAGCCAGTAATTTTAACCAGGGATCCTGCACCCACACAAATTCTGAAAATAATCCATGGTGGATGGTAGACTTGAAGGCACAGTATCAAGTACTCCGTGTCACCATCACCAATCGGAAAGACTGCTGTGCTCAGCGTCTCAATGGGGCCGAAATCCGAGTTGGGGACTCTGCAGAGAGAGGAGGCACCACAAATCCTAGGTATTGTATATGGATCTTATGTTTTGTAGCCAGGGAAGGGGAAGGTGAGGCCCCCCAGGTGTTATTGGAGTACCACTCCCCTCATCTTGAGTTCAAGCAGGTGGGAGGTGGAGGCCAACAATATCTGGAGGGCCATGGGTTCCCCATCCTTTCCTTACATATAGAGATGTCATGAGGTACGCTTTTCTGTTCTGCCCTGTTTTCGCCACATGCAGGACTGTTTCCATTCCACAACAGTTCGCTTTCTGCCGAAAGCTAACTTACTTTGTCTTGCTGTCTGCTGTGGCAAAACCACCTAAGTTATGTAATTTAGTATGTATATTAGGCAGGTTTCATTGTCCTGTTATGCCATGCCACCATAGCTCCGACAGACTTTTAATCTCAGGGTCATGGGTTCAAGATTCCTAAATTGCAGGGGGGTGGACTAGATGACCCTCACAGTCCTTTCAAACTCTGCTGTTCTATGATTCTGTGATTTCATTGGAATGGAAATGCAATGCAAATCGGGGAACTGTTTAATGCTATTTTTAAAATAATAATAATAATAATATATGATTTGGTTCTTTTCTAGATGTGCTACAATAGGTTCTTTGGGTGCTGGGGAAACAGACAGCTTTAACTGTGAAGCATCAAAAGGGCGGTATGTCACTGTTACCCTGCCTAGGAAAGAATACCTCACGCTTTGTGAAGTCCAGGTGTTTGGACGGAAGATAGAGTCCCCTGGTACGTAAAAAGATATTGTCATCTATTTGTGTGCAAAGAGACTGAGGCTGTGGACACACCCTGTATTTAAAGCACATTTAAATGCATGACTTTCCCCCAAGAATCCTGGGATCTTTAGTTAATAAAAGGGTTTTGCGAACTGTAGCTCTGTGGAGGTGAATTACAGGTCCCAGGATTATCTACAGGAATCTACCGTATGTCCTTTAAATAGATAGTGTGTACTCAGCCTAATATGCAGGAGAAACACAGTGTCCATAATGTGGACTGATTCATTAATGGTCATTCAAGAAGCAGATTTTCTGCATTGGGAAGAGGTTTTAGTAGATTTCCTTTGAGGTTCCACCTAAATGTTATGATTCTGCCATGTCAGTGAACCCTGGGAACTGTAGTGTTAAATGAGGGAATCTTTCATTAAAGGAAAATTTCCCAGAATTCTTTGGAGGAAGCCATGACAGTTAAATCATGATAGAACCCAGAAGCAAGATTCAACTATTTTGTTTCTTTGTATTTACTGTAAATGATAAATCAGGTTAAGTACACAGTATACTGTCCATCGTTATCATACCTGAAATCGGGACATGTGTTGCTGCTGGGCGAGTCACCTGAGATGTCCCACACTCTCACCCCTAAAAAAGTGGCACTCTGGGTTCATTAGAAGGCCGTGCCAGAGTGCTGGACCTTTGACACTGTGATGCAATCTTGCTCATGAGCTCTAGAGTGAGAGTCCTTTGGTCTGCCACTGTGGCAGGACTCGCACTAGAATGCCGGACGAAGAAAAGAGAGATTCCGGAATCAAACAGAAACTGGGATTGGCTTCTGTGATCCTGGAACATTTCCCCTAAAATGGGGCTGTTGACAGATATGGTACTCAGGTGTAACATTATTTAAAAGACAATAGGTTATCACAATTGCCAGTAAGGAAATACAGGATACAGCTATGCTATTAACGCGGGTGGTGCTGTGGGTTAAACCACAGAGCCTAGGGTTTGCCGATCAGAAGGTCGGCGGTTCGAATCCCTGCGACGGGTTGAGGTCCCGTTGCTCGGTCCCTGCTCCTGCCAACCTGGCAGTTTGAAAGCACATCAAAGTGCAAGTAGATAAATAGGTACTGCTTTGGTGGGAAAGTAAACGGTGTTTCCGTGTGCTGCTCTGGTTTGCCAGAAGCGGCTTAGTCATGCTGGCCACATAACCCAGAAGCTGTACACCGGCTCCCTTGGCCAATAAAGCGAGATGAGCGCCGCAACCCCAGAGTTGTCCGTGACTAGACCTAACAGTCAGGGGTCCCTTTACCTTTATGCTATAAACTAAGTCAATAAAAACATATTAAGAGTAAAATAATGTGTGGTCTATTATTATAAAGGCTTCACCCAGGCCCTGAAAGTGGACCACAGCTTGCTAGCCTAACTGGGCAATGGCAGGCAGGCTGCAGCACTAGCCCTGCCTCTGGGTCTGATTGGACTAAGCTGAACAGGCTTCACTCTGGTCAGCCCCATGGGTATTTAATCCTAGGGTCCAGTCCATCTCCTTGTCCAGTTTTGAAAAACTATTTGTATATACTTCAGCTGTTGTGTAATGATGCCTACCAATGTAACATAAAGTTGTAGTGATAACTTTATTTTACTTTACAAAGAAACACACCAAGTACAAGTTATAACCGATCAGTGGTCCAGTCCTCCAACAGGTCGCACATTGTTGGGAAGTCTGATGGCAGGAAGGAGTGTGCTGTGTATGTTACAGGGGGGCGGGCACTGATTCTTTCTTTTCTTTTATGAACAAGGGGCGGGAGGCCAAATAGGTTTGGGAACCTCTGGTCTAGAAAGTTCACATCTACTATATTCATTGACATTCCTGTGGGATACTGACAAAATTCTTCTCGAGTTCTGTGCTATTTAGGGGTTTGCGATACCAGTGAACACTATCAACCAAGTACTGTATACAGTGGTACCTTAGTTTGCATACGTCTTGCTTTGCATATGTTTTGGATTACAAACACGTCAAACCCGGAAGTGCGTGTCCCGGTTTGCAACCTTTTTTTTTTTTGGATTACAGCCCATTTTTTTGGATTACAAACAATTTTTTTTGGAGGCCCCATTGGCAAAAGTGCACCTTGAGTTACAACCTGTTTTGGTTTACAAACGGACCTCCGGAACGGATTATGGTTGTAAACCAAGGTGCTTTGTTTCTTTTAATAAGATTTGGCGTGGCTCAGTGAAACACATAGGAAGTCTTGCTTTGACATTTAACATATGTTTTGTCTAGGAGATGAAGAGGGGACCGCATCTGGAATGGAAGAAGCATAAGGTTGGTAAATGATCCTCACATTCATGTGTTCCAAAAGCCTAAAACATTATACACTAGACATGAACAGTCAATATTCATTTAGCTGGTTAGTTTGAATCAATATGGTAAATTTGGTCTTTTTTACCTCACCAAACATTCCCAGCAACTCAGCTCTTGTCCCTCTTGTTCCTAAGCCTCTATAAGGCGGCTCATTTCATTTTGCAGGGCACAGCCCTCCATCCCACCCACCCCCATCATAATCTTTAAGGCAGTGACCTGGGGCCCTTCAGATCTTATTGGACTTCAACTCCCACCAGTCCCAGCCAACATGGGCAATGACCAGGGATGATGAAAGCTCCAGATGCGTACAGTTATCCAATCATTTTTTTCTGCTGAGAGCTACAAGTGGATTTGTGTGTGTGTGTGTGTGTGTGTGTACACTCTTTTAATGTGTGCATCCTGCTATATTCCATGCACACTAGTGGGTAGGACAAAGCTCAGTGGATGGGGAAGCCTCCCATAAAAACCTTTCTGCTGCTCCCACCAGATATATGTTGTTGTTATTGTTGTTGTTATTTATTAATGAGGCATGGCAGTGCTATCTGGAGCAAATAACCCAATAATATAATGCTTCTAGTCAAGACATACCCACTTGGAATGTACAAACTGCAAAAGTGAACAGGGACTTTCATCCCAACAGCCAGAAAGCAGCCACTCTAAGGAGACAGGTGGAGGTGGGCAGATGAGGACCCTTTCCCCTCATCAACTGAGAAAGCTCAGTGTGTCAGAATTGGACAGTTCTTGTTTTGGATGTAGACCCATATAATCTTCTCCCCATCTTGAATTCTGCAGGACAGCCTGTGTGAAAAGGAAGAAATATAATTTCAAAGTAAGTTCATTTTCACTTCTCTTCAAATTCACTAACCTCAAACTTAGGCCTACCTCATTTTTTTTTGCAGAGGTTTATAAGGGCTGGTTCTGAACTCTGCCTTGGACTGAATTTTGGGTGAAATTTTGGGCTTCCACTTAGACAGATCCCCCAAATTTGGCAGAGAGGCTTGCTTCAAATTGGCACCATTATTTCACATGCTGAACAACTACCAACCTATAGGAAGTGAAGTTTTAGGCTATGCAGGTCTGACTTCAGTCGCTTCCAAACAAAATGTATATCGATCAATCGTCCACTATGGTTTCACCTCATTTTTCTTACTGGAAACATTGGGGGGAGCAGATTTGTTGTAAAAGAGCTGTTTATGGTTGCCAGAACAGTTTCCATTGGTTTAGGTGTACTGATGGATAGCAGTGTAAAAGGGACCAGCTAGAATTTGTTGAGATTTGCGATTCTGTTCTTTAATCAGCTCTTTTTGCCTTTTTTGTATTCTAGGTCTGTTCGGCACAGCTTTCCCTTTTCCTGACGAAACAGACAAAAGCTATTATGTCTTGGATTCCACACACTAGTACTGGCAGCATTTATTGTTTGCAAGAGATTAGTTCCAGAGTTACAGACATGAAATCCCTTTTCTTTCCTGTTGGTACTACAACAAATTCAATGTCTGGCAAGAGACAAAGGAACCCTCGATTTAGACCTGAGCAGTACCACAGTCTGCTCACCTCAAATCTGCTGTCCACAGCCCTGTCCTATTAGGCACATTTCCTAATAGGAATTCTCTTTATCTTACTATTCTCCGTGATTTAGGATGTCTGTCTGATTTTTATTTTCAGAAGATTGTAGGTGGAAAATGTATTATACGTGTTATAGATCAACGTCATCTGATTTATTTTCACATTTCCATGTTTGTATGTACAAGGGAGCAATACATAAAGAAGAAATAACTATGTAAGTGCTTCTTGTGTTAACATAGAGATTAAATATGGTTGTGCCTCAATTTTTTTCATTTGTATGTTTTGTATTGGATCCTATTGATTGGAAGAAGAAAACAGAAGACTTGGATCTGACAGCTGTCTACATATAGTTCCATTTGATTATTAAGTAAAGGGCCTTAGCTTAGTAGCAGAGCTCTGCTTTGCATGCAGAAGGTCTTGGGTATAATCCCTGGCGCCTCCAGCTAGGGCTGGGAGAAACTCCCGCCAGGTGCCCTGGAGAGTCGTTTTCAGTCAGTGTAGACAATATTGAGGTAGGTGGACCAATGGTCGGATTCCCTATAAGGCCAGCTCTCTCTGTGTGTCTGTGTATAATGTATGTATTTATCAGGTTCAATTCCTACCAGCTCCAGGATCTTGGGCTGTAGAACACCCCTCTCTGCCTGATGCCTTAAGATAGAGTAGATAAGATTAGTCTGCCAGCTGAAGTTAGCATCGTAGGTGAGTGTCCTCTTCCTGCATGTGGATGGCTCCGTTGCATCTGGAATATTGCTTTGTAAGCAATCTTTTGTAAGCATCCACTTTCTTTCTGCTCGTTGCAGAGCATAGGCTGTCTTGCATGCACTGGCTTTGTGGGGGAGATGATGGGTTAAATGGGAGGCCCCCATCTGTATACAGAGAATTGTAGCGGGTGACTTTAAACCAGAACATTTTCCTCCATAGCAGAGCATCTACCTGCTGTGCAGGGGAAAAGCCTCTCATTTCTGTGGCCTTGCAAAAAACAAAATATGGGTGTGCAGTGGAGTGGCTTCTCAGTGTGAACCTCGGGTCAGACTATTGAGCCATCTTGTTCAGTACTGTCCAGTCACAGGCAGTGGCTCTCCAGGGTTTCAGCAGATGTCTCTTTCAGCCCTGCCGAGAGATGCCAGAGACTGAACCTAGCAGCTTCCGCATGCAAAGTAGGTGCTGTAATCCTGAGGGCTGGCCCTTCCCCAAGTCAGTAGCCGGTCAGCACAGCCACCAGAGAATATCTACCACGGCCACCCACCACACAACCATTTATCCATGTGCATCCTGCTAATTCCATGATGTCATTAGGGTAGCTACTACGATAGCCGCTTGCACTATTCTTTTAAAAGCTGGATTGCTCTCCCGCCCGCTGTGCATCCCAGACAATCAGAAAGCAGCAGTTCTATAAAACATTTCATTTCCAAAGTAATTGTGATGATTGGCTGAGATCATACCTTATTTTCTCTACATTCACACAAGACTCTGAAGATTCAGTCATCTGGCTAGCATAGTGTCACCAGTTATTTCAAGAAGAGGAAGGGTAGTGTATTCCCTTTGGGAGATGACTACATTCCCTTTGAGTCAGGAATAGTGTGTGTGTGTGTGTGTGTGTGTGTGTGTGTGTGTGTGTGTAAATGTGCTTTGGGAAAAGCGAACACATAATGTTCACTTGCAAGGATTGTTTCCTGAATACGATACAAGCTGCACTGTCCCCAGTCAGTTTCCAGTGTGTCACATCCTTCTGAATTAGTCGGGGAGGGAGGAGGGTGGCGGTGGCAGAGGGAATGTCAGGAAACGACAAATTCCTGGTGTGATGCAAAGCAGTCCCAGGGGGGCAATAGGACTGTAGTAAGTATAAATTTGGCTTGTCCAGAAACAGCCTGAGAGTCATTCTTGGGAACACTGGATTGAACTGAAAACCATGGTAGGTGGGATTATTCCTTTGTCCTCAAAAACTCTGTAGCCGTTTATTTAGAAGAGCTTTGTCCTGGTTTCTGCTAGTTTATAAAATAATGGAGTTTACCAAAAAAGAGAGACCCTATTTCTTAACCCACTGATTTAAGCAGAAGGTAAAGTCAATGATTATAATCCTGCTTTACTTTCTGTCATTCTTATGGGTCACCACTTAATTGGCGAAACTTCCAACATGTGTGATATGCTACAAGCAGGTAGATGATACACGGTGCTTGTTTTGAAGAGTATTAAGGACAGGTTTTTATCACTTTGGAAGATACCTCCAGATGACACCTTGTGTTATTGCACAGCATTAAAAATGAATAATAATAATAATAATAAATTTTATTTATATCCCGCCCTCCCCAGCCGAAGCCGGGCTCAGGGCGGCTAACAACACTAAAATAGTGCAACATTATAAAACATCATAAGAATTAATTAAAATCAAAATTGATGGCAACCATAAACTAAAGTATTGTAAAGATTGCCAAAGGAGGGAGTCAGGCTGTGCCCTAACCAAAGGCCTGGTGGAACAGCTCTGTCTTGCAGGCCCTGCGGAAAGATGTCAAGTCCTGCAGGGCCCTTGTCTCTTGTGACAGAGCGTTCCACCAGGTTGGAGCCGCAGCCGAAAAAGCCCTGGCTCTAGTTGAGGCCAGCCTAACCTCTCTGTGGCCTGGGACCTTCAAGATGTTTTTATTTGAGGACCGAATCCATAAACAAACTAGATAAAGAAGCAAAAATGATTGTATGGTCCTCTTGCCCTTGGAAAAGTCATCCAGAAGGGGAAATGTTAATCCAGGGGGAATCAATTAATTACAATTTAAGAATTAGTAAATAAGTCCAGCAAATGAATATGGGATATTAGAGAATATGGGTTTGCTAGTAAGTGCCAGGAATCTTGCTTTGGAGTGGCTATGTTGTGGAAGTTTCACTCAGAGAAGTTTTTTATCTGGAGAATAGGTTGTGTATGTGAATTATCTGGGTGTCCTTCCTTTCTTTTCCCTGTGGGCTGTAGACACTTCTTGTGTGATAAGCCCCAGGGCCTCCTGCTCTCTATACCGGCATGCTACAATCTACTGCATGAGTACTTGTCAAACGTGACAGGGTGACATTAGATTAGGGCTGTGGCTGGTAGTGTGCATTTGATAAGACAAGCAATGAGGGCAGATAATTCTTTGGTGTGTGATACGAAGCACTGAAGGAGAGTGACAACCATGTTCTTTTCAAAAGAAATGATGACATTAATAAAGAAAAACATGCAGTTGTGCCCAGGCCTCCGACAGGCATAACGGGTTGTATCTAACTTTAATTATACACAGACAATTTTCAGAAGGGGTAGATGTGTGCTAAATCTGTTGCACCCAAGAACAACAAATAAAGGGATGAGGTGATCAGGCTCCAGCCTTGCTGGATCACATCAAGGCTTTTCTAGTCCAGCAATCTGTCTCCTACAGTAGCCAACTTGTGCCTATGGGAAGTCAACAAACGGGATGTGAGTGCCGTAGTGCTCTCTCACTGTTGTTCTCTAGCAAGTGGTATTCAGAGACATCCTTATCCTTACCTTTAGAGTCAAAGTCTGATAGGATCTGCTCAAAGGAACCACTGGTGCTTATAGGATCTCGCTATACAGTGGTACCTCGGGTTACAGATGCTTCAGGTTACAGACCTCGCTAACCCAGAAATAGTACCTCGGGTTAAGAACTTTGCTTCAGGATGAGAACAGAAATCGTGCGGCGGCAGCAGGAGGCCCCATTAGCTAAAGTGGTACCTCAGGTTAAGAACTGTTTCAGGTTAAGAACGGACCTCCAGAACGAATTAAGTTCTTAACCTGAGGTACCACTATACTAGGGGTGAAGGTGGTGTCAATGTCCCAGCTGCATCTGTAGGCCTGGCTGCCAGAGTGTGCTGTTACCTTTCTAAATGCGCTTCTCTCTCCCCTCCCCCCCCAGCTTCCCATCAAGGTTATGGAGGACAACTTCCCCCCTCACACTTTTGATCCTACACATCACTTCCATGTCGTACTGCTGGATCAGAGAAGCAGGCTTCGGGAGCACATCAGGAGTCTCCGCGAGATTTCACGGAGAATCAACAAACTGCACAGACGCTCTCTCATCGCCAATTTCACTGGGAGTTCGTTAAGTGCCGCAGGAGCCATCGTGGCCATCGTGGGGCTGTCCTTGAGCCCTGCAACATTAGGGGCATCCCTTCTGGCTTCCGGGGTGGGCCTAGGAGTGGCAGCTGCAGGAGGGGCCGTCACGGTGAGTTCCGACCTCTCCTTAGTCCTCTCTAATTCCAGGGAGGTGAGGAAGGTCAAGGAGATTGCAGTGAGCTGCCATGCTCAGATGAGAGAAATCATGCACTGCCTGGAATTCTTGCACCGCAGCCAGGGCCCGACGGATCCTAGGTTACTGCCGGCTGAGAGAAACGCCTCCGTCACACTGTACAACTCCATCTGCTTCATGGTGTTCTGCGGCTCCCACAGCTTCCTGGTCCCCGAGCACAACGAAGAGGTGACCAAAGTGAGTCAGGCTGTGCTCAAGGCAAAAGTCCAGAAGCTGGCAGAAAGCCTAGAAGCCTGTGCGAGGCCCATGGATGAGATCTGCGAACTTTTGGAGAACAGGAAAGAATCCCCCCTGAAGACAAGAAGAATAGCACTCTAGGAGGATGTCCAGGGTCAAAATCACCCACATCCTCTGAAAATGACGACGGGGGCCTAAAAGACCTAAAACACACTGTGTTATTCCTATTAGGATTGTGCCAAATCAGTGTTTTCTCCAGGCATTTCTCAATACTTGCAGCCAACACCCCTCAGGGGCTCGGTCTGTATTGCTCTCTTGTTATGTCTGTGCACAGCAAATAGAAATTGTAGCAACACAAGTGCTGGTCTATGCTATCAGCACATCCCAAGGTCTGGTGTCTGCATATGGCTGTCTCACAGCACATCATACCTTGCTTTTTTAGGGGGTTGGGGGAGACTTCCACATTTCTCATTTGGTGCTAAAACACTGAACTCAATGCAATTAATGCTTCTGCATGCATGTACTCCAGCATACTTTCCCCCATAGCTGCCAACTTTTCCCTTTTCTTGCGAGGAATCCTATTCGGAATAAGGGGATTTCCCTTAAAGAAAGGGAAACATTGACAGCTATGCTTTCTCCCCACCTACCCAGGGTAATCAGGAGAAGTAGGCGGGGACACTTGCCAAAGCTCTGATTAAATTTTTCTCCCACAGCGCTGAGCTAGGTGAAAACTGTGGTCGTGAGGGAACCAGAGCCAGCCTAGGAAGGAAATGGCTACAGATTCCAGAACTTGCAGTTTCCAAAGCTCTGCGAGGCAGATAATGAGGGAGTCAAAGGCCAGAGAGCCTGAATGAACCTGAATATTTTCCAGTGATGTTCTTAGTAGCGGATGGGAACTGCACTCGCAGTGCGGCAGGAGTTTAATGAGTTTGGCTTTGGTTTGTGGCTCAAACTTCATCCGCTCTTTATCATGCATTCTTCCAGTACAGGCAGGCAAATTAAGGCTCCACTAACTTCAGTCTTAGAATCATAGAGCGGGAAGGTGCCCAGAGGTCACCTGATCTGACACCCTGCAATGTAGGAATCGCAGCTAAAGAATCCCCATGATTCCTCTTGATTCCTGTGTGCTTATTCCTTCAAACCAGCCCTTGGGGGGGGGGTGCTGCCTGCCTGATTCCTTCTCCTCACTCTGGGTTTTGCCCTTGTAGAACTCAACAGGGAGGAGGACGGGGACAAAGGTAGAATCAGTGCCTCCACCTGCTATTGGCTGTGGCTCAAAGATGGTTGGCCTCCCTGCCTTCTGCCCTATGAACCTAGTAGGCAACAGCTGCCACTCCTAGCTTTAACTATCACCTATCTAAAGTTGGTGGTCTCCCCTCCCACACCACATGCTCAGGGACATGGTGTATTGGTGTATTTTTGTATTTATTTGTTTTGGGTAATTTAAATGTGGATTTGAAGTTTCTATTTAAAGAAATAATAATACAGCCACTCCAAGATGGAAGAGCTCATTCTACAGAGCCAAAGTTTGTTATATCTGAGGCACGGAAATATCCTTGTTTGATGTCCCCTTCCCCTTGTCCGTTCCCCACAGACCCCACCATCAAATGACCTGGGAAAGAAGAGCAGATGGGACTAGCAATTCACGTGTGAATTTTTTTAAAAAGCCACTTCTCCCTTTTTTAAGATTTGAAAAGTGGAGAACTGAACTTACAATTAGAAAAATGAGCAAACAAGGGAAACCAAAGCTGACAGACACATTTCCACATGCCTACTCTAAGACAGAGCTTACGGTATGTTATGCAAATGTCTGTAAATATATGCTGATATGAGGGTGACTTGAGAAATCAGTTTTGTGTCTTCAAAACACTGCTGATGAGCAAGAACTAAGCAGAAGAATTAGGTAGAATATAGGACAGCTGTTCTTGTTGGCATCAATTTGTCTAGAGAGACAATGGAATAGTGCACCATCGGGGGTACAGTCAAACCATTGGAGAGTTACAGCGCCTGCTGTGGCTGTAGAGACCAATATGGGAGAGACATGTTTTATTGCAGCTGGGGCAGATGAAAGCATTTGGTTGTGCTGTTACAGGTACATTATGGTGTTTCCTCTCTCTGCCTTCCTCCCAGCAGTCATTTCTCCCCTGGTCACTTCTCCTCTGTGGGATGGTATCCCTGGGAAAACAGCAATGAAAAGTTGGAAGAGAGAAGAGGTAGAACTGGGCAGTGGGTATGTTGCTTATGAGGGCAAAACAACTTTACATGAGTAGTGGGGAGGACACTGCATAATGGTACGGGTGGCCTGTGAAGATAAGGAGATGGTTTGAAAGATGTGTTTAAGCTCAGACGCAGGTTTACTAACTTGGTGAGAACTAGGCCATAGTACACGCAGTGATGCTATACTTCAAAGACCTGTTTGATGCTCTTTATTTCCTCGCTTGTGGCTCGGGTGAAAGGAGACACATTATAATCTTAAAGTGTGGAATGGTGGGCAAGAGACAAGATTTAAATGCACTGGATCCTAGGGAGTTTGGGTACGGGGTGAGCTTCCTCTAAACTGATCCTTGACTTTCTGGTCTTTGGGGAAAAGGACAAGAGAAGTGGCCAAAAGGATCTGCTTGCTATTTTGGGTATTTGTAAAACCAAGGAACAACTTGCACAGATAACTAACTCTGATCCAATACAAAATACAAATTAAATGAATGAGCACAAAGTAACCTTGTGTCTGCGTCTATTTGTATATATTGTTTACTCACAAAACTGCTTATTCAAGCAATGGGAATGCCACAGCAACCTTAGTGGAGGCAGGCTGCTTTGAATATAGTTAATGGAGAGTTAAAGTGCATTGGTAATAATGCATTTATTTTCAAACATGCAGGTTGTGTAGGTATTAAGGGCTGCAAAAATAAGCACACTGGCCGTCTCCATAAATCACAGCAGAATCAATCTGTTTCTTTACAAGTTCTTCTCATGAGGGAGCTTTGGGCTTCTGGACTCGCCAATGCTATCTGCCACACAGAGTGCTTGTTTAGATTTCCTGCCTATTGCCTATTGTTATATAAGGACAGGATGTAGCATAGTTGGGCTCCAGTAACTGAGGGCTCAGGGACGTCATCATTTCCACAGTGCTCACGCACGCAGCCAGGAGTTTTTGCAATCATGCCTCTTGGGTATCGGAGATCCTTCAGTATCCAGAATGCGTCCCCGGGGATACTTTGCTGTGACTTTCTGAAAATCACTGTCAATCAACTGCTAGGTTTAGGTTTGGCAAATAGTCCACATCCAAGGAAGAACTGCTTCTGATTTTATGTGGTATTATTAATCATAAGGATTTATACCAGACCTTCGACAAGTTTCCTTTTGCAAGATTTGCAGGCAAATCTCTTAGACTCATTTATTGAATCTAATATCAAAGGGCCGGTGCTGGGTAAGATGTTGCTGTGTGAGTCTGTGAAGAACCCTCTACTTTCATACAATTTGTGACTTTTAGTCCCCTCCCTGCTATCCTGTTAAAACACGTGTACAAGTGAGGATCGCTGCCACATTTTAAAAAAGACACTTGGGAGGTGCACTTATGAGCATGCACAAAGGGAATGCTTCCTCGTCAATCCAGAAACCATCAAACTGAGCTATGTGATTTAGTGTCCTTTGCTAGCCTGACCCAGCAGTGGCTAGAGGACTAAGAGTATACCTTGGAGGACTGGGTTCAAAGGGCCACTTACCCACAAAACGTTGTTGCATGACTTTGAGCCAGTCACCCTTCCTCAGCTTAGCCAACAGGGTTGCTATGAGGCCTCTGTTGTGCTGCCCTCTTTTTGTGCAACTTAAGAAAATAATAAAAAAGTATTTAAAAAACAAACAAATGCAAGCCAATTAAATACAGCATCAGCTTCAGAAGAAGATGTAACTAAAAACTTCATTTAAAAAAATGCTTTCAACAGCTTTGTTGTTTCTATGATAATAAACGATAGGGAACTATACAGTGGTACCTTGGGTTAAGAACTTAATTCGTTCTGCAGGTCCGTTCTTAACCTGAAACTGTTCTTAACCTGAAGTACCACATTAGCTAATGGGGCGTCCTGCTGCCACCGCACCGCTGGAGCACAATTTCTGTTCTCATCCTGAAGCAAAGTTCTTAACCCAAGGTACTATTTCTGGGTTAGCGGAGTCTGTAACCTGAAGCGTCTGTAACCCGAGGTACCACTACTGTAGTTGCTTTTTGACTCCCCCCATCATGGTGCCCCAATGGACCATTACAGATCCCAACACATCAAAACTAGTTTATGTTTTATGTTTATGTTTGGTTGTAAGTTGCTTTGGATTTTCCTAAAAAAGATAAAGTAACTAACAAGTTCAACAAACAGACAAACTTAAATTGTGAATCACTTAGAGGTTCTATCAAGCCGGATATATATGTTGAATAAATTTTGTTAAATAAATATATGGATTTTATTTCCCTTCCCCCAACCCCTTCGGGATCTCCTAACATTTATTTATTACACGACAAAAGTGCTCCCTTTTCTTTCCGAACTCGTCATCCCTGCAGCTATTTTCCTCTTGTTAGTTCCCGACCTCGCTTGCCCTCCAGAGGTGAACTGCAAGTCCCAGAACCCTCCGCGCGGACAGCAGCCCTCGCGGCTTTTTGGACTATAGAGATAATAGAATGAAGAGTACCACATCTCTCATTATCTATGTACTGTATATAAACTTTTGAGCGTTACATTGGAATCCATTTTTAAATCTCACCAGGGGAGGAAGGCAGTGCTGTCTATAAAAAATAATGAGAAAGCCGGGATTTTTACTTGGCTGTGACTAGGCATCAACGCGCCCACATCCGAACCAAAAGTAGTAAAAAGGAGCTCGTGGCTTTTCTAACGTAGTTCTTGCGTCAGAGTGCTTACTTATTTTATAAAAAAAAGTTTTATAAATTTGCTTAGCTAATGCCAATTCTCCGATATGACCCCCATATTGCAGTTTGTGGGGAACGTGGCTGACAACCCTGCAGTGCAGTCCACTATTAAAATTGCAGTTCACGTACCAGGCTGAAAGTGCGTTTGAATCCCTGGCTAAACATTCCGCATAGAAAATGCACTTTTAAGCTACAGCAAAGGTCAGTTTTGCTTGCACAGCGCTTCAGCCAGCCAGTGTCCTTCCTCCCGGCATGTCACATGGATGGAAGCGCCGTGCATCCTTGACTTGCACGTGGACGACCTGCGCTTTTATTTACTTCTTTTTAATTCCATCGACACCCTTTTCTCCCGAGAAGCTCGAGGAGGGGTAATGGGGTATGCGTGGCTCGTCCCAGCTCCATAGTACACTCATGATGACGACAGCCCTGCGAGATGGGTTGACTTACCCAAGATCATTCTGCAAACTTCGTGGCCGAGTAGGGATTCGAACTCAGATCTCCTCCTATGTGCTGATCCTACACTCTCACCACTACACCAGAGACGTGTTGTTTTTGTTTTGTTTTTAAGTGCTTCCAAACAATTACATTCGCCGCATGAAATAACACCCGAGGTATAAGGCGCAGGCTTCTTTCCCCGTTAAGCGCCTCCAAATTCCGGCACAATTTTCTCCATTGAAGTGGAAGACGGCTACACTGCAACCGGAAGTTGGCGTCGCGTGTAACTCTACTCTTTTCCTATCTCTGCGGCTCAGAGGCTCGTTCCGAACGCGCTTGGACTACGAGTCCCAGGGTACCTCGCGGCAACCCGGAAAACGAAGTGGGTACCGAACGTGGCGGCCGGCATGGAGGGCGAGGGAGCCGTCGAGGAGACCGCGAAGACCTTCCAAGAACTGGTGAGCGGGGAAGACTCGTTGTCTCTCTTAGCTCCCGACGACCCTTTACTTGCCCAGCGGTTTGCCTTTTGAATTTTATTTTAAAACCAAGTCCAGCCATTGCACCGGAGTAGACGAAGCTGCCCCTCCGCCCCGCTCTGCTAAGTTCTGCGGAGGAGCTGCTATGATGGGGGCAGCATTTCTGGAAGCAGCCAGGCAATCGCAGTGCTCAAGGCTGGGGTCGCTCAGCTAGGTAGTGCTGTACAGCGTGGCAGTCATTTCCCACTAGTCGCTTATACAAGCTTTCTTTCTCCACTGAGAAAATGCCCCGTTGAAACCATGGGAAAGCGCCTGTGCAGAGAAAGCTAGAGGGGTTATGTTATACTTTGGTTGGTGGTGAGGGTGTTTATGGCCTGGTTGGCCCAGCTCTCAGAATTGCTTAGCGGGTTTGCATATTGCTTTGAAACCGACAATGTCCTAAGGCACTGCAGTGGACAAAACGAAAGGAGAAAGATAAATGTGGTTTCCTGTGTAAAGGGATATTTTGCTACGTGATTGTGTGCTGCCGTCCTGTTAAGAAACTAAAATACGATTTCTCAGTTTTACCATGACTCAACAGAACCGGGTAAGGTCAGGTGTTTGGAGCAGGTGGTGCTGTGGTCTACTCTAAACCACTGAGCATCTTGGGCTTGCTGATCAGAAGGTCAGCGGTTCAAATCCGTGCAACAGGGTGAGCTCCCATTGCTCTGTCCTAGCTTCTGCCAACCTAGCAGTTTGAAAGCATGCCAGTGCAAGTAGATAAATAGGTACCGCTGTGACGGGAAGGTAAACAGCATTTCCTTGCACTCTGGTTGCCATCACAGTGTTCCGTTGCACCAGAAGCAGTTTAGTCATGCTGGCCACATGACCCGGAAAGCTGTCTGTGGACAAACACCAGCTCCCTCGGCCTGAAGCGAGATCAGCGCCACACCCCATAGTCACCTTTGACTGGACTAACCATCCAGGGGTCCTTTAACCTTTTACCTTTTGGGTGAGGAGAAGCTTGGCCTATCCACAGCATCTGTGTCCCTTTCCTTATTTTGCTTGTTTTTATTTTTTTTAAAGGGTCCCATGTTTTCAAGTTATCAAAGTTTTGAGATGAAAATAGACTTGTAACTAATCAAAAAGACCATGGTCAGATTCACATTTAACAACCAAACCACGGCTTAGCCCAAACATGCAGTCTCCCTGGGAGGAGATCGCAGGCAAACCTTTGCTTAGGTGTCATGCTGCAGTATGCTGAAAGGACAGGAGAGGATAGGTTGGTTTATCGAGTTGTGTGAACCAGGACTTGCTGGATTCTGAAGATTGGGGTCCCTTGCTAATTATGGTTTCTTTTCTCTTTGGAATAATAGGGAGTGACCGATGTGCTGTGTGAAGTCTGTGATCAGTTGGGATGGAAGACACCGACAAAGATCCAAGTCGAGGCCGTTCCAGTTGCACTCCAAGGTGAGACTGGGAAAAAGAAAAATCTCTCTCTAGAAATAAGAAGAGGCTCTCCTGTGTTTCTTGTGTTATAGAACTGGTATTGCCAGTCATTTGTATTACACAGACTTGGATCCATGTGGAGTTCCTCTCAGCTTGGTCTATGAAGCAATACAGCTTCCTGGTCTGTCCTGCGGCAGAAGTGTAAATCTCCCCAACTCCACAAATCTTCTGGCAGGGGAGCTGTACCATTTGTAGGGAAGCCCCATCAGCAAGAAGTCAAGTGGGACCTGGGCTTTTTTAAGCAGTGAGACAGCCAAGTTCGTTCAAACCAAAAGAGACTGAGAGGAGATATGATAGGCAACTTCCAATATCCAAAGGGCTGCCACATGCAAGATGGAGCAAGCTTTTTTCTCCTGCTCCGGAGGGGAGGAGCTGAAGCAATGGATTCAAGTTATAAGAGTGGAGATTGCGGCTAAACATCAGGAATAACTTTCTGACAGTAAGAGCTGTTGAGCTCCCACGAGGCATGGTTGGCTGTTCTTCCTTAGAGGTTTTTAAGCAGAGGTTGGGTGGCCATTTGTCATGGAAGCTTTAGTTGAGATTCCTGCATTGCAGGGCGTTGGACTCAATAACCCTCAGGGCCCCTTCCAACTCTACAATTCTATGACTGAATTATTATTATTATTATTATTATTATTATTATTATTATTATTATTTGTACCCCACCCATCTGACTTGGTTGAAAATGCTTTAATATTACTTTTCTCGGTGGTGTATTCAAATATGTTATTTGTCAGGAGAGACTTCCATTTTCATTAACTGCCCTCCAAAATGTTACCTGTACAATAAGACAATTAAACAGAGAAGGGAAATGTCTATTGAAACTCTTCATGGAGTGTTTAGTAGTGCAGATATCCACTGCTGCTATCCTTCCAGTGCCAGCTTCTTTTCCTTCCCTTGGTAAGAGCCAAGGTTGAGGAGCTGTTAGAACAGGGGTCTTGTACAAACCTTCCATGGCCTGTACTCTGTATCTTCAAATAATACGCTTATTACATTGGTTGATGTTTCTTAAGTTATGTTCGCCGATTTCAAGCTGTCACTAGTGCAAAGATTTCTGTTCTAGTGCTGCTCTTGTTACTTTCCAGAACTGCTTTTGAATTTCCTCCATCTGTGCTCCATCTGTATTCCTTCAGCCCTGCATGTGACACACCTCTTTTCTTGTAGGCCGTGACATCATTGGCTTAGCAGAGACTGGATCTGGGAAAACGGGGGCTTTTGCATTGCCCATCCTTCAGGCACTGCTAGAGACACCTCAGCGCTTCTTTGCTTTGGTCCTTACCCCGACCCGGGAGTTAGCCTTTCAGATCTCGGAGCAGTTTGAGGCCCTCGGATCTTCCATTGGTGTCCAGAGTGGTGAGTGGCCTTGCTGCAGTGCTAAGAATTAGCAGAAAACAAAATGGAATTTGTAAGGAGAAGAAGCAGTCGCATGCTTTTCAAAATAAGAATAGTAAAATACCAGATTCAAGAAATGGGACTATATCCCACTTCAAAGTGTGAATCTTAGTATGCCTCTAGTAGAGGTGGATGGAGCAGCCTATTTTCATTCCTCGTCAGTTTCGCATGCATTCAATCCATAAATTTGTTCTTTCCTGTTTTTAAAAGCGATACAAAAATACTTTCGTTTGTGTGTGCTCTTCCCCCAAATACACATATTTCAAGCATGTCCCCCCAAACACTCATTTGTGTATTTTTTTTCTTTTGCATTTCTTTTTACATATTTTTGAAGCCAAAACTGCTTTGTAAAATTTGGGGAAGTTCGCAACCTCGTTGTTAATTGTGTTCTGGTCTGCATATCAATGAAGGAACTGCAATTAGGTGGGTTTGTGCTAAAACACACCCATCTTATGATCGAAAAGTTAACACTGGAAGTTTCTGGCAGTTTCTCTTAAAAACAAAGAGGCAACAGAGAGAGATTTAATTAGGTGGGTCTTATTTCACTCTCACCGTTAATATTTCTCCATGTGTATCCCCCCCCCAAAAAAAATTGTGTAAGCCATACAAATGAAGAGTGCTTGGTTTGCACAATTTATTCCAGTTTCATAATCTAATTGCCTTTTAAGCATCAAACTTGTTTGCTTTGGATTCATTATTTACCTCTTGCAGGTCCCCCCCCCCGAATATGTAGCAGTTGATTGTTTTGGTTGGAGCTGCTTACACTAGTCCAGGGGTCTGCAACCTTTAAGACAAAAAGAGCCACTTGGACCCGTTTCTGAAGAAAAAAAAACTGGGAGCCACAAAACTCGTCATTATAAAAATAACTTTTTTATCACTTTTTATTATTTCTTTGTTTGACCCCTCAGAATTATTCCTCCTCATAGAAATAAACGTTAAATTAACAAGTTACCTTTTTGTGTGTGTGTGTTCTTCACTCCCCTTCAAAACAGTGACCAGCGTACATGCCCCTTACAATGTAGCGGGGGGGCGGGCGGGAAGGTGACATCGGGACGGTGCGTGACTAACGCATGCACCACCCCCATGCGACGTCACCGCCAGTACAGCGCCCGCCACAGTGGGGAGTGTCGGGGCGCACAATGCGCCTCCTCCCCTCGCTAGTATCCACCCCGGAGCCGCGGCAAAGGTGTAAAAGAGCCACATGCGGCTCCGGAGCCGCGGGTTGCAGACCCCTGCACTAGTCCCTATGAAATAGAATGGAAGCTTGGCTAAGACTTGCTTCCTGAAGCTAATGCAGGGTTCTTTTTTATAATATGTATTTGTCGGTGTTGGGGTGTCTTGTTTGAAGAATGCCTCGTAGCATCTAAACGTAGTAATCCAGTTCCAATACTAGGCCGTGCCTATTAGCAAGCTCTGCAATGGATAAGGGGCCTGAATTTTGCCTTTTATTTTCTTGTAAAGGAGGTGATGGGGAGGGCGGTTGTGAACTGGCTCAGTTTCAATGGGCTTCATTTAACTTGTCTTTTATTTCTCCCCTCAAAGCTGTTATTGTGGGAGGAATTGACATGATGGCGCAGTCTCTGGCCCTAGCCAAGAAACCACATGTAATAATTGGTAAGAAACAGGCAGCATCAATGATTCAAATGATTGTAATGAGATCTTAATAATTCATATGAATGAGGCCTATTGCACATCTGTGTCTTTTACATCTGCATAAATGAGGTCATGAAAAGCAGTAGGCCAGCAAACATCCTTTATTCACACTTCTGATACCTTCCCAGTTTAATGCTAAGCATCAGCCACAGGTCTTGTACTTTAATTTGAAACAGGAGCAGACATGGGAATTCTCCCCACCTCCCCCAACTTCATCCTAGGGTCCACATGGCTCAGGCAGAGCATTTGCCTTTGAGCCACAAGTTTGCTCATTTATCATTTCTGATAAATTAATGTTTCTCTCATAAGTGTTAACTGATGCGTGCTGCTTGACTGGAAGGGCTGGAGTATTTGTCATCTGGCTTGAGAGTGAAAAACTGTATTAGGTTGACCAGACTTGACTGCAACCTCCATGGAGCAAATCTCTCAAAATAACTTCCTGATTTACGTCAAGCCTCCTCCACACACACACACCCCACTGGGATACAACTAGCCAATGCCGTATTAAACCTGCATAAAGTTCTGACTTAATCTATACTCCAGTGGCTGTGCTTACAAAAGCTTTTGGCAGAAGGAAGTCATGGGACTCTGAGATTTGGCAAACTGGAGTGAATGGGGGATACATGGCAATAGTGCTTTGTGTTTAGTGTTTCTTTTTGAATGCTCTGTTTGGTAAAGTTGAAAGTTTGTTTGGTTTTCTCCTGTAGCTACACCTGGCCGCCTTATTGACCACCTTGAGAACACAAAGGGCTTCAATTTGAGAGCTCTGAAGTATTTAGTTATGGATGAAGCTGACCGGATCCTCAACATGGACTTTGAGACAGAGGTGAGCACTGTCAACTCTTGTCGCCTTAGAATGGTCCTTTGCAACATCATGGAGATGGTGCTTTTCAAAACCGTTTAACGTGTACTTTAATCACCATCATCATCACACACAAGGTGGCTTACATGACAAGAATTAAAAACATAACATTCATTAACCAATAAATAAAATACGTAAAAAGTACACAACCAAATTGGAACAGTGTCCACATAATCATAATAAGATTGAAAAATAAAGATACAAAATTTAATGTCAGTAACAGCAACAAAACCCAACCAAGCACCCAAAACAATACCACAGCCCAAGGGTCTGTTCAGCAGCTTTTGCAGCTGCAGTCAGTCCTGGCCCCGCCCTCTCAGGCAAGGTGGAAGAACGTCAAGGCAGGGAGCAGGTCTTCCTGAGTTCACAGCCAAGATGGGCTGCAGGTCAATAGGACTTGCCTCTGTTTGATTCCCTAATATGGAACACACAGCCTCTGTTGTCTTCACCACTTAGCAGCTGACAGTATGGTGTCATGCTTCCTGTGTTTCCCTCTCCAGTGGATCCTTGTTGACTGTTGGGATCTGAAACATTTTCAGATACAGTGGACCCTCTAGTTACGTACTGCTCTGGATATGTAACTTTCAGGTTATGAACGCAGCAAACCCGGAAGTGTATATTTCCAAGTTTTGTCTTGCATGCATGCGCAGAAGCGCTTAATCGCGCCGTGCGTAGAAGCGGCGCCTCTGCCTATGGATTTTCAGGTTGCGGATGAATTTAATTCGTATCTGGAGGGTCCACTGTACTAGGTTTTAAGATGTAGCAAGGCATTTGGATACTAGACTTGTAGTCTTGTTATCAACTATTGCTCAGGTTGCTGTCCGGAGAGTCTTCCCTTCCCGGTTCAAGTGTAGTAATCTGCAGTTGTAGCCCGAGTAGCAAGACCTTATCTGAAGGCATTGGGATGCTTTCTCCCCCATGTTGCCTCTGTCCTCCTCGACCCTAACAGCACCACTCCCTCCTTTCTGTGGAGCAGCAGAATGCCTTGTTTTTCAAAGGAGGCGCTTCCAGTGTTGCTTTCATCAGACTGGATTGTGATACCACTCCCACAGTGATGCAGTATTCGTCTGCATGCACAATAATTCCCTTTCTAGTTGTTTCACTGTCACTTGCCTTCTCTTTTCACAGGTAGACAAGATCCTGAAAGTCATTCCCAGAGACAGGAAAACATTTCTCTTTTCTGCTACCATGACTAAAAAGGTAAGGGAAGGTGTGGCATTTTGCATGAGTTCAGCTAAGGTGGAGGTAGAAATTATTATTATTTTTATAAAGATATTTATTGGCATTTTCACAAATTTTATAAAACATAAAAATCACAAAAACACAAAAAAGCAAAACAAAAATACATACAAAAAAAGCAAAAAACCACATGTATAACTTCATTCCCTTATGTTCATGAAACTTACTTTCCCGACCTCCTCATACCTCTCCTTACTGTATTCCATTCTCTAATTAAGTCTCTTCAACAAATCCTTCCCTTAGTTTCTGTTAGATTTTTAAGCTTACTTTTCATATTCACATAAAGATTACAGCTAGCAACCCCTTAATTTCAAAATCAACATCGTCTTAACATTCAACAATTTTACAATATTTCTTAAGATAGTCTTTAAATTTCTTCCAATCTTCTTCCGCCGTCTCTTTCCCCTGGTCTCGGATTCTGCCGGTCATTTCTGCCAGTCCCATATAGTCTATAACTTTCATCTGCCATTCTTCCACGGTGGGTAGTTCTTCTGTCTTCCGGTGGAGGTAGAAATTAACAGGTCATACCAGCTAAATTTGTGTCTGAAAACATTAATTATTTCTGTTCAGGTGCAAAAACTCCAGCGTGCAGCCCTTAAGGACCCTGTCAAATGTGCTGTTTCAACTAAGTACCAGACAGTTGAAAAACTGCAGCAATACTATGTCTTCATCCCTTCCAAGTTCAAGGTAACATTTATTTTTTTCAGCTATTTTATTTCCTTTAACTTATTTCCTGACTGTTGTTTCTTACTCCACTAGGATTTTCTCTGTCCCTTTGTGCGTTTTGAATGTGTTTTCCTTTCACCTAATCTCCATTAGTTTCCTTTCTGATTTCAATTTCTTTCCCCCCTCTTTTTAGGACAGCTACCTGGTCTATATTCTGAATGAACTTGCTGGAAACTCATTCATGATATTCTGCAGCACCTGCAACAACACTCAGAGGACAGCCCTCCTCCTTAGAAATCTGGGCTTCACTGCCATCCCCCTCCACGGTCAGATGAGCCAGGTACAGGCTGACCTGAATGCAAAGTATTCATTTCTCGAATACCACACTGAAATAATGAACATATTTTAAGGGCAAATATGATTTGTATGTGTCACCAAGCTTGCTTTCCCTTTTGTTAGCTTATCTTTTACAGACTTTCATTTCTGTAGAAGAACAGACTGTAACGGCGGAACGATTCACAAAACCTGACTCATTTCGCTTTTCCACGCTGGAAAAATCTAAAGCATGTTCACTTGCCCTTTCTCTCTCTCACTCCCCCCAGAATAAGCGATTAGGGTCGCTGAACAAGTTCAAGGCTAAAACACGTTCCATTCTGCTGGCTACCGATGTTGCCAGCAGAGGCCTGGACATCCCCCATGTGGATGTTGTCGTGAACTTTGACATTCCTACCCATTCCAAGGTGAGTTACGAAGGCAGGGTGCTGGGTTACAATTGTGCAGCCCCTAGTTTGAGATGTCCTAGTGGAGTTTTCAGAAAGAGATGGCCCTCTTCTTCCATAGTTGCAACATAGGATTCCATAGCGATGGAATAGCTAAACCCCCACCTCCACATGAGCCCTCAAAAAGCTGAGCATTGAAAGGATGGGGAACCATTAATACACCAATAAGATAATGGGGGGTTAGATGGGTCTTTAGATCAGAGAGCTGGCAAATGTCCTGCTCTGGATGTGACTACACTCCTTGGAAGGCTCGGACTTGCAACTTGAGGGTGTTCTGGCATAGGTCTTTGCTGCTTGGTTCTTGGATGCACCAAGTTTTGCTTGGTGCCTTGCCCCAGTTGTAGAACTGCCTGCCCAGGAAGCTTTGCTTGTCTCCATTCTTTACTGGCCTTCAGAAAGCAAGAGAAGATGACTCTTATTTAAAGCGACCCGTTCAGAGCTTTAATCTGAATTGTTCATTTTAATCCAGAGAATTGCTGGGTTTCATATTTGTCTTCTGTGATGCTTTATGAATGCGGGTTTACAAACTGTTTCATGGATGTTGCCTATGGTTGCTGTATTTTGTTTATTAAACTGCCTGTGAAGCCTTTCTACGGAGTGCTATAGAATCTAAAAATAAAAAATATTATTGTGAAGATACAATGCCTGCAACTGGATGAGGAGGTGGATGGCTACAGCCACACGGTCAAGCCCATCTTTTTCACCTCCTTAGACACTCTTGAAACATACTGAATACATGTCCAAAAGGAGCTGCGTCTAATGAGCATAACTTGCATAACTGCTTCAGATTACACTTTCTTATAAATGGTGTTTTGCCTTGCTTTGCCTTGTGTTCTGTGGCTTATTCTGGATCCCTTTCAGGATTACATTCATCGTGTGGGGAGAACAGCTCGCGCTGGGCGCTCTGGAAAATCCATCACGTTTGTCACACAGTAAGTCGTGCCCTCTGCTCCTTCCGCTGGGCCGCAACCTTTACTCCTCTCCTCTCCTCTGAATGAGTGGGGAAGCAGCTTTCTGAAGTGGAAATGCAACTGAGTTGGGGGAAGAGGCTTTTTTTAAGGAGGTGGGCTCTTAACTAGTTTATGGGCCACTGGTTAAGAAGAACCATTCGGATGAGAGAGTTTTGTCTCACTTCCCCCAGGTACGATGTGGAGCTCTTCCAGCGCATCGAGCACCTGATAGGAAAGAAGCTGCCTGCCTTCCCCACGCAAGAGGAGGAGGTCATGATGCTGACCGAACGTGTGGCTGAAGCACAGCGATTTGCTCGGATGGTAGGCTGAACTTAAGGCTATGTTTGCGCTTCTGCAGACCCGTGTGGGTCCGTTTCTCTGTGGACATGCACGTGCAACAAATCATTGGGGTTCTATTGTGCAGAGGTGTGGCTGAAACATTAGGATTTGTACTGCATTGAGAGTAGTGTTAGCTAATTCTACACAAGGCCATTCCTGGTTATAAGGGGCGCTGTGTTCCCTCATGCATCCTTGCAAGCTGGGTCTCGGCTCTATTTGTTTGTGCAGTGTTTACCGGCCACCCTGCATGGTGACTGAAGGTATTATGCTTTCAGCTCTTGAGCTTCTTGATTGCTTCTGTGCCTCCATGCTTTGAATGCTCAAGCAACTTGCTGTCTGGCTTTCCTTGCAGGAGTTGCGGCAGCAGGGGGAAAAGAAGAAGCGTTCCCGAGAAGAGGAAAAGGAAGAGGATGACACCGAGGGAGCAATGGGGGTCAGGAACAAAGTGGCTGGTGGGAAAAGGAAGAAATGGAAAGCCTGAGAACGGAAGACACCCAGAACTATTTTTCCACGTTTTTAAGCTGCTTGGCTTTCTGAGTCACCAGTATCGGACTTGACCTTTCAGCATATCCCAGAGAGCAAAAGGTTTCCTGATCCACTAGCACCTTTTGTAAACTTCTGTAATCCAGAAGCAATTCTCCTGCAAGCCTGGGAAACCTCTTTTAATGCTATGGGGAGGCCTGTTACTTCTGCTGCCAGCAGTTGTTCCTTTCTACCAGCAGGCCACAGTGGATTCCCTAAGCTACATGAAATGGATATATGGCAGAACCTTTTCAAGCTGCTACTATCAAAGTCAATGGAGAGACATTTGCACCCCTAGTTTTATAAGAAAATTATAAAATAAAAACAAAGTAATAAAAAGTGCATGCTGTGCTGGTTCCAAGACGTGCAGGCAAAGAAGCTTGCATCTTAAAGTTACTTATGTAATCACAGCTTTGTGCAGGTGTTTGTGGGCAAATAAATAAGTGAGAGCAGCAGAAACCTGCTCTCCATTTATTTATTTCCCACCCACATGCACAAAGTGGACTTACTCGGCTTAGGGAAGGCAGTGCTAGGGCTCTGGCAGCATCCCAGAGTCCCTGTGTTACTTTCTCAAAGCTGGGTAAGTGAGGTGCTAGGCTTTGGGAAGAAGGCACAAGAGCTCTGGCTGGGTCCTAGAGCCCTTGAGTCTCCTTTCCCAAGCTGGCCAAACACTTGCAAGACTTAGAGGAGGAGGAGGGAGGGCTCTAGGACCCTGCCAGAGCCTCACACTGCCTTCTCAAATTTGGGTAAGCGGCTTTACACCTTGTGGGGTGGGGCAGTTCCAGGGGTTCCTGTTATATTTGCATATACACGCAGACCCCCAGAACCAAAGATGCAAGTTACCTGTATTTGTGATAGCATCTGTCAGTTGTGAATGCATTTATGTCCAATGCTGCCTAGTAACCCAGACCAGTGTTATGTAGAAAAGACTGATCCCCCAAATAGGGGAAAGTCTGGCAGATGGTTGGCTGTTTGCCTGTGAGTCCAGAATGCTGTTGAAGTGGGTTTTTCTTTCCTCATTATCTCAGCCCTGAGGCCATTCTGCCTGAACGCTAAAGCTGAGAGGCAGTGTTGATTTAGTCGAGGTATTTGGCAAGGTAGATTGTCTTGCTGAGATCCTGCCTGTCTGCAGTGTGAGGTTGGTGGAATGAGAGAGCTTTAATTAAAGTCCTTCCATCCTCTTGCCCTTTAGCTGTCTCTCTTTCATTGTGGCTCTTTCACAGTCTGTGAACGTTAAAGGTGACATTGCTCAAGCAGATCCGTCCAGTCAGGGGACTGGTTGATTATCTGGTGCTTCTAAGTTGTTTCTATTTTGAACACACCCTGTTTTTAGAATAGAGCTGTGAGCAGTAGTAGGACTCTGTTCTACTTGCTACTTACCAGGCATCTTTGATTTTCAGTCATGCATTCTGACAGCCCTAACCTGAAGAGACCAGTTTTTGTCTTTGGTACATGTGCAATGCCTGTTTGTCATCATGGGTGGAAATGTGAGTGTGCAGGGTGGGGTGGGGGGACTCATATATAGCAAGGATCTTTGTTTGTGTGTGTGTGTTTGTGAACACCTGTGCAGCAGCCCAGTAGAAAACACTTCTCTCTAGGAATGGATGACAGCTCTTCTCTGTAGGAGAAAAGAAAGTCAAGCACCTAAGAGGCAGAACTTGCCTTGCAGGGTTAAACCTGCCTCCTCCTTTTGCTGACCTCAGTAGCAGGAATGAGAAGCAGGCTTTGCCTCTTCGCAGTTGTATCCTAAAATTGCAGTCTGTTGCAGAGAGCCTGCCCCAACCGCGTTCCTATAGGTTTTGTAGGAGCAAGTCAGCTATCTGCATGATCTGTTGCAGCCACACTGTCATTTTGAGTACAACACCCGCTTATTGTGGGGAAGGAAGGGAGCCCTTTTGGGGTCACATTTAGATATTGTAGCTAGGAAAATTTTAAACTTGAAAGCAAGCCTTTCAGATACTTTTCAGAACTGGCCAGTGTGGCGTTCCACACATTTCCCTCCCTCAACTGCTATTTGTGTATTCGTGTGATAAATCTCAGTTAACCAGTGATAGGTAAGGGACATGCCCATTTTCACCAACAGTCCTTCCCAAAGTAGACCTGCTGAAATCAATAGACCTAGAACCATAGGCTCATCTAGTGCAACCTCCTGCGATTCTGGAATCTTTTTGCCCAGCGTGGGGTTCAAACCCACAACCCTAAGATTAAAGAGTCTCCTGCTACATGACTGACTTGTGTCCATTAATGTCAAGGGATCTATTCTGAGTGCAACTTAGTTGGCTATTGCCTTCTGTTTGGAAGTATTCTGGCCTATGCATGGGTTTTGAACAGTGTATCCGTGGTCTTTTCATGTATATTTTGCACAGAAGGAGCAAAGCCTATGGAAGAGAGCCATCATCCCTGGCTTAAGGCCCTCTGCTATTAAACCAGTGGGCCGCACTCTCCTCCCCCCTTTGCCTTATTTTTAAACTTGTAACCTCCTCCCAGGCCGATTTAACATGCAGCTATGAAAACCAAACATTAGAAAACCAACATAGTTGCTACACCCACATTCTTCACAGCAGCCTCACCTGCCAAAGGTATGCACATCCAGTTTTCCTATAAAAAATCCCCCAAACCACCCTCCTCCTAGTTTCAGTGCTAAGAAGTGGCTTCTTTGTTTGATCGCGATGACGGCAAGGACGATGCTTATATAAACAAAACAATGTGTGTGAGGTAGCATGCAAGACTTGATCATAGCCCTACTCTGTGAACTCGGGGGCATGCGTGGAAACAGCTGAGTTGCTCTAAATGGGAAGCACTTGAATTCGGTGTTCAGTTTCTGGGCGAGGCTGTCAACATGGCTACAGGGAACTGATACCAGTCAAGAACAAGGATGGGCTAACTGTGGCCCTCGGGCTAATTTTGTGCAGCCCTCAGTCAGATTTCATAAGCCCTCTGTGAGCAATCAGTTCAAGTCTCAGGCAAGAGTGAGATGTCCCTTTCCCAGAAGTTTGCTGGGGAGAGAGGGGGGGCAGAGGAAAAAGAGGGTGTTGTATATAAGAAAATGGGAAGCCCCGCCCACCACTGGGTTTGGCCCCACCCACAGTTGACATGTTTCTCCCTCCCCTTGGGCCCAAAACAATTTTCTCCAGAGGGGGGGAAACTTGCCCATTCCTGCTCTAGGAAAAGTTTAAGACTTAATAGGTTTGCAATGGTTGTGGAAGTTCAGAACGTAAGCAAGTAGCGAAAGTTCACTGGGGGAACTGCAAGATCACCCCACCACAGCCACCCCAATGCCATCTTCTAAATTTTGCCACCATGTCCTCCATTCAGATGACTGACCATTCTTGCACCCCATTCCTATTTGCTCTCCCTGCTCCCAATGTTTGCTTTCTTAGCATACGTAGAATCAGCGCTATTTTTTCTAGAAAAATAGGGGTGCCGAAACTCACCACAAATGCCTCCCTCTTAGAATGGCAATGGTGCCCACCTGAGAAGTGCCAGGAATGAGTTACTCCTGGAAGAAAAGCCCTGTGTATAATTTAAAGGAAGCTTTTCAAGCCTCTTTGCCAAATGCGTCTGCCCTGTTCCATGTGTGTGTACACAGGCTGCTGATACCAGTGTTTCGAGACGGTGATAAGATTGTCTTTGAATCTCTTTTTCTGCCTTTGTTGCCAGTTCTGGGTCATTGTAACGGTGAGTCCAACTGATTAAAAGCAGTCTGGCTTTGCCCTATTGATTTCCAGGAGGCTCAATGCACTTTACAGACACACAGGTTGGGTATGGTTAATTCATTGGTTTCTAGAGACTTTCTGGGAAACTGGTTGTGAAAGTAGGCAGGGGAAGCAATGTGATCTCTGTGGACTAGGGGTTGCCAGTGTGGCACCCATGGGTGCGCATGAATTCCCAGAGGTCTTCCCTGGTATCTGTGGTTCCTCCTGCCCAGTGAAATCAGACATGAAATAAGTATTCTAGTGTAACCAAATAATACATTGGTGTGTGTGGTACCCATGACAGTTCCTGCAGCTTGCAAACACAGGACCAGAAAGTTTGCTGACCTTTGCTTGAAACTCCTGAGTCCCTTTGAATATTAAGCTGAGCTGTGGCCGTGAGAGGAAAGGGGGGATGTAGGGGGGCTCCCAGAGATACCATGATGCTTGCCTTGTTCTTCCAAAAGAGTCATTGCAGGGAGGTCAAAGACACACCTTAAATTTTCTCCTAATAAATTGCACACATAAAATTTGACTTCTGACTCCCTGACAATGAGCTGCAACCACTTGGTCTGTGTGTTTATGACGGGGCATTTGCCAGGAGTTTTAGCCAGGTCTTTATCTACACAACTATGTGTTCTCTGATAAAGATTCCTTTTTTCTTACAAAATGCTATTTGGACATTCCACTTTCTACTGTTTCCAGCGCTGGCTGAGTGTGCTTGCAGTGAAGCGAGAAGGTCAGCGTCTACAAAGGAATCTTCCCTGAAAATATTGCAGAAATGGTACCTCATCCCTCTTCAGCTTACACCTATTAACCCTTCCCTTCACCTGGTCTGTAAGCAAGGATGTGGAACTAAGGCACATGGCAGCATATGTGGTGGTATTACATTATGGTGTCAGGTATTGGGGAGACAGTCTTTCTAGAGATACATATTATCACTGGTCAACAAATAACTCAGTCCCTTGTGTTAACTTTACTGAATACACAGGGTCAGAATACAGGTATTTGTTTTAGAAATCTTGGTTATTTATTGTTAGTAATTAGATTTGTTATAGCCTGTTTGGGGGGAGACTTGGAAGGGGCATCCATATCCAGTTGGTTTAACAGAGTCTGGCAATTGCCCTTAATAGATAAATTGACCGTCAAAATAAGACTGGCCAAAGGACAGAGACACCAAGACTCATTTACAACTGGCTGGTATTGTCTTATGGATTACATGAATAAGAAAAACAAAAGCAACATTGAACTTTCAAAGACATCCAGATATTTTTGGTTGCTGTAGATTAAATAATATTATATGCTTTAGACTGATGACTGGGTATTCTTATGCCATATCTTTATTGTATACCTTGCGATTTCTTTTAAGTGTGTGTGTGTGTGTGTGTGTATGGTTTTAAATATATATATCCTAATGAAGCTATTTGAAAAAGGTCATGCTTGCATAATGCTTCATCTATTGATTAGTACAGCCTTCCTTATCCAGCTACCTGCCTGATGTTTTGAACTCAGCTCCCATCTGTTCCAGCCAGCATTGCAAATGGCCAGACAATGCAGTGCCAAACATGGGAGGGCACCAGGTTGGGGGAGGCTGGATCAGTGAGCATGTTTAGTTGCGAAAACCTATCGCAAGTAAATTTAGTTTTGCGCCCAATCGGGTTGGCGTTGGACAGGTCAAACAAAAATGGGATCAGTGGTTGAAAAGACATTCAATAATACTTGAGGATCTAAGGAGTTGACTTTGCATGAAATGTTCGTAGCACAGGTGTGTGCACTCAGGCTACAAACTCAGGCCCCCACCCAATGCAAAACCTTGTTAGATGTGTGCAAGAGGCTGTTGTGCAAGAATAACAAAATGGGCTTGGCTTGCATTTGTTTCTGGCTTTGCTTCCTTCCTGGTTCTGGCAAATGGCCCAGAGATTTGGCTGGCAGCTTAGATCTCTGGTGCTGCCCTGGCTGTTTTTGTGTTTGCCTCATGCTGCATCCCAGTAATGAACTCAAGGCGGGAGTTTGGAGCCGAGGTCCAGGAAGTCACTCGACAGGAAAATACTTACCCTTGCCTGAAATTCAGCACAGCTGGCTTACCACATTCGGAAACAAGCGAATAAAGACGCTATCATCTAAAGACACCCCCTCCACACAACGAGTCAATTACATCCAGAATTTTAGGCTCACGGCTGCTTCCTTCCAAATCCAAATCTGGCCTCCCTGTCGGAGGATGCCTGCAGTTGCACATAGAGCCAGCAGAAGGCGCTGTGGCTTCACTAGGATGGAAAAGGGCTGCTTCTTGCGAAAGGGAGAGATATTTGCAGGGCTGCCTCCTCCATGAGGAATGTGTGTGATCCTGACTTCTGGCAGCCCCAGCTGGCCCTGCCATTATTCAGTGCTTGCCTCCAGCAGCACATTTCTGAAAGGTTACAAATTGTCAATGATTTTGTTTATTATATTTTTACTGCTGCGATGAGGTATGGAGAGAGATGGAGATTTTCCGCCTCAGGCGTCACAGTACTCGGGTCGGCATTGCTTCCAATAAACCTGAGGTGCAAGGGCTCCTCGCTCAGAGGAGGATATGCTTACTTAGACCGATAGATGCAAATGCAGAAATAGGAACACAGTGCATCTCACCATCATGGGGAAGGCTGGGACTGGACGGTCTGCTCATGGCTGCTGTCCAGGTGCTTAAAACCATTCGAACAGAAATCAAGCATTGCTCTGTCTTTCTTGGTTCCCAGCTTGCTGCTTTGCTTCTACCTCACATCACTCTTGCCTTTGCCTTTTTTCTAACCACCAGCTAGTTGAGGGAGTGGGGGCACCCATTTGCCACCTCGCACAGATCCACATCCTTTGCTCTCTTAATGGTCCGTCACTCAGGCTATTGTCTCAACAGAAAGCCGGCCTGGCTTATATTTTAACACTTGCCACACCCAGGGGTTAGAAGGCTCTTGGCATAAGAGCCTGCCCACCCCCACCCCCAATGCATGACACTATCTTAAGCAGCAGCATAATCAAAAGCTTGTTTGGAAAATAATATTTTCAATAGCTGGTGGAACATGGCACCTAGTCCAGCAATGTTGCTTATTGCTGATTTTTCACTTCTGTAGGCAGCCAGCTCAGGGGTAGGGGACCTCTGATATGCATGGCAAACACATCTAATGGACTCCCAATCAGTTTTGAAAAAATGAAAACCAGCCCTGGGAGGCAACCATTTTGATTAAGCACATGGAGGGGATTAATCCTTTCCTTGTCAGCCATTTTCCTGCTCAGAACCATCCCTCCTGAGCTGTTTATCCCACTGTTCTTTATTGGGTTACAGGTGTGTCTACAGTATAAACTTTGGATTTGGCAGTTTGCCTCAAAATTTGCGGCTTGGCACTTCTTGACTGATTTTATATTCTCAGGTGTCCTGTATGAAATCTTTTAAGAGGTCATCTGCATGTGATCTAACACATACCATATTTGCACTGGGTTATCCCATTAGCAAAGAGCTTTGCTAGCTCCAGGGCTTATCTTTGTCTTATTGCCTCAAATGT